GTCCAGGCCCTCGCCGTGGTGGTTCAAGGCTCAGCGTGCGCGAGCAGTGCGAAGTGCGACCGCGGGATGCTTTTGAAACTCGTTTCTGCGTGCTGTGGCGCTCTGGTGTTGCCACAAACGTTTCGAACGGGGGCCGAAAATGTGCGTCCACGAATCTAGGTCGCCTTACACTAGGAGAAGTGGAGGTGCGGACTACTGCCCGATCGTGTTGTACGGTATATAAGCACTCCGCGGCGTTAACCCGGTTGCAACAGGCATTGATACACTGCGAGGGACGGACGGGCCGAGCGAGAAGCAAAGTGCGGTAACTAGGGGCAACGGGAGGCTAGCTAGCGCCCGGCCCAAACTGCGTGAGTGGGCGTGGGGCCCGTTGGGGGCGTTGGGGGCATGCACCCTCGAAGCCTCGAAGCCTCTCCCCCGATCCTTGTCGGGCCGCGCACCTGACCGGAGCACTCGAAGTGGTTGCGCGCCACTCGGGCACTCGGGCAGCCCGGCAGAGTCTAGTGGTTGACAAGGTTGACACCAGAGCGGCTGTCGTGTCAGGTTGCGTCGCTCGCTCAGCCCCAGCCAGCCCCAGCCAGCCCCAGCAGCCAGCCCGGCCCTCAGGGCGACAGCTGTGCGGCCCCCGTGAATCCGGGCCGGGAGTCTCGCCTCGCCAGCCGAGCGAGAGGAGAAACGATGTGGCGCACTCCCTCGTAAATGATTCATTTTTATTTATCCTTTTCAAATCTATGTGATTTTTGCAAGTCACTGTTTTGTCGCCGGTTGTAAGGCGGCGTCGTCACCGTCGGCCTGACGTCCTGAAATCAGGGAACATCGCCTCGTCGCCTCGTCAGCGAGGAGCGCGCGCGGGAAGCAGCTTTCGAGTGACACGCGGCGGGAAATGAAACCTCGAAGAAAGCCGCACGATCACGCTATTCGCAGACCGCAAGACTCCGCCTCAGCTGCGCGTGCGATGTGTGTGCATGTAAGAGAAAGCCAGTGTGTGTGTGAGATAGAGAGAGTGTGCGTGTGTGTGCGCGGGCCGTCACTTACGCATGATGTCGTCGGCGATATTGGCTCAGCCATTCACTTGATGTGCTTCCATTAGCGCTGATGCGTTACATGTGTTCCGACATTATCGGCCAGGGGCATAATAATTCACTCATTCATTCGTTTATTCATTTATTCATTCATTCATTCGTTGATGCGTGCCTGCTTTCCGCGCTTTCCGCCGACGCGCGCGCACGCGGCGCCGCAGCTTCCGTGGGGAGCTTCCGCAGCGCTGCAGCGGCAGTTGGGGCGGCCCACAGTGGGCCAGAAGACCGGTGGAGGCGGCCAAAACTCTAGACGCGTTTTGAGCTCCAGAGTCGCTAAACAGGACTCAAATCGAATGTGTGACCCCATCAATAGATTCCTCGTTCGGAGAGCAATCCATTGGTGGGGTCACACGTTCGGTTCGAGCCCCATTTAGCGACTCTGGTGGTCAAAACGCTTCTAGAGTTTTGGCCACCTCCACCGGTCTTCTGGCCCACTGTGCGGCCGGGCCAGGCCGGGCCAGCCCGCCAGGCCGCCAGGAGGCTGATTCCGAACCGTGCTTTCGTCGCTCAGTCCCACTCAGTCCCACTCAGCCCCTCGCGCACTCACCGAGCCGCGCCGAGCCGCGTGCCGCAGGGGTTGCTTCATCTTCATGAGCGCGATAGAGACAGGGCGACGAAACACCGTGCCGAACCGCTCTGCAGGGCACTGAACTCATGTAGCCGCACCGGGCATAGGAACCGTTTGCCGTCGGGCACCTGATTCGCTCTGTCCCTGTCGCACTCTACGGGACGCCCCACGAGTGCAAGAGAGACAGAAACGATTCTTCGGAATGACGGATCCGTCCGACGCTCCGAGTCCGGCGCGGCATAGGTAAGCAAACCGAGCCGGAAGGGGTTGCGCCGGAAATGTTTGCATGTGCCGAAACTCCCCGCATTTCCTTGTGTTGCTGTGTTCGCCCGCTACACGCTGCTGGCGGCGGCCCGCCGACGCGCCTTCCGGCGCGCGAGAGAGGGAAAGAGAGAGAGAGATGGAGTTTTCTTTTTATCGGCTGGCCGTTCGATAACTCCTAACACTACACTGTATTGGCGGCACGCGGCACCGCCTCGTAATCGCCTCGCATCGCTCTTGAGGCCGATTATTCGGGCGAGCTTTTCCCGCCAACGCAACGCGAACGAGCGCCGAACGCGCCTCCCCGCCCACAGCCAGCCGGGCGGCCAGGCAGCCAGCCTCCCGCACCGCGCGGCATTTTTATGAGCCACTCGAACCGGCGCAGGTGGCGCGTTCCAGCTTTTCAGCCACTCGGGCTGCTTCGGCTGCTTTGGCGCGGGAGCGGCCGAAGGGCCGAACAAACGCCGCGGCCCGAATCAAGAGGCATCGCGTGTCGCTGCGCTGCCTGTCTCTCTCGCACTCACGCGGAGGTGCGAGAGAGACAGCGCCGCGAACGCTGCCACACGTGTTCGCGCACATGATGCCGCGGCGCGGTGCCGAAGCACAGGGGTGCCACCTCTCAAAGGGCTGCCGGGCAGGGCAGGTGGGCGTGGAAAAAAGTTGGCAACTCGTAATCAATGGAGACGGCCCGTCATTGACGAACTGGGCGCGCATTAATCAAGACCATCAAGACTTTGGAAAAGGGAGAAGTCGGTGCGGATGAGTTGGCGGACGCGTGCGTCGGAGAGACCCAGTTACCGGGTATCGGGATCCAAGCCAACATTTGTTTTCTCTTGAAAATGGCCGACTGGCCGGCCGACGCGGTGCTGCTCACGATGACCTTTCCCCACTCGCACCTGCCTCCCGACTTTTGGGCCGCGGAGACTTGATGAGGCTAATCATCGCAACGAGCCGGCCGGCGGCAGGCTGCGGGCTGCCTCCGAGCCCGTGCTTCGTCGCTCTGTACGGGACGCCCCGTGAGTGCGAGAGGGACAGCGCGACGGAAATTGGGGAGTCAGCCTCCCGCAGCCTGCTATGGCGAGTGGCGCCGATGACGCTCCCGGCCGGCCTGTGGGCTGTCTGCGGGCTGCCTGCGGGCTGCCTGCGGGCCATGGGCAGCCATGGGCTTGTATCGCCGGGATCGCAGGGAATCGGCGGCAGACTTACAGTGCCGCGACAGCGCGGCCCGGCCGGCCGGCCGGCTCACTCGACCCCTGTGTCGAAAGCGAATACCACGCGATAGTGCCGCCCAGAGTGCGTGCGTGTGTGCGCATGCGTGCCGTCTGTGTGAATGCAGTTGAGCGGCACGCCCCGTGCAGCCAACTTTGGAACCCCCGAATTCCACGCAACGGATGAATAACCTCTTTGTCCGTAGGTAGGGACCTCGATGGAAGTTGTAGCTGTCGCTATTTTGGCAAGCCTTTTGCAAACACCGCCACTCATCGCATCTAAACACCATATAAAAGAACAACATTTAAAATAATAAAATACCTTGTTGAATCTATTTTTTTCATTTCGGTCTTGTGTTTTGTTTGCGTTTTCCATTGCTGCACGTGTCGATGTGGCTCCGCGTTGGTCCACAGTGCCCAGCGCCCAATCGGATGAACTCTTTATTGCTTCCTGCATGGGACCCGGCCACAGGGCCACGGGGCCATGCTGAGTCCACCAGTAGGCAGCGCGGCCTAGCCTGGGCCGCGGTTACTCATTGGACTGGCTTGGCGCCGTTCGAACACGCACGCCGCACGCGGCGGACTCAGGCTCGAGCCGCAAACTGCAGCACACCGCCAAAGTGCGTTCTCACTGCTCCTCCCTGGAAACCCAATTGCATCCTCAGTCTTTTATTTTCGCACAGTTGGTCAGCGTGGTGCAGCATGCGCGTCAGCCGCATCGCACCGCCAGTGGGGAGGCTGGGGAGGCGTAGCGGGCAGCCCCCCCCCTCCCCCGGCCGTGCCCTTCACAAAGCGCCCCATTCATTCCTCATTCCAATTTGCGCCGTATTTGAAGCAAAGGTTGTCGCTGGCTTGTTCCCGCCGCGTGGGCGGGCGGAGGCTGGGAAGTGCAAATGCAGCGAAGGTGAGGCGGGGGCGGAGAGGGCGGGCCTTTTAAGGGCGCGAATGAAATATGTTGGAGAGCCGGGTCGGGTTGGGTCCCGCGTGGAGGGAGAGCCGAGCCCTCGGCCTGCTCTCCCTTCTCTCCGCAGCGACGCCTTAATTGCCTGCCGTGTTAATCCGACAATGACACGCTGCAACGCGGCAGCCAACTACCCATTCACCTTTCGTTAAACTTCAGCGCTTCTTGTGTTTGCTCCCGCCGAGAGGGACTCGCGAGAGTGGCGTTAAATGATTGGTTTCCCTTTTGTGCTCGGTGGTTCTTATTCAAACCGCGCGCCGCCCCGCCCCGCGCCCGGTGGCTTCTTGGGCGGCGGCCTCCCCTCGGGGCCTCAGGCTGCCTCAGGCCTCCGGGCAGCAGTGCGGTGCACTGGGAGAAATGAGGGGAAGTTGTCGTGCACGCGACGCGGCACGCGGCACTTCGGGCTGAGTGAGGGAAGGGATGGCCTGGCCAAAGGCCACCGGACTGGCCGGCCCAGCCCGGCCCCCATCCTATTACCTACGGGCATTCCTCCTGTCTTACGCGTGCCTGGACTCGAGGCTCAAACCAAAAGTTGGGCACCCGAGTCCCAAATAATGGCTTCGTAAAGACTTCTTTCGTCCAAAGATTTAGCGCACTAAGGTTTTATATCCAGCTAAACTCCTTAAAGAGAATCTCTGAACCAGCCCAAAGCAAATGTCAACAAATAAAACTGTGTTGGTGTGGCGTAGTCTCGACACTAAAAAAACAGTTACGGACGGTCCAGGCAAAGAAATACTCGTCCCGTGACGCTCTGGGTATCCGCAGGTTTCTGCTCTATTCGTACCCTTATTATGGTCCATTTTTATTTGCGTGCACTGTCCTGATGTTTCGTTCAAACCATTTTTGTTCCCCACTGTTGTTTCCTTTTCCATTCAGCTTCAGCACATTGTCATCCTGTTCCAGGTCCGGGGCCGGGGCCGGGGCCGGGGCCCGTGGTCGACCTGCTGGACGCGGTGAAAGCCCCAGAGGAGCCCATGGGGGTGGGCCGCACGGCGGGGCTGTGCCCCCAGGACACGGCTTACCGACTCGGCGAGAGCACCATGCTCACCGCCTCCACGGCCCACCTGTTTAGAGAGGGATTCCCGGCAGACTTCTCCGTCGTGCTGGTCGTCCGGCTGAAGATAGGTGAGTGCGGCGGCGCCGGCGGCGCGGACAGCGGACCACGAGGCGCCTACACCGCAGGGACGCCCAATGGGCCCTCTCTTTTGTCTTCTTCCTTCTCCCGTCCTTGTCACGCTTGTCCTGTGGTTCCGTTGGCCGCTCTCCTCCCCCTGTCGCTCTCGCACTCATCGAGCGTCCCTGGGGTGCGAGAGAGACAGAGTGCGGGCAGCGGCATCGCCCGACGGTAGCGCACGTTGAGAACGAGAGGTGCCAACGGGCTCGGTCAGCCAGCGTAGAGCGCCTGGCAGGTAGGCAACCCTGCGCTATGCATGCACTGCTGACGGCGTGCTGCCTACCTGCCAGGCGCTCCCTGCTCAGGGAAAAAAATTAATTTGGTGTGCGACACCGTCACCGCAGGCAGGGCTGGCCAGGTGAGTGTAGCTTCGGGCAGGCTAGCGTGCCCCGTGGCCCGCGTGGCGATGCGTTTAGCCCGGCCGGCGCTGCAGTGCGCTGCAGGTGAGTAGTCCGCCCATTACCGGTGACGAGGCGACCCGGCCGCTTGCGGGACAGCCGCTGTCTCTCTCGCACGCCCTGCGGAGCGGCCCGTGAGGGCGAGAGAGACGGAGCGACGAGGCGACCCCTCGGAATCAGTCGTCAGCGACCGGAAATTCAATTGGTTGTCCAGCCCCGTCCCGCGGGGTGGCGGCCAGGCGGGGCGGGGCCGGGCCGGGCCGGGCCTACCACCGGGCCAGGGGTCAGCCCGTCAGCCCATTCTCCATGACAAATGGTCACGCCTCGTCATCGAATAAGCGATCGGTGCGGATGGCACCCCCAGGACCAGTCCACCAGCCCCCTCAGAGGCCAGGGCCTTGGCCAGGGCGCGAGGGCCTGGGACAGGCGACACCTGTCAAACTTGTTGCCCCGCCGCCCCGCCCCGCCCCGCCCCGCCCCGCCCCGCCAGGCTGGCAATAACAAGGCGCGATGCACTATACATCAGCCGGCCGGCCGCCGACAGTGTCGTCTCGTCTCTCTCGCGCCCCGCGTGACGCCACATGAGTGCGAGAGAGACAGGATGACGCGCGGAATCGCTGTGCAGCAGTTGAATGTCGTAAATCACGCCGACGCGACGCGACGCGGCCCGGCGGCCGATGGGGTTATTGGCAGTGCGGAAGCGCCTAGACCGGCCGAGACGCCAAGCTGGCAAAGCTGGCGAAGCGCAGCGACGCGGCACTGCAAGTCCTCTCCTCTCCTCTCCGTGGCCATGCTCTGCCATGCTCTTGGTTCGCAGGCACGCCGCGCTGCGCGCTGTTCACGGTGTACGACGAGGCGGGCGACGAGCAGCTCGTGGTGACGGTCGGCGAGGACGTCCTGCTGTTCTACCGCGTGGCGCCCGAGGACGAGGACGCCGACCGGGACGCCGACAGGGAGAAGGCGGCCACCGTGTCCTTCGGCGCCAACATCGCCGATGGCGAGTATGTGGCTCCGCGCGACGCGCAGCGCGCAGCGGGCCGGCCCAGTTCAGCGGAGGACGCACCGAACACGCTCCGAGCGCCTCGTCCCTTCGAGGGGCACAGCGCCCGGAACGGTCCAGAGTCCTGTCCGACTGAACTGGTCACCCGGCGCACTGTGCGGCGCAGCGCGTTCGTTCCCCACACTGGGCACGTCTCGCGGGCGCAGGTTGCGCGGGCACACCGCGCTGGCGAGTCGCTCTTTACCTCGTTCTGACATTTGGTGGCGTCGGCAGGTGGCACCGGCTGGGCTTCAGCGTCAAGGGGGACACGGTGACGCTGGTGCTGGACTGCAAGAAGCACATCAACTACGCCCTCAAGAGGGGCTCGGCGCAGATCAGCACCTCGGGCGTCGTCCTCATCGGTCAGCAGCTGCTGGATGAGGGCATCTTCACGGTCAGTGGCGTCTCCGTCTGGGAGCGGGCAGCGCGTTGGTGGCGTTTCGCTTCATTGACACCAAGTTGCAACTGCAGGGCGACGTCCAGGCGCTGTACGTGTCGCCGTCGCCCGAGGGGGCCTACGACATGTGCACGTCGCTGAGCACGGACTGTTCGCGGCCGCCCTGGAGGGCGAGCAACGCCTCGGACGTGGCCGCGGCGTTGGCCATGGCGCCCAACATGTGAGTGTGGGAGAAGCACCCCGTCGGCAGCAGGTCGACGACACACTGACGGCCTTGGCTTGTTCCCCCAGCACCAGCGTGACCGTGCCGCCATCCGTGTTCCGGCGCACCGTGGCGCCCACGGCGGGGCCGGCGGGGCCCCTGGACGACCTGGCCAGCAGCCTGGTGGACGTGGACGGCCAGCTGGTGGACCTGGGCGGCGCGGAGGGCGGCGGCTTCACGCGACACACGTACGGAGTGTCGCCGTACGGCTCCAGCACGCCGGCCTACAACTTCAGCGAGGAGATCACCGTAAGGGCGGGCAGACGCCGCCGTGGCCGCGGCCTCCCCGTCGTCGAGCCACTGTAAGCCACCCTAACCGCTGCGCTGCTTTCAGGAAGACGGCGACCCCTACTTGGCGTCCTCCTCGGCGCGAGGCGCGGTCGGCCCGCGAGGCTACCCGGGCCCGCCGGGGCCGTCGGGGCCCATGGGGCCGAAGGGGGAGCCCGGCCGCGACGGGCTGGGCGGCGTCAACGGCATCCCCGGGCCGCCCGGCCACGTCTTCCTCATCCCGGTAAGCAGCGTGAGCAGCGTGGGCAGCGGGAGCGGGTGGTGGGGGAAGGGAGGGCAGCCCATCGGCGTCCACATCCACAGGTCGCCGAATGTCGACACGGCGCCACCGCGCCACCGCGCCGCAGACTGGGGGCCGCAGCATTCCCGCCGCCACGGCCTGGCCGACCGCGGTCCCGCTCGCCCGTCATGCAGGCCGTCGACGAGGCCCACCGCACGCGCGCGCGCGCGTGTGTGTGTGTGCCTTTCTGTGTGGGTGCGTTTGTGTGGGTGTCAAGCTACGCAACAAGCCGGCCTAAAAAAGGCGAAAAAAGGTGCGCTGTGTATTTTCATCAAGCATAGCGTCGGCGGTTTCCGTGGCCGCCACGCCCCGGCCCGCCACGCCCCGCCCTGCGAGCTCCGTGCTGGCGGCGCAGGCCGTGCGGACGTAGCGCCTGGCCGTTCTGGCCGAGCTGGTCGGCCCGTAAACACCCGCCGTAAAGGCGTGCTGCGGCGTAACCAGTAACCACGCGCCTCACCTTTGCTTTCTGACCACCAGATGGCGCAGCAGAGCGGCAACGAGAAGGGACCCGACGGCATCGCCGACAACTTCCGCCAGCTCCTGTCGCAGCACATGGTAGGCGAGAGGACTGCCGACACGACTCCGTCGATACCCCGCGCGCGGGGCTCGGTCGCGAGGGTGGTGGTGAGAGTGTCTCTCGCGCGCGAGGTAGCGACGGGAAGGGTCAAAGCACTTCCCATGACAGTGTTCGCTGTATTCTTGTCTCTTGTCGCAGATGTCGATGCGAGGCTCCGAGGGTCCGACGGGGCTGACCGGGGTGGCGGGGCCTGAGGGCCCCCCGGGGCCCGAGGGCCAAAAGGGCGAGCCGGGCGACGTCGGCGAGCAGGTGAGGCCATTCAGCACCGGCCCCAGGCGCACCGCGCACCGCGCGCTCGCCTCGCACCGCCTAAAGCCACCTTCGACTGCTCTTGCAGGGGCCCAGGGGGCTGCGGGGGCCGCAGGGACTGCCGGGCAGGGAGGGGCGCCGCGGCCGGCCGGGCAGGGACGGCGAGAGGGGCGCCACCGGACCCCCCGGCGTCAAGGGCGAGCAGGGCGTTCCGGGGCAGCCAGGTGAGTACACAGTCCACGGGGACGACGGGGACGACGGGCACGGAGCGTGGCGCAGTGGGGCGCCCAGCGGGTAAGGTACTCGACAGTGCCCCGCACGGCGCCCCAGCGCAGTGCCGACTCATTATGGTGAAGACTTGGAGCAGCCGAGACAAGCCCGGAAGGGGCAGGATGAACACACACGAAATGAAGAGGCGCCGTGCGTACACAGGCGGCAAGAACACACACACGCACACGCCGTATGCTTTATGAGGGCCAAGGCTGGCCAAGGCTGTTCCGGCAGGAGCCACCAGCACAACGTGCGACGCAGGTCCCCCGGCCTAAATGGACAATGAACATGCAGAACGAAACGTGCGAACAGAAGGAGGGTGGGACAAGAAAAACAGGCACGCAGATTCGCTTTCATTTTAATATCTCGCGCTGACTTTGTGGTAATGAAAGAGTGCGCCCAATGCTACAGCCACCTTGCGCGACTCCACTTTTAGCACGGCGACCAAAATGGTGTTTTCTTTTTATTTCGTCTCTGATGAAAGACCTTTCCACGGTCCGACGGAATACTGCACAGTGCTGCCAACAGCACAAAAACGTCCATCCCACCAAGACGCTCCGTCCTGCTCTCTCCAAAGATCACTCCCGCCCCCTCCTTTTCCCAGAGCCGACGCCCCGCTTAGCATCTTGACTATGCTTGTTGGCTGGTTTTATCATTTTGATTATTGAAGCCAGTCGCCTCCCCCTCCCCCTTTTTGACCACACCGCGACGAGGGAAACTTTGTCCACTTTCCCAGTGCCTCCCCAAACCGTCCCGTCCCACCCTCTGCTCCGCGTCTGGCTGCGTCCGAGGCGTGCCGCCGCGCCGCGACCTTGCCACCGTGAGCTGAGGCACTGCTTCGCTGCTCCACTAGTCCACTCCTCACGCAGCCCGGCCGCCCGACCGCCCGACCGCGCTCCTTGCTTCACTTTGCGCCCTCTAATGGCATTTTCTGCTAAATTCATCAACTGGAGCAGAGCGGTCGCGTCGTGGGTGCGCGCGTGCGTGTGCGAGCGTGTTTGTGTTTCGACCTTGCGCGCGCGCGCGCGCGTGTGTGTGTGTGTGTGTGTGTGAGAGAGAGAGAGAGAGAGAGAGAGAGAGAGAGAGAGAGAGAGAGAGAGAGAGAGAGAGAGAGAGAGAGAGAGAGAGAGATAATGCGAAGATTGGGCGCCGTGTTGCTTTATTACTCTCGAGTAAGGCGACGTATCTCCTTCTAGGCCATCTGTAACTGCCCCAAATTGATTCGCAACAAAGCCAAACCAGTTTTTAAAAACTTTTTTTCGGGTGGAGGGGGCCAAAATTCTTTTTACACGAAGGAGCCAGTCATCCCACTTGAATGACTGCACTCGAGACCACGCTGCTCTAGGCCCGTAAAACGGGGAGAAGCGCGGGGAGAAGACCTTTTTTTTGTCTTTCCCTTGCCGGCTTACTATGTCAAGGAGAGCCTAGCGCCCCACCCCCTCGCCCCATGCGGCCGGGCACCGTGATTTGGCCCGTCATTTCGGGGATCAGCGCTCCAATCCTCCACGCAGCCATTTACCGAAAAGATGATCTTGCCTCCATTTCCCTCCGCGGACCCCAATAAGCTTCGACTCTCCTTCAACCCTCACCACGGGCCGGGCCGGGCCGGGCCGGGCCGGGCGAGGCGGGGCGCGCGCGATTCCAGAACACGAGACATTACTTTTCGTGTTCAATGTTTTCGGTTCGTTCCTTGTTGCACGTTTCGAAGCCGAAACAAGTGGGCGCTGTGCCGAGTCCCTCCGAGTCCCTCGTCACGGCTAAAGTGGCGGTCAAACTCGAGCCGGAGTGCCGTCGCTGCACTACTAGCGCCATCAGCAGCCCTCCCCTCCCGACTCCCGACCCGTCAGGCCGCCAGGCCGTCAGGCCCCCCTTTCCATAACCTTAACTAACACCTCCCCCCTCCCTCGTCTTGACAACAGTTGTGTGGCCCGCGCTTTGTACCGCCGTCCCCGCCTCCCGTCCTTTCGCCCTGGTCCCTTGTTCACCAACCCACCAGACGCTGGCGCTCCTCCACTGAACCCCTATGACCGCGGACACAGCAACACGGGCGAGGACCGCGTCAGAGAGACACCACCTTGTTCTGTCCGCAGGCTTCCCCGGCGAGAAGGGCGAGCGCGGCTCCACGGGCAGCCCCGGCGAGCAGGGCCTTCGCGGCCACGACGGCATCCAGGGCGAGGACGGCCCGCCCGGCCTTCCCGGACTCCCCGGCGAACTGGTGAGCGCATACTTTCCTCCAACTGCAATGTAACTTTCGTTTTGTCGGCTGGCCTTTGGCCGAGTGAGTGCTTCTCGTGCGGGGGCGGCGGCGACCACTGGGGTTCTGAAGTTCACGTGGCCGAGTGGGCCGTGGGCCTGCGACGCCCCCGTCCACGCAGAGGGCAGTGGTGGACGGGCCCCTGCTTTGCGTTCTGCGCTTCACTTGACACATTTGGTGAATCTCGGCGAGACAGCAAAGCAATGCAAACGCTCTGCTCCGCTCTGCTCGCAGGGACCGCGCGGCTTCGCGGGGCCCAGGGGCTTCCCCGGCATGTCCGGGCCGCCGGGCATCCCCGGCACGGAGGGCGGGCCTGGCCCCAAGGGCGCCACGGGCCCCCCCGGACAGCCTGGCGCCCCGGGCCAAACCGGCAACGTGGGGCCTGTGGGGCCGCCTGGACCCCAAGGACAGCTAGGGCCTCCCGGCCTTCCGGTGAGTGTTGTTGTTTTCGTTGTTGTTGTTGTGGCTGCAGGAGCTGGAGCCGGCTGTTGCTGTTTGCAGGGACCGCAAGGCAAGCCCGGCATCCCCGGACTCCTCGGTGCCGACGGCGCCCCCGGCCACCCTGGCAACCCCGGCGTGCCCGGGGCGAAGGGCGACCAGGGCCCCGCCGGGCCGCAGGGCTCCGTGGGCTTCCCGGGGTCGCGCGGCGTCAAGGGCGACGAGGGCAAGCGGGGCAGCCCTGGCGACAAGGGCGACAAGGGCGACCGCGGGCTGGACGGCGAGAAGGGCGACTTCGGGCCCAAGGGCGAGCGGGGGCCGGCGGGGCCCATCGGCGCGGCGGGCCTGGAGGGTCCAGAAGGCCCTAAGGTGAGCACTGAGCCCTAACGGCCGAAAGGTTCCGAACGTGTTCGGACGGTTTGGTTTGTTCAACTTGGTTTTGTGCTCACGCTGCAGGGCTTCGACGGCCCCAGGGGCGAGACAGGCCCAGCAGGCCCTCCGGGCGAGAAGGGCAAGCAGGGCATGCCCGGCACCCCCGGGTACCCGGGCCCTCCCGGCGACAAGGGCGACAAGGGCTCGGAGGGGCGGGCCGGCCAGGTCGGCGACAAGGGAGAGCGGGTACGTACGGAGCCGGGGTTGATGCGGTTGATGACGTCATGAGTCACCGCCCCTTGGCCGTGCTGCTGGACCTTTTGCAGACTGTTCCACTGTTCTGACGTGACGTCTCTGCGCAGGGCAACACCGGAGCGGCGGGCGAGCGCGGCGAGGCCGGACCGCGGGTATGCAGATGAGTCGTGCTGCGGTTTCCCTTGTGTTTGCGCGCCTTATTGAATAACCCTTTGTTTTCCTTCCTTGTCTTCCGCGCAGGGCTACCGAGGGGCGCGCGGCCGGCGGGGCGGCGACGGCACGCCGGGGCCGAAGGTGGGTACACCGCGAGGCCGGGCCTGAATGCTGAGAGCGGGGCATCACGTGAACACGGGGCATGACGTCGAGCGGTGGCCAATCCGATTATTGGAGTCCGTGGCGCCGTGGCGCCGTGTGCTGTGGCCTGAGAAAAGGGGGTTGGGGTGGTCGCGCCCACCGCCGGCTCTCTCTTCCTGTTCCGCGTGGCCTGGCGTGGCGCTCCACTGCCCTGTCCGTCCGCACTCGGAACTGATGCTGCGATCCGCCTTGCAGGGAGACACCGGGCAGCCGGGGCCGCCAGGCGCCCAGGGCGAGCGCGGCCCCCAGGGCGCGGAGGGGCCCCGAGGGTTCATCGGCCCCCAGGGCGCGGCGGGGGCGTCGGGCAAGGACGGCCAGCACGGCCCCCCCGGCGAGCGCGGGCCGCCTGTGAGTATGGAATTTCATTTTCGCCGGGCCTGCTCGTCTACGTGACGGACTGGCGCTCGGCGTCTGGTGCACTGATTGTGGCCGTGCTCACGCCGTGCTTGTTGCAGGGCGAGCCAGGGCCGCCGGGGTCGGCGGGGTCACCCGGCGTGGTGGGGCCCGCGGGACCGAGCGGCGAGCCGGGGCCGGTCGGCGAGCCCGGGACGCCAGGGCACCCTGGTCTCCCCGGAGAACCCGGCCAGCCCGGAGACAGCGGCAAGGAGGGTGCGCCGGGGCCGGCCGGGCCCACAGGCAAGACGGGGCCGCCCGGGGGCGCCGGCCTGCCAGGATTCCCAGGCGAGCGAGGACTGCAAGGACTGCCGGTACGTGTCGGCGCGTGTCGGCGCGTGTCGGCCACTTCCCGTTGGTGAGCTCCTGTGCGTCTGCTCACCGCCGTCTGCTGCTTGCAGGGCATGCCGGGGCTCAAGGGAGAGGCGGGGCCCATTGGGCCGCCGGGCCCCACCGGGGACAAGGGCCAGCAGGGCGAGGCGGGCAAGGAGGGGCCTCCTGGACCGGAGGGCCGCAAGGGGCCCCAGGGGTCTCCAGGCGGTCCCGGGCACAAGGGCGAGAGGGTGAGTCCAAAGTCAATGCGTGCTTCGCCATGAAGATGCACCCTGACCGACGACACTGCGTTCACTGTGTTGCCAGGGCGAGGCGGGCACTGCCGGACCGACGGGCCGTGACGGCCTGCCCGGTGGGCGGGGACTCCCAGGGCCTCCTGGTCCCATCGGGCCCCCCGGCGAGGACGGCGACAAGGGAGACGCCGGGCCTCCGGGAGAGAAGGGCTTCAAAGGCGCCAGGGGAGAGACGGTGAGTACTGGAGAGCTGGAACATCAATCTGTCTGATCGCCTCCCCTCCACTAGCCACGGACCACGGACCGCGACCGCGACCGGAGCAGAGCGAAAGCCCCTTACGAACGGACCCTAGGCAACGCGCTGCGCTCGCTTGTGGAGCGCGCTGCCTACCTCACCTATGACAGGGGCTCCTCTCCACCTGAGTGAGCCGCGATCCTTTTTTCTGCGCGTGTCCTGTCACAGTTGGACCCCTCCTAGCGACCTTGTGCGCCTGGAAAATCTAAAGACAATGCGACGGAGGAGATCCAGCTTGAAACACGCGCGTTTCGGCTGGCGCGTTGACCAGCGTGCCGGCCGTGCCGGCGCCTCGAAGCGAACGCGCGACGAACACGTCCACGACGGTCTTCACGCTCGCTCTCTTTCTCTGTCTGTTGCAGGGCGGGCTGGGCCCCGTGGGCCCCCAGGGGCTGCGCGGCGAGCCGGGCCCCATCGGGCCGCTGGGCGAGAAGGGCCCGCCCGGCGAGACGGGCCGCCAGGGCCCCAAGGGCGAGGACGGCCCCACGGGGGTGGCGGGGGCGCCGGGCGCTCCGGGGCCGCAAGGAATGCCGGGCCCTCCGGGTGTCAAGGGCGAGATGGGCGACGTCGGCTCCAAAGGTAACGCCGCGCCGCACCGCGCTTCCACTTTCCTTTTTCTCTTTCTTTGGTTCTGCTTCGTTTGGCGTGCTCGCCCCGGCTTCCCCCTATTGGCCGCTGCCACGGCCGCCGCCACGGCCACCGCGGCGCCGCGTCGGAATGTGGCTGGCGGCCGCCGCGCGCCCCGCCCCGCCCCGCCTGCCGCCCACGCAGGCATAAATCCGGGGCCGAGGGCGTCGGGCCGTCAGGCGTCCCCGAAGTGGCGGCCACCCCGCCACGAGCCGTGGTGGGGACGGGAAGTCAGTGCATCTGTTTGACTGTCTGTTCCAGGTCCGCCCGGACCGGCTGGGCCCCCCGGCGAGGCCGGGCATCGCGGCACCAAAGGACCAGAAGGACCGCCAGGCCCCCAGGGCTTGGAGGGCCTGCAGGGCGCCAAGGGCGAGCCCGGGACGCCAGGACCCCCCGGGCCGCCAGGATCGGACGGCAAACACGTACGAACTATGGAGCCCTCGGCGCCGCCGTCGCGCGCCGCAGTCAAGGGTATTCACTCAAGGAATTCTGCGTACACGTCCGGGTATTACTAGTTTTGCACCCCGGGTGCATACGCGGCGCGAATTTTCACTTCTGAAATTTTTAGTTCTTCTCTCACGTCTGCTTGCTTCATTCACGTCGCTCGCTCGCTCCCTCTTTTGAAATTTCCGGTTTTTCAAAAACATTTCGGAAATATCCATGATATTCTCAATGTTTAAAAGGATTCACGCATATTCGTACCCGTGTACGCGAAAACAAAACGAGTGAGTACTCCCTCGCAGAGCGGCCCCTCTAGACTGTCGCGGTGCCGTGGGAAGGCAGTCCCACAGCACAGCCGCCGCGGCGCCGAGCGGGGTCGCTTCGCGTACTGTGCAAAAGGGCCGTCGTCCTAAGACTCTTTGCACCTCTTTGCAGGGCGAGCGGGGTCCTTACGGCCCTAAGGGCGAGGAAGGCCACGCCGGCGTGCAGGGACCCCCCGGTCCCAGGGGATCCCCGGGGCCGGAGGGCCCCAAGGGCAACGCTGGGCCCCCAGGCTTCCCCGGGCCGCCGGGCGAGGCGGGGCTGCAGGGCCCCAAGGGCGACACCGGGCTGGACGGTGACGACGGCAAGGCCGGGGACCCAGGGCCGCCGGGAGAGGCAGGGCCACCCGGGAAGCTGGGACTCACGGGGCCGGCCGGCAAGCCGGTAAGCCTTGCACGGCCATCATCGCCTTGCCAACGGCCTTCTCCTTCTCCTCCGCGGTCGAGCTGCACGCGTGCTGTTCGCGCTTGGACTTGTTGCAGGGCCCCGAGGGCGCGGCCGGGTTGCAGGGCAGCACGGGCCCCACCGGAGAGAAGGGCGACCGCGGGCCCCTGGGAGCCCCCGGCCTGCAGGGGCCCATGGGGCAGCAGGGCGAGCCGGGCCCACAGGGACCTCCTGGCGGCAGGGGTTCGCCCGGAGCGGCGGTAAGTATCTGAGCACTTGTTGTCGATCTCGTTGACGCTGCCCGTGCTGCTGTGGGACACCGAGACATCGAGCTGCTGGTTTGCAGGGCGAGCCCGGGGCCTCAGGCAAGGCTGGCGGCGAGGGCGCTCCGGGCAAGGCCGGCGCGGAAGGACCACGGGGACCCAAGGGCGACCGAGGCCGCCGAGGACCCAAGGGCCACCGTGGCGAGATGGGCACGCCGGGACTCAAGGGCGAGAGCGGTGAGAAGGGAGACCGCGGCAAGCCAGGCCCGCCGGGCGTGGAGGGCGTTAAGGGCAACCAGGTAAAGCCACAGAAAATGGACCTACCGACCCGTAACGTCGTGACCTAACGATGCGCTGCTTGCAGGGACCACTGGGGCAGCTCGGCCCGAAGGGAAACGACGGCCCTCCCGGACTTCCAGGCCTTGAAGGGCCTCCAGGGCCCAAGGGCTCGACGGGGGTGGCCGGCCTCAAGGGGGAGACCGGCCCTCCCGGTCCGCCAGGACCGCCCGGGACCCCCGGAGAGCCCCCACTGGTGCCACCCGAGCTGCTCTTCCAGAGGGAGAACAATGTGAAGGCGGACACGCGCAGGAAGCGCGAGGACAAGTGAGTCGAACCGGGGGGCTGTCTCTCTCGCACCCATGGGACGTCCCGTAAGGTGCGAGAGAGAGACTCGTACTGCCGGGCAGCGCGAAATCACTCCGCGCAGCACGCCTTGTCGCGCAGCCCCAAAGTCACTGCGAACGCGTTTCCGCAGGGACGGTGCCAAGCTCGGCGACGTGCTGGAGGACCCAAAGTCCGTGGACATCGGCCCCAAGTTCATCGACATGTACACGTCCATCTACTCGATGCGACAGGACCTCGACAGGCTCCGGAAGCCCGTCGGCTCCAAGGAGAACCCAGCCCGGACGTGCCGCGATCTCCACTACGGACACCCGACCTTCGACGACGGTAAGCTGCGCGCTACGTCCGCGACTTGGGGCTTTGTTCGTTCTTCCAACAAGCGAGGACCCGTCACTTCTCTTTCTTTCGTGTTCAGGCTGGTACTGGATAGACCCGAACCTGGGCATGGCCGACGACGCCGTTTCCGTGTTCTGCAACATGACGGGCGGCGGCGAGACTTGCGTGTACCCAGACGTGCACTCGAGAGAGATGCCCAACATCCCCTGGAGGAGGGAGGGGGACAAGAATGACTGGTACTCCAACCTCCGCGGTGGCTTTAGGGTAGGTGGCTCGACGCGCCGCTCAAGCCGCACAAGCCAAATTGTTTCATGGCCTTTCGCCCTTCCTTTCCCCTTGCAGATAACTTACGAGACGATCGGCGTGGTGCAGGCCACCTTCCTTCGCCTGCTCTCGGAGCGCGCGCGCCAGAACTTCACGTACACGTGCATCAACTCGGCCGCCTGGCTGCCCGAGGGCTTCGCGCAGGGCACCAAGAAGGCCGACAAGGACAACGCGCTGCGCCTGCTGGGCGACGACGAGCACGTGTTCCTGGCCAACGACACCGGCCCCGATAGGCCGGCCGTGCTGCACGACGGCTGCAAGGTGAGCCTCGCCCAGCCCCGCCGCCCCGACACTGGACTCCCCTCTTGCAAATGCTTACCCCTCCCTATTCCCCTGCACCACACCCGCTTCCAGACTCGAGGCTGATGCTGGCAAGTAGACTGCCTGTGGACAGCCAGCACTCGTGTGATAAACTTTGACATTGTTCGTTTGTCTCCTTTTTTTTTTTTTGCAGTCTCGAAAAGCTAAGAGTGAAACCGTTTTCCAAGTAATGACAAAGAAAATGACGCATCTACCCATTGTGGACTTCTACCCAGTGGATTATGGATCTCCACATCAAGCTTTTGGTTTTCATGTGGGGCCTGTGTGTTTCAAATGAAGACAACAATTGGACCATCTGCATTTATATGCGAAATGACCCTCAGCTTCGAGAAAGGAGTGCTTTGAAAGATAGAGACTGAATAATTAAAGTGCATCCATTACAATGCATTTAGTGTCATCAGCAGAACTGATTACATCAGCAATGTTTTAAAGGACCAGAGCATTTTGAAGCTGCTCATAACATCAGTGGAAAAGTGTAGAGCTGTAGGACTGAATACCCACTGCAGCCCTCAAACAAACATTTGTTAATGTATTAGATTAAGGGAAAATCACTGCCAAATTATTACCATATAGAATAAGAAACTTTAATTCTATTTATGAGCTTATGATTTTTCTCCACAAAAAATTGCTGTTACAAAGAAAATTTTATAAAGTGTGCAGTCATACATAGTATATTTACTGCAGTCAGACCATAAGCCTAATAATTTTTAAGATGTGAACAATTTTTTCAGGAAATAAAATATGCACCAGTGTCATAACTTCTACATAGATTCTACATGGAATCAAGAGGTTTCATACCAAAAATTGACAGTCCTGTTCCTAAAATATGCTCCACACATTGAAGCAAGTAGAGTCTGGCATACATAATGGGTAGCAATTGAGGCCTGGGTTCCTGTGAAAAATAAAAGACAAAATTATGCTCAGCTTGTTGATGTGATACCAATTGTTTAAAATGTTAGGATTTCTGAAAATTCAGCCAGCTCCCCTCTTAGTTTGTGTTCCTAGGATTATTTAGTTTTTTAATCCAACTAAGCTAATCTGATAATCGGCTAAAAAAGAGCTCTGGAGTGCCTAAAATAATAAAAAGAACAAACCATGAGAACACGAACTCTTCTGTAGTAGACACTGAAGACTCTGCAGAGTTTGTCCAGTCCCACCAAAACTGGATGTAAACTAATTTTGCCCCTTGGACAGATGCAGTTAATAAGCCAGTAGGGAAATTCAAGGATAAGAAGCAACAACTGCCATTCTTCCTGATAAAAACAATTTATGAAGAGATGTTAGTGTGTCATTTAGATGAGCCACATAGTATTAAAGAGAAAAATGATTTACATTTTGAGTCAGGAGTCCAAAATCAATGTCCTCAATATCAGGGAGCTTTTGATACAAGCCACTTTCTACCCCCTGTTCAAATTTTCTTCTAATGCAAGATAGCCTCACATGGTTGTACAGTAGAAACGTCGCTCCATGAGACACTGGGAGGAGCAAAAGGAAATGACTTGTAAACACTAAAAGAGAAACTGTATTTTTTGAACTTGTCAACCAATAACCCAATATTTACCTCCAGTTTCAGCAGAATCCTCATCTGACAAACTTATGGAGACATTATCATGTAATTTTACCCACAATAACTCTCCAGTAACTTCTGCTTCTGAAATGGTCGCTGCTTGGTCAGAACTCCCTTGGCAATTGCTCCTTGCTTTTGCCATCCGTTCAAATACAAGTTTTTTTCTCCTGAAAATACATAAAGAACATACAACAAAACAATAAGATATCTAATTACATTCCACTGGTAAGAAATAAATTTTTTTTAAACCTATAATATTCTTTTACAGATGTATTACTGTCTTTCGACCCTGTAGTCATGTTTAAGACTGCTCCACAATGCACAAGTGAACACCCCAAAACTTTTTCAGAACATATTTGCTTATGACATACATGAAGTCTTCTGAAATCACTGCTAGTGACTTCTTCCTCAGATCTTTTCTGTAAAATTACCACATTCATTTAGTACACAGAAAATATTTCAATACAATTGAAAAAAAAAATTATCTCTATATTGTCTCACCTTCACATCATATCCAAGATAAATGAACACTTTACATATACTCTCATATGCCAATGCAACCCTTAATTCAGTAAGATCAGTGATGTCTTGATCAACTGATACAGTGTCTTTTGTGACACAAACCACCTATTTCAGTGAGAATAAAATAGTCAGTTGACACTGCTCAGCTTTTCAATAGTGGATAATGGGATTTGTATTGACAGATGGTTACCTTCTTGCTACCCAACAGCTTTACACTGGTACTGTCCACAAACAAAATGCTGAAAATCGTGTTGCGATATACTTGCTGACGGTCGAACGAAACACACAAACTATTCTTAAATGTTGAGCATGACTGAATGGGTAATGCCCAAGATATGCTTCTGGGAGGTAATTCCTCGAGAACCTACAAAGCGCAAAAGATCAGATAAAAAGAAAAATTTAACAAAATAGGACATTTTTTTAAAATTCTAAATAGCTACCTGTTTTAAATTAATCTTTAGTTTAAATTGTTTGTACTCTGGAAACAGTAGAGCTCCTGGAATAATGGCATCACAACCTCCAAGAGTTATCAAGGGAAGACCGATGTCACACTTATCGGTGTCCTGGCGAGATAACCTGGGCTCTTGAAACACAGCAGTTTCATCGACAATAAGGTCATCGCTACCTAAAAATTTATAAATTCTATTCACGGTTTCGACAAAACTCATGGACATGGGCGCAGCCATTTTTGTTGACACCGGTTTCGTTCACATTCAGATTGACATTGAAATGATTTAGCAGCAGACAACCTCGATAAGACAACCTACCGCCGAGAGAAATCCTTTCTCTCTCTACATTTCCTGGGTGCTGTCATTTTGTGTCGACAATGGGGAACTACCTTCCTACAGATCAAGTTGACGATGATGCTGCGAAGGGTATTGGTCCCTGTGGAAAAGGTAATTTCTGTACCGGCTCAATGAACATAACCTCCAACGTTGCGTGTATCATAATGGATGCTTGATCAAGTTATTATTGTTGCTTTACAAAAGTCTTCACTTTACATAACATAGCTTCTCCGTCTGCAGGGGATCCCAATGACTTTTCATTGACCCACAAGGAAATCCACATTAGTATACCAAAATATCAAAAGATAGCGGCTGAAATGTTTAAATGTAATCACCTTCATGAAAGTAAGCTCAGCGAGGTGATGTAGTCTCACTGTTTCCAAATAGTTTATTAATCCAATTTCATCATTTCAGGCTATCAAAAGTGTGCTGATGACTCTGCACTTCCAATGTACTCATGTAGCGATGAGATAAACAAATATGTGGAATGTGTAAGACATTGGTCCACGGACCTTGAGTACAGAAATGCAATCACGGCAGAATATCTTGTACTGAGAGAGGAATACAGAAAAACTGGTCGTAGAAGATTGTATCGTGGTCTAAAGGGTGAAACTTATGTCACACTAGAACAATTAACAGGCTTTAAAGTCTAGGCAAATGAAATAAACCAATAGAATTATTTATTTTATATTTACATAGAATTTATTATCAGCTGTAACATTATTGGGGAGCAGCAACTTTCTTCTTCTTCTTTTTATTTTTATTCTTCTTAATAGCTTTCATATGATCTGGTAGTTTTTTAACCTTTTCCTTTGAATCAGTGTTGAGCGATAAGCAGAGATCATCCAAGGCAGTAGCAACAGTATCCATGACTGAAGTGGGTCCCTTCAAACTCTTCTCATCAGTAGGATCTTCATTAGATACTACTGGAAGGAGAAGAGGGCGTTTGGAAAACCTGTTGCAGACTGCAAAATACACTCATTAATTGAAGCTTCCTCAATGTTCAAACTAATTTATTTTTTAATTTATTTACCTGCTGATTTGTCACTTAGATCCCAAACACCAAAATTGCGCGATTTTTTATCTCCTCCAGCAGCAATTGTAAAAGGACTATCAGGACTTGATTCCAGGCACTGCAAACTCCCTAGTTTCACCTCTGTTTCCCAAACATGTTGAGGTTTGGACTCATCCTCAATGTCCCACACCTTGACAAGACCATCACTTGATCCAGTGAATAGAAGTCCAGGGCATTTAGAGCTAAGACTTAACCCTAGAAAAAAGGGGGAGAAGTACAATTAATATCATTTATCATTTACTTATTATTAAAAGCGTTAAGCACAATTTCTTTTTGCAACAAACCAGTCACTTCTTTAGAATGAGCAGCAAGTTCCCAGATGGGTTTGTCATTTCGACAATCCACATAGTGTACACTTCCGTTGTCAGTGCTAGCCTAATGAAAAAAGAAATTCATACACAAATGCAATTAAGTAAAAACTTCTATCCTTGAAACATGGAAAAAGAAGATAAAATGAAAATTTGAGAATCAGCAACTTACAAAGAAACAAAATGGATTGTAATGATTCCAAATTACTCGTTCAACTTCTCCAGGCATTGACCATTCCTTGTAAGTGTCTTTACCTCTACAATCAAAAACTCGGACAACCCTAAAAAAATGAGAATATGCTTCAGTTGGCACAATAAAGATTTTAAAAATAGTTGATTAATGACTCAATAAATACATTTAGGGACAGAACCAAACACTTGTTAACTTACTTATCACAACTTCCAGCAAGTAACGTCTGTCCCTCGTAAGGATGCCACTTGAGGGTTTGCACCTTTTCACAGAACGCATCAATGGTGGTATTAACACTGCCAGTTTCAAGGTCCCACAGGATTACCGTTTGATCAACTGAACCACTGGCTAACACATGTGTGAAATTAGTATTCCAAGAGAGATCAAGCACAGCATCCTTGTGACCAATATGATCCCGTTTCTTCTTGCTTTTTCGTTTTTTTTTGCTGAAGTGGACAGCAACAGGGTCTTTACTCTCATAGTCTGAAGTACCAAGTACATACGCAGGCTCTAAGCAGTCAACAATGTCCAAGTCCATGACATGTATGACTGGTGTCATGCCACCAATAGCACAGAGATTAGCTGAAACAAATACATGGTTCATTGTCAATAACTGGCTCAAAACTAACAAGTCAGCAAATAGTGTTGTAAACATGAACATCACAGTAAAGGTACATACAATCAGTGGGTGATGATGGATCATAACTCAGCCATTCCAAACATAATGGAATATCAGGTAATAGGAGGTCGTGGTGAACATAAAGGGAGCCCTCGTCTTCATTTTGAACTGGAGAAATATATGAATTCAGAAACCAACTACCTCCAATTACAATTTTTTAAAATGAATGAGTTATTGTATTTACCATAAACTTCTAGAACTGCTTGATCCCCGACAACATGGCCCACAAGAATAAGATTATCATTGGGATTAATAAGGTCATCTCCTTTCTCACTATCCTCGTCCTCATCATCTGGTAAAGTAATATATGGGTCTTCCTTATTGCTCGAGAAGACTGTCAGACCAGCAATACCTCCAACAATATCTGGTTCTTCTGCAATTTCAAACACATTTCCAATCAGCCCATTAAAAACTGTTCAACGACAAACCAGAAACATTGGAAAGTAACATACCATCATCATATTTATCAAAGCCATATTTGTCTTCCGTATCAGAGTCGTTTTTCTTTTCAGATTTAACCTCTTTGGTCTGAGATTGGCTTGAGCTCTCAGCATCACTAGCACCAGATTCATCTGAACCATCTTCGTCAGATTCAAGGGCTCTTGAAAAGAAAAGTGCATTATTAAATTGAAATTGTGACAAGAACTATTCGAACACTATGACCAATAACAAAACTCACCCCGAATTGCTTCCTTTCAGAATCTCCGCTAATTCATCCTCAGAAAGCTTCACCTACAGCAAACAAGAGTATCGGTTCAAGAGAAACATTGAAATTTACGTATCAACAAATCTAACCTGAAAAATACAATGCACCGAAAATTACTTTTTCTGGTTCTGCTTTTGCAACTCCACGCCTCACCCACGTTAAACAAGGAATAAAATTTAGTCTTTCATCAGGTTCTCCTTCTTCCATACTGGTAAATGTTTCAGTAACTCAGAAAAGGCTGGAATATGAAGCGTATTTGTCACACGTGAAGGAATAGAGGAAAGAAGAGGTTAGTTTTTGGATGTGTTGACGGTGATGAAAAATCCACAAGTTATGAAAAGTTCATAGTTCATCGAACAGCACTTCTGAATTTTAATTCTTCTAGAGATAAATGCCTCAAAACTTTGTTTCAGATCTTAGAAAATCGAAGGGAGGGTCACCGTTTGATACAGTTTTATTACCAAATTTAGGATGTCTACAAAGTTTTCTATGACACTGAGGAGCTCGGTAAAAGTCCTGCAAAGCAAGTTCCCAACCCCTAACTATGTAAGTTTTGGACCCTTCAATCAATCACTTGGAAGTATCTCAATTTATTTACTAATATTCATTCGGCCACTAATATTGTCATGCCTTTGCTCGTTATTTGTGTCAGGCCATTCACACATTTGTTGCAATATGTCAACAAAATCACATGAAAACACATCAGGCTGATATAATGGCCCGTGGTCTTCCCAAGAGAAAGAAGATTGATGGTGTTAAACATATATTGCTTGTGGCGTCAGGGAAAGGAGGGGTTGGTAAATCAACAACCGCAGGTTTGAGAGCAGCTGTACTTTAAGTTAAAGTTGTTCAAAGTCATAATAATTTTAATTGTTTTCTTATGAATGTCTTCTTTTTTCAGTAAATATTGCTGTTTCCCTTAAAAATGAAGACCCAAGCAAACAAGTTGGTTTATTAGATGCTGATGTTTTTGGTCCCTCTATTCCTTTAATGATGAACCTCGATGATTCTCCCCTTCTCACTAAAGGTACGACTCATTTTAAAATTCTGTTCTCAATTAGCGAGTTAGGGTAAAGTGAGTTTGTTTACCAAGCTGTTTGCCTTGTACATATGTTTTTCTTATTTTAGAAAATCTAATGGTTCCCCTTCAAAATTATGGTGTTAAATGGTGAGGTTCTTCTACTTTACACCTTATTGCTTTGTGGAAATTGTGGTTAAATCTTTACGTCGCTTTTCAATAATTTTAGTATGTCAATGGGTTTTCTCGTCAACAAAGACTCTCCTGTCATTTGGAGGGGCCTTATGGTAATGCAAGCTTTGGATCGGTTACTTCGACAAGTTTCATGGGACCCAGTGGACTACCTCGTCATTGATACTCCACCAGGAACAGGAGACACCCATCTTTCATTGATTCAAAATGTTCCAATCTCAGGTGATTCGAGTTTAATTGATTTTTGCTTTGCATGATGTGTGAATTTATAATTGTTGTTTCTAATGCATTGTTTTTAGGAGCTCTCTTGGTGACTACACCTCAAACAGCTGCATTACAAGTGACTCAGAGAGGGGCCAACATGTTTAAAAAACTTGATATACCAGTTTTAGGAATAATCCAAAATATGACCTCGGTGGAATGTCCCAAATGCCAGAATGAAGTACGCCTTCATAGCAAAGCAGCTAATTTACTGCTGGAAAATCTGGGTTAGTTATTGCTTTACACTACCTTTCCAAATGATTTAAAAAAATAATAATGTTTCTGACTTTTTCAATATGCAATGAAAATTTCATTTTTACATTCCAGGAGTGCCAGTGCTAGCTGATATTCCACTAGATAATGATATTAGCCAAGGGTCTGATAATGGTATTCCTGTAGTAGTAGCTTCACAAGAAAGTCCACAGGTAAGAGAAATTGACTAGTTTTTAAGGCAGGGTTTGAGAATTAACCAAATAGGTTCTGCTGACATTTTCTTGAATACCTTATACTCAAGAAATCTGTGGCAAAACAGCAGTACCTATTACGTTACATCAGTGAACCCTGCATCTGAGGTAACAAACATTTCTCAGTGATTTAGTAATGTTTTCTCACTAGGCGAAGTCTTACAAAGCAGTGGCCCAGAAAATTATAAAATACTTGAATGACAAAGAAAATGACCCAGTTACCAACAAATTATAAGTTTTGAACATTCTCTGTGATAATTGGAACACAAAGAACTTAAGCATGTTATGCACACTTCATGTCACATTGCCACTTTGATGATCTGTATTCTAGACTTGATTACAAGTCTATTTTGGAGTATGAGCTATCACATTGATTAATTCTGCAAGGGTAGCATTGGTTCTTACAGCAAGAGGGTCAAAGTGAGTGCGACTTGCTCTGAAACCTGCTTTTTGCAGGGACAGAACTACATTTGAAGCTTTAACCATTTTTGGTCCTTTAGGGCAGTGCTTATGCAAGTTGAAATAAAAGCATGGTTCTTCTGAATTGTTGCTCTGTGCATCTTCTTTCTTCTTTTTCTTACAAGGTGGTTCCTTATCTTGTATCAGTGGTAATGACTCCTGAATGCTTGGGATTGATTTATCCACAGTTGTTTCTCCTCGTAGCTTTGGGCACCTAGTCAATTCAGAATAATATTTTAAACAAGTACATACCTCACCGTTTATTAAGAATTAATTTTTATAATAATTACCTAGACTCAATTAGAATGGCTTCCATTGTTTCTTTTATCTTATTCATCCAGGGAAACTTTTTAAGATGGTGCATCATTTCACTTATAAAATTCATATTAAAAAGTTGTCCAGCCCAAACAGGCCCTAGGTTGACAATCACCTTTCCAGGAGTGTTCACAACACATTTGCAAGACAGTAATTTTTCAGGATTTTCTGTAGAATTTTTTTTTTTTTAAATTAGGAAGTAGAAGTGTTAAGAGAACAGATGGACAGTAAACATTTGAATTAACTTACGAACTGGGTAGATTGAACAAGGATAAAAGGCTCGATCCTCACACATGCTACAGTGAACAAGAGACTTGATCTTAGTCAGACAGGCATTAGCTTGAGCTGGTCCCTTTAAGATCCGAAGTATGATAGTAATGGTGGATTTAACTGATAAAACGCACAAAACCTGTAGACCTTTGTTGTGAATAGCTGCAGATCTATGAAGAAAATATTTATTAATCAATTAAGACAAGATCACTTGATGAGAAACTGTTTTCTGCTTACCTCACCATTCCCGCAATGATTAGGCGAGCTGCTAACTCCTTAGAATAGAATGTTCTTGTAATTGTACCACCATAATTACGAAGAGCAATTTCTGGAGTTCTCCCATAAAGGGCCCCATCATCCTTCGTAGAGATTGCTACCAGCCCCTGCTTAGCAACATTTCTCATTAATGAATCCAGAAAAAAGGCTGCATCAGTGTGACAGTCAAGATACCTAGAATCAAGGAACTTCAGAGAGAATATGCTCCATAACTGAAATTTCTAGATTGGTCTGAGTTTTACTTACACAAAACTGAAAGGCATTTCATGGAGTAAAATACATGGATCTTTCTTATGAACATTCACATCCAAATTATTGTTTCTACTGTTCTGTGAAATTATTTCATGGGATGTCTCATGAGCATCATTTATGTGAACATCCACTTTTTCACCAAGATGTTTTTTCCAAAGAAGGCCTGCAACTCCAGTGGATCCGATCACATCAATACATTTAACTGGGCTAAAAACCGAATCACCACTATCGGCAAAGACGCTGAGAGCAGTTGCCACAATGGCCCTGAAAATATAAGTACGACAGTGGTGGACAAAATTTACTAGAAGACCTGAAAGTAAAAGTACTGAAACATCTTTCTTGAAAATCTGTAAACATTTTTAATTTTCAATACACATTTTTTTTTTTAAGTTAAGACCTAACCTGTTAATATCCATATCTTGACAATAATATCCCTCATTTCTCTTAGGAGACAGTGAATCTTTATTTACATTTAGACAGACACCAAATTCTGTCACTTCTATTAAATTAGTCGCATTGTCCATTGAACCAGAAACACATAAGTCTGCCATAGTTCTTGGCTATTTTCCTCACTCATGTGTTTTCACAGCACGGCAACTAGCAACCACAACACAGCAGCGATTCAAACTTTACGCGCGGTTTTTTAGAGTACGAAAAATTTCGAGACATCTTTCCTTTTTTAAAATTTCTCATAATACCTCTTTGCCCAAGCATTGGCGCTAACCTTGTTTGAACTCCTTGAATTATTGTGTTTCTTTCAAATGTGTTTGCAGCGTTAAATTATCATTGAAGCTCGTCGATGTGTCAGTTTTGTGTGTTCTATTAGCGTTAGAACTATCTTGAGTCATCAGTAATTTTCGTGCGATTGATATGGCTTACAATTTCGGCCCCCCGGCATCCTCTGCTCCAGCATTTAGTGGATTTGGTACAACTAATACGGCTACAACAAAAGGTACGTTAAAACACGACTCCGTAGGTTAACTTAAGCTATCTACAGGTTTAAAATGATTTTTCAAAGTAGAATTGATTACCAACAAGATGAATCCGTGGGAGGATTGAGGTTATGTTCTAGTGTTATTTTTCACAGGTTTCTTTTTGCCCTATGTTCATGTCATCATCATTCATTTTTAACATTTTTTCCCTAATACCATAATTACTTGTTATTTTTGTTTTGTTTTTGTTTTCATGTTCTATCAGCTCAATTTGGAGCTAGTGGATTTGGGTTCTCTGCTCAAACAACGACTCCAGCTTTTGGGCAAGCACCTGCAGCAGGAACATCTAGTTTTGGATTTGGTGCAGCTGCTCCAACAACAAGCAGCACTGGTTTTGGTATATCTACTTGGTTCTCAAGAATATTGATGATAATTATAATTTTGCTTTCCTGCATTTTTGTTACTGTACACTTCCATTTCATTTTGAGCACTATTTTTACACAATTTATGTAAGTTATACCTTGATGGTAATGATGGTTAATTTTTAAGGTTTTGGAACAACAACTACAACATCATCTGGCTTTGGAAGTTTTGGCGCTACCCCAGCATCATCAGCTCCTTCAACGGGATTTAGTTTTGGGTCTTTTGGATCTCAAACCACTACGTCGACTGCTGGACCTACTGGAAGCAATTTGTTTTCAGGCTTTGGACAGCAGGCACCGACCCAAACACAACCCCAAACTTCAACTGCAGGTGAAGCAGATATGCTTTTGGCACTTTTCATTTTCTTGTATTCTGTGGATTTATTCTGTTTTATCTTGCTCTTTTGGTTATTTGTTTCAGGATTTGGTGGCTTGGGATCATTTGGATCCAAGCCTCTTGGAACTGGTGCTCCTTCCTTTGGTGGATTTGGTAGTACGGGCACTAGCTTTGGTACTACTGGAGCTGGTTTTGGTGGGGCCACAACAGGATTTGGCGCTGCAGGTACTGGATTTGGAAGTACTGGAAGCTCCTTTGGAGCCTCAGGGACCGGATTTGGTGGTACAGGAACCTCATTTGGTACTACGGGAAGCGCTTTTGGCACAACTGGAACTGGGGCAGGTTTTGGTGGAGCAGGATCAGCATTTGGTTCAACTGGATCCGCATTTGGGGGTGCCCCAAACACTTTTTCAGCAGGTGAAACACCATTGCATCATTTCCTCCCAACTTCTCTTTGGAATTCCTAAAGTTTTCTTTCTATTTTCAGGTTTTGGTCAGCAGTCACAACAAGCTCAACAGCCAAATCAGCATGAAGCTCTTTACAATGCATTAGTTAATGTTAATATATTTGGTGATGAACGAGATACAACTTTAACTCGTTGGAATCAATTGCAAGCTGTGTGGGGAACTGGAGTTGGTAAGAAACTTAAGTGTGTCAATTTTTTTTTTAATTTTCTTGTGTTGCTTTTGTTACGGTTCTTTTATCTCTATTTTTTTAAATTGAAGGATGGTATTCTACAACTGCTCCTCCTGTTGAATTTACTCCAAACAATCCATTCTGTCGCTTCAAAGCTGTGGGTTACAGTGTTAAACTTACAGCAGACAATAAGGAGGGCTTGGTGGCTGTTAACTTTAATAAAAAAGAAAGTGAAATAAGGTTTGTAATGCCATTTTAGTTGTAAACTTGATGTTTCATATACTCATTAAATTTTAGTCTGAAATCAAATCAAATAATTTTTAAGGCAGGAGCAAACTCAGCTTGTTACCAAGTTCAGTCAAATATTAGGTAATAAGCCAAATCTTACCGTTAATGTGGCGGGAATTAAGCCTCTATCAGACTCTAAATCGCAAGTTGTGATAACTGTGCAAGAGAAAGGAGCTACAGGTATATTCATATTTCTTTTGAGTATCTATGCAACCTTCAGAGCACCAAGGTGCAGTGTCAAACAACTTGTTTATTTTGCAGGATCTGTTCACAAAATTCCAGCAACGGAGTTGGCCACATTTCTCCTTCAGCAGTCTCAAAGGCAGCATTTATTAACACTTGGAGTGGACAATGTTTATCCTCAAGTAGCTCTAGATGAAGACCAATTAAAGGAATATCTTGAAAACCCACCTAGTGGTCTGTTGTGCTTCTAATGAGATTTCTTAATCATATTTTCTTTCAAGAAGAGTAGGATATAATGTTTCAAAAATGTTTTGCTGTAGGTATTGACCCTCGATTATGGAAACAAGCTATTCAGGACAACCCAAACCCAGAAAAATTCATTCCTGTTCCCATGATTGGATTTAAAGAAGTGAGGTGGAGAATGCAGTGCCAAGAACAAGAAACAGCCTTGCATCAAGCTTTCCTAGACAAAGTTGCTGAGGAAGTTCAAACTCTTCAGCGCAAGCAAGCTGCTACTGTTGCAAAGACAACGGAATATCGCAGAAAACTTATAGAACTTGAACATCGTTTATTACAGGTTTGATCCTAACTTGACTGAAATGTTATATTTTTATTTGACCTCAGTGACATATACCTCAAATTTATTTCAGCTTCTTGTCAAGCAAGAAATTACTAGGAAAGTTGGACTTGCTCTTACACCTGAGGAAGAAGCGATTAGAGGTCATCTTGAATCACTGCAACCTCATATGTATGCTCCCACTCACCTCAAGGTAAGTTCTGCATTGTAAGGATCATTCTGTCCTCATCACTGCTACAGTGTATTATGGTTTATTGGAATTTGTTTTACTTTAGGGAAGATTGGCAGAGTTACTTTCCACGATACGAATGCAGAGAGAAAAGGGGGAACAAAAAGAATCTGAAAGATATACCATGGATCCGACTGTGCAGGATGACATTAAACAAGTGAGGTTCCTTTCTTTATGTTCAAAAAGTTTACCTTTATCTCTCCAACTTGAGTTCTTAAACATCTCCTTTACTTTATTTTAGTTTTTGCGAATGCAACAAGATGGGATGCAGCACCTTGTCCAAACCATTCAACAGGATATGGCTGATCTCAAGATAATTAAGGAAGGGATGATAAAGTTACTGCACCGCCAATGATCCAATTGAAACTAAGGATAATTTTAATGAAGTCTTGAATGTGATTTCTTTATGGTAAAAGAAAAACAAAAACTTCTTCATAATAGGTTATTTATTACATGAATTTAACAACTCAATCATTGTACCAACCATCATTTGCAATGTCAGCCCCTTTTTAAAAATTACTTAAGCAGACTACTGGAATTAATTAAATATCCACTTTTAATTATGTGTGTATCCTTTGATTCAACTACTTCCCATGTTAACTTGTTTGATTTTATTATTGGTTCTGGAAAATCAAATTATTTTCGGAGGTTTGTGGGTGGTAACAAGAATTGAATGTTGTGTTGCTCGAGGATTTTCCTGTTCTCCCCCATCAAGTGTGTCTCGGCCTCGACTGTGGGCTTTGTTGCCAGTGTGACAAAACAATTCAAAACATTTGGATTTTTTGTTTCTTTAATTTCATTATTAAATTAAGGAAGGAAGTAAGAACAATTTCTTGATTAGTAAATTTTAATCACTATGTGAAAAACTTTAAGTTCAAAACTAACTACAAATATTAATCAGTTTTCTTAGTCTTGTATTGTGCAATGGTTCTCAGCCTCTCGATTAAAGTAGGGTGGGAGAAGTGGTAAAGTGAGTACCATCTATCATTGAATGGGAATGAAAGGTTGTCAACATGCAGCTTGATAAGAGACGCACCAAGCTCTTTAGAATATCCTAAGGTTGTTGCAAAATAATCAGCTTGGTACTCGAAGTGGCGAGACAGGCATCCCATGAGTAAATTGATGACCTGATTAGAAGAGACAAATGACAATACAGTAAATGAAGGCCTTCAGATTATAAGGGCAGCCTAAACTGATATAAAACTTGGTCTTACCACTTTGCACGGCGTGAGAATATTTCCAAGAATAACAGTGAGACCAATAACAGCTGGTTGACTTTTTGAAAAACCAAACGCGCGGTAGAGACTCTTTGAATTCAATACCTTTGAAAACAGGATGAAAAAAAGGAGAATTTTCACCTAGAAAGAGAACATAGTGTTAATATAATGAGACTTAGAAGTTTAACTAACAAAACCAGGCAAAGTTGACATTAGTAACCTCTGTAATAATCAACATCTTGACCATATGGCTATATTTCCAATGACCGAGTTCATGCCCCAACACAGCAACAATTTCCTCTGTGGTGCATCCACGATCTTTTTTAGCGTTTTGTTTTTCCTCTAGCTTCTTTTTCTCCTCTGCTGTAATATCTTTATCATCACCATTTTTCTTGTCCTCCTCTGTGGCATCAGCAGACTTATAGCCCTTGATCAATGTGTCAAAGAGGACAATTCTCTTGTTCTTGAAAAATCCATAGAGGTAAGCATTGCTATGGGCTGAACGCTTGGAACCTTCAGAGGAAATTAAAATAAAATACAGATTTAGAATAGGAATTTAATCTTAAGTGGGGTATGAACAAGAAGAATTCTCACCTTCAACAACAAACAATTTAGTGAGTGGATAGTCAAGCTTTTTGGCCAGGGCCTCTATTTCGGTCCTAAGTTCTCCCTCTGGGAGAGACGTATACTTATCAAACAATGGAGCAATGTAAACTGGATAGATGGTCATCATCACTAATATAACAACTGTAGTGAATCCCCATGCATAAAAGGCAAAATAAGGACCACCAGCCTTAATAATAAAAATTATGCCACTGAGTATTGGAAAAGTAATGACTTGGGAAAGAAAGAATTTTTTGATTTCGTCTTTCACAAAGAATCCCAAAGTCTGGAAAAAGAAAATTTAAAATTGTGAACACAGGGTAAGTATAAATAACACAAAGAATGAGAATGATGTTGCATTGTCATTATGACCATTATTGAGGAATTTGGACAGTACTGACCTGATTGTTGAACCCATGTTTCTCCTCAATCACAAATGTTGAGTACAGCTTGAAAGGAGTGTTCAGAACCACCTCAACAATGCTGCTTAAAACTACGAATACATAAGTCTGGTTGATTTCATACTTATCAATAGGTAGACCTATCTTATTTAAGATGAGTTCAGAGGATATCCAGAGCAGGACATGCATTTTTAGCATGAGTGTTGACTGGGGAATAAATGCTAGTTAATGCATCACAGACAATCATTTCGGTTGTGAAAATAATAACATCAAACTTGAAGCAACTTACAATATTAATAATGAGATCAAACTGAGCTTGTACGAGACCAAACATATTTTTATCAAGGGCATACTGCCTACTCTTTTCAAATTTTTCTTTGTCCATATCATTTTTAAGTTCTGGTGGAACTTCTCCCTCCTGAGCCAGCACTTTCCTCTGAAAAGTATTGGTAATTTGTTAAAAACAATCCATAGGTCAAAACAAATATTAAAATCTTTAAATGAGACAAGCATACTGACCTGTCGAAAAGCTAGGTAAGATTCGCAAAGGCTCACCGCAGTCATGGCTATGGCAATTGATGACATAAGATTGCCTTCATCAATATTTAATTTAGAAATGAAAGCCATTGCAGAGGATCCCAGGAGAGGGCCAAATAAATTGTTGAGAAAAGCCATCATTCAAACCTGTCAAAGCAGGAGTACAGATGACCTGCAAAAGAGATGAATTAGCAGATTGGAACTTCAATGAGTAAATGTAGATAATGAGACAAGGAAAAAAAGGTGCAACAACTATGAATTACAAAATAAATTCCCATTATAAAACATGACAGAGTTTCTTGTAAAATTCAAAATGAAGTAAGCCTAGCACAACCACCCTCTCTGACTTGTACCTAAAACACACAAAGCACAAACCCATGATGGTTAAACAATAGACAATTCGATGTAAGGTCAAGATACAAGCAAGATATAATACAATAAAAGGGTTTAACAGTTTATAGACCTTTCAAGGATACAATAACCACTTCTACGCACGGAATTTCCTCTCAAAATCAAGGTCTCGTAGGTTGAAAATGCGACTTTTTTTCTCAGATGGATACGTGACACTTACTAACCAAATTTAAACTAGCAATCTGACGCGAGCCAGTGTTAATTTACGAAGCCAAAGTATCCTATTTATTTTCACTTACTTCCTCAGCTGCTCGCGCGGCCGCCAATCTGTGCAAACAAGCAGTAAAAACAGCGACATTTTTGAAAACGTGAACTTACGGATGCAAAGCGTAAACTAGATCGACGCGAGCCTGTTTGTCCAATTTCCTGGTAACACCCTTCCTGCAGGGGCTCGCGGCCCTCCAAAGCTGTGCTTCTTGCGACCGTTAAAACACCACAGAAACTGAAAAATGCCCCGCGACTACTCGTCCCCGTACCTGTGAAGGGCCCTTTTTTCCCGCAAAATGAGCCTTTGGCTGGGTCGACTATAGGAAGCTGTCCTGATCTGGAATTGTTATGGTATTCGGTGACAATGGCTTGCACTTTCATTGTTAGCAATTATTTATCTTTAATATGACGAAGTAGTTACCCTCTTGAAAATACCTCGGTCGGAAAAAGACTGTTCCTCGATCGATTAATTTTTGAAAATTGTACGTAAGTTAGCGAATATGTCGTCTGCTCGAGCAGCTGTAACTTACACAATCATTGTTTTACGTTACTCAATTACAAAAAATAATCAAAGTGAGAGATGGTTAAAGTGCAAAATGCACAAATAAAATTCTGATAAACGCACAATTTCAAACTCTCAAAATCAAGGTCTTAGTTTAGTAATGCAGCTTCATTATGATTCTCAGCATGTCCACGTGACACTTACCTCAAGGCCGAGAACCGTTTTGAAGGGCTAGGCAGATCGTCTGAACCGCGATCGACCAGTGTTAATGGTAACGAACCGAAGTATCCGTTTTTCCTTATACTTTATTCCACGATCGCAGGTCCAAAGCTAGTGGTAAACCAACGCGACATCGTTCCGCACGGGATGATTTGAACAGGACCGGGCGACTATTCACAGCAGCTGAGCTGTTTCTTTGTGTGGATAAGAGGTAGTCTGCTCTTGGCCTCTTTGCTCTCTTCTCTTGTTGTGGTTTTTGCTGGAACAGACTTAAAACATGTCAAATAGTCACTTATTTTTACCCTCTGGGTTTCCAAGAGCGACTTTAGGCAATGGAATAGGACGGTATATCTGTCAGTTAAAAAGAATAACCCTAAAGTTTTGTAAAGAACGAGGTAGCAGCATGGGTATGAGGTTAGTGTACAATAGGATCTTCTGTTATTTTCTGTTATTATGGTAGTTCTAGCTAAGATTATATTTGTAAAAGAGTGGTGACATTTGACAAACTTTTCTTTACCTGCTTGGTTGTATTCATCGATGGGCAGTGCTAACTCTATGCATTTGCAGGGACTTCTTAGAGCATGATCTAGTCGACTACGCATCCAAACACCCAAGTGTTGTGGTCTATGTAAAGCCAAGGAGAAACAGAAGCGCAGTAATTAAAGCTGAGTACTGTAAGTAGTAAGACAACGTTCCATTATACCACATTGACCCTTTTAAACTTTTCTTTTTTTTTGTGTTAGGCAATGGAGAAGAATTTTGGATGTCTACATATAAAATGACCCGAGAGGAGATACGCAAATGGTTAGAACTTTGCACAACTCAAAATGATGGTGCAGAATTTCGTTTTCGCAAGATGATGCACACAGATACACCTTCAATTCAGGGACCATGGACACCATTCTCACACCGCAACCCTGAACTCAACACAGCTTCATTCCCTCATGTAAGTTTTATTCCACTCCCTAATTCTCTGAAATATTACATTCGTTTTTATATATTACTTATCGTTCTGCAGTTTTTAATGGAACAATTTGTTTTTTTTTTTTCTAGGAGGAGCTTTCTAAACCAGTTTTTATACCTCAGTCAGCAACAGACCGTCTGATTGAATTATTCAAAGAGCAGCAACATACATTAAAATCTGTGAAGGAAGGATAAAAATTGAGAATAAATTTGCATTTTATGTGCTCTGCAATTGTTATTGTTGTGGGTCTTCTTTATAATATTAGTATTATATGCAAACATCAATTAAATGTCTTTCTGTGTTTGTAAGATGTAGATATCTTGTTCAGCTACTGTAAATATAAGGGTCAGATTGCATGTGTTGGTGTCTTATTTCTTCATTCCAATCAAGATATCCTGGTATTCCCTTTGTTCAGCGATTGAATGTGTCCGCCCCTTCTTTACAACCCATGCCCTCTGACGATGAGCGTTTCGACCGAGTTCCTTCCGTCCATAGACAACCGTGAGCTACAGCGAAATTTTCACTGAAATTATGAGAACAAGCAATCTCTTTGACGAAATCATGAGAGAATGGCTTCTTGATGAAATACGAAATTAGTGATAAACGTGCTGCTTCTCCTCCCCCCCTCCTTTTCTCGTTCTGCTGGGGCCGCGGCCGGCTTCGGCTGTGCTTCGGCCCTACTTCGGAGACTTCGGCTTCGGCTCAGCCTCAGCACTCAGCGCTCGGCCGGCAGTCGGCGACAGGCTTCTCTCGATGCCGGTTCGTGACGAGACGAGTGACTTGTATTCACTGTCGTGCTGAATTGGCAAGTTAATCTCACAGCGTATTTCGTGCCTTTTTTGCTTCCGTTGTACTATTGCTGCATCCTTGAGTGCGCTCTGTTTCCTCGCCGAATTCCTCGTTTAACTTACAACTCCTGTCTGTTGGGTCTGTCTGTTGTCTGTTGCTACGTGTCTCGCGAGGGCTGGGACAAGGGTATCCCCCGAGTAATCAAATAGAAAGCTGGGCCTACGTTGGCGTTTCACGGACAAGATTTGATCTTCCCGTATAATCCCAATTTATTCTGATTACGTTGAGCTTGAACTGCTTCAAAAAATTTGTGCGAAAGTGTCATACTGCTGTCGTTAGCCTCAATAGTCTCTGCCAACTCGACTCGACCTCTTTAACTTATTTCGAAGCTTTGTGTTTTTGATCCGAATCGTAACTGTCTGCGTGATTTCCACCTCTCCGATGATTCTGCTCTTGTGGTCCCAAGTGTATTTTACTTACTTCAGTTTGATTTGCAATTTTTATAATTTTTTGTAGGTTAAATTGAGATAGTAGTATTTTTTCATTATATGTCCTTTCTAGACCTTACTATGAAAAGACATCACCTCGAAACGCCATAATTTATTTTTAATTAGTTTGTCTTTCATTTTGTAGGAAACTATGCCTCCAAAACCAGCTCGGTCATCTTCCGAGCCATCGGCTGATGTCGAGGTATTTTTTTTTCTTAAATTTTGCCATAAAATTTAACAGTTTATTGGATTATTTTCTTCATGTATTTATAGAAAGAAGATGCTGATGCTGAACTAGACGAAGCTAGTGAAAGCGAAGATGATGAAGTGGTGACAAATAGAGGACTGCTCAATCCAGCAGGAGGTAATGTTGACATTTTGCTACCTTTACGTTTCTTCTTTGTTCAAGTAGTATTGTTAGGAATGTTATCATTTTCACTTTCACGAACAAGATAAACTTTTCCTTTTTTTTCAGGTATTGTTGAAGAAGCAGACGAAAAGTTTGAGAGAGAATTGGAGGATGAATTAGAAGAGGTATGTGTAGTGGAAAGGCTATAGCTGTCTCTTTGCTTTGAAAATTTATGCCATCTATGCTTTTCCTTGTATATTTGGAAATGATATTCATTCACAAATTCTTTTATAGGTTTGTGATGTGCTCAGCAAACCTTCAGATGGAAAATTGATACAAGTTATCTCAAGACTTAAACGGGTCAATTCACTGTCCAATGCTAGATATCAAGATATCTTACCCCAGGTCATAGATGGACGGAAATTCATCATTGATGGAGACAGTTTGCTTATGTTGGCCCTTGATTCTAAGGGATATTCAATGGAAAATGGAGGACAAACATTACACTTGATATATCTGGTTGAAAAGTTTCTTATGAGTTTCTTATCAAGGCATTTAAACTGTGTTATTGTATTTTTTGAGGTAAGCTGGTTTAATGTTTTACTTTATCAGTTATACTTACATTACTTTTTGTGGCAGGGATTGAGTTTCATGTTAATCCTTTTTCCAGGTGTGGGATCATTGTTGGAAGCCGTTTCCCGACTGGAATATTGCCAGGGCTGCACTAAAATTGCACTTCTTGCATAATCAAAAACAAATTAGTGTGTTGAACATGCGGTCTTTATGGGCTGAGGATTTTTTCAATTTAATTGATGACCTGAAACCAAGTTTCATCTTAATGGCTCAACACTTGCCTGACCTTCTTCCTGCAACTCTTGGACCTGATAAGACTGCAACAAACTGGATGCAGTTCATCTTGAGCGCACAATCTCTTTATTGTGAGTTTTTATGTTTGGATGTTGTTGACATGGGTACTGTTCATTCCACTACTGTCAGTCTCATGGCAACTGTTCATGTGCACATCAACAATTTCCAAAACATGAAAGAAGACGTATTGAGGGAAATCAGCTCTATGGAAGAGAAAATGCCAACAGAAGAAAAAACTCCGAATTATGATGAGTTCCCTGAATCCGGCATTCGAAGTTCTACTTTTATTTTATCTGCAGCAGCTGTTTTAAAAAGGAACTCCTCAAAAGATGTCATGACTGTTGTCAAAACTGTGATTCTATCTGCAGCAATTTTGGAGTTCATTCCTCTGAAAATGAGGTGTATCAAGAATACTTTAACATTGCCTTTGCCAGTAGTTCAAATTTTGAAAGACTTTCAATCTGAATTAGCAATAGTTCTAAGTGGTGTTTCTCCTGACAGTTCTTTTATTGACTTCAGAATGGCTGCAGATTTGTGGCATGGAAGATTTATTCAATCTGTTTTTAATTGTGTTGCTGAAGCCGGTGTGATTGTTTGTGGAGACCTGGGGAACATAATTGCAAGTCGATATGAAGAGTTGGTGGAACATGTGAACAAAAAAACTGATACAGTTAAATTGCTGCCATACCCCATTGAACACATTTGTGAAGGGCCCTGTGTTGGTCATGCTTTAGAGAAAGTTTCACCCATGGCAACTGATAAGTTTAAAAGCAAAATTATTCCAACCTCATGCAAGCTTGCAGAACTGTTCAGTGGGAAGTTAACATCTGAGAAAGAAGTCTATTCATCATGTTCTGTCAAAGAGTCAGATGAAGACTTTCTGGATGAAAACAGGCTATCCTTTAGCGAAAAACCACTACTAGATGAATATGAGCTCATACCTGATCAGGATGCTAAGGATGCTCAAAAAGAGGTAAACAAGCGCTATGCCCAGAGTGGAAGAAACCGACTGGCTCGGTTTTACACAATTTATGGACTAAATCTTGAAGGACGATCTTCTGTTAAGGCCATCGTTAGCAATAGCAATTCTAACAGGCCAATTGAAAGCCAAAAGAAGCAACTTGACAAACCTAAATCTCAGGCAAAAGGTAAATTGAGTAAGAAAGAGAAGATTATAGAAGATAATATTAAGAGAATCCAAGAAGATAAGTTGAAGCAGATTAAAGAAAGGCTTAAAAGTTTCACCTCTAATTTTTCCAGTCTGGTGCTTAAGGGAGATTTTAATGCTGCTATTGAGAAATGTGATATAGAGCTTCATCGAGCAAGTGAGTTTAGTGAAATTGTTCTTGAAATTTTATTTTTGAAAGCGAAGGCCTGTTTGGGACTGTGGACTGAGGCATGCTACTCAAAGCTGCCCACAAAAGATTACACTGGTGCTAAAGACCTTTTCTTAGTTATCAGAGAAATTTTCAAGATTGTTGAAGAGAATAAGCTGCCTCTAGGTTCAAAGCAGAAAACATCATTGTCTACTTGGCTTCACGAGTTAGGTTTCAAAGATCTGTGTGCCATTAGGGGTCTTCCTGAACCAACCAAAAGTGTTAAAGGAGATTTGGCAGTGGGAATGGATTATGTGGAGTTCCAACTGACCCAACTGGGAGCTGATCTCAACAGAGAAACAGGTGGAAAACCTGACCCAAGAGCTGATGGATTCATTCCAGATCCCTGGCAAGTTGATCTCTTCAACATAATTGATAAAAATCAGTCTGCTGTTGTTGTAGCACCAACATCCTCAGGGAAGACTTATGCCAGTTATTATTGTATGGAACAGGTTATCAGAAGTAGTGATGATGGAGTTGTTGTGTATGTTTGTCCCACCAAAGCTCTTGTAAATCAAGTTTATGCCACAATTTATGCTCGCTTCAAAAAGAACTTACCTCCTGGAAAGACCCTTCTTGGAATTTGTACTAAAGAGTTCAGACACAATGTAACAAACTGTCAAATTTTAACAACTGTTCCAGAATGCATGGAGCTTATGCTTCTGTCACCTAAATTGCAAAGTTGGGTGAAAAGGATCAAGTATGTGATTTTTGATGAAGTTCATTGTCTGGTTGCTCAAAGTGGCGGTTTATGTTGGGAAAATTCTATACTTCTCAACCGGAGTCCTTTTCTTGCTCTTTCGGCTACCATACACAAACCTGAAGAATTTTGTGGGTGGCTCCAAAAGGTGGAAGATTTTAAGCGTTTACAAGCAGAGAAGTTTGGACTTAAAGACAGGCGTTTTGATTCCTACAAAGTGAGCCTTGTTGTGCATTCAGAGCGGCATAACCATCTCATTAAAAGTGTGATGATGGATGATGGCTCTGTTCAACATGTGCACCCTTACTCTTTTTTGAGTCCTGGAACATCAAGTGAATTTAAAGGAATTCCTAAACATATATCATTGTCTCCTGATGAAGCCTTGGAGCTGTTTGTTGTAATGAAAAAGGAACTTGAGTCAGAGGAAGTAGATAACCTTTGTTTAAAGAAATATTTCCATGATCTTTGCCCCTCTGGTTATTTATCTATGCAGTCAGTGCAAAAATTCAGTGAGCTTCTGAGAGAGATTCTCAATAAGGAAAGTGAAAACAACCTCATCAAAGTATTGGAAAAATTACGTACTGTGGATTACTCTATCATAGATACATCCGACAGGTTTGTTTTAAGTAATGTTTCTGATGTTCTGAACTCAGTGAAGGATAGGAGTTTGATGCCAGCCTTAGTGTTCTCCTATAACCGGAGCTTGGTTGAAGCCTTGCCTATGAGACTCTTGAGGTATTTGAGAAATATTGATGATTTCACTGAAGATGAAGAAACAGATATAGAAAGTGAATCTGAAACAGAAAGTGGTAAGAAAACTGGTGTAAAAACCAATAGAAGATTCAAGGGCAAGCGTTACAAACGGAAGATTGGTCTCATGAGAGGACCTTCCATTCTCAAAAGCACTGGTTCATTAAGAGGAGAAGGGTTCACTGATGAGAAAGTTATTGAGTTCATAGAACACAGGCTTATTGTAATGGGGTACAAAGCCCAAGATTCCTTTCCAAGTTTGCTCCGAAGAGGCTTGGCAAGACATCATGAGGGTATGAATTCTCGTGAAAGAAGTGCTGTTGAAATGCTCTTCCGTTTGAAGGTTCTTAATTTTGTCTCTGCAACTGGTACGTTGGCTATGGGGATTCACATGCCCTGTAAAACAGTAGTTGTCGCGGGAGACAGCCCCTACTTGAATGTCCTAGAGTTTAACCAGATGTCTGGTCGTGCTGGAAGAAGAGGTTTTGATAAAGAGGGCAATGTTATTTTTTATGGAGTACATAAACGCAAGCTGAAAGCTCTCATGACTGGCAATTTACCACAAATGGTAGGAAACTTCCCATTGAGTGCCTCTTTGATTCTTCGCCTGCTTCTGCTCGTTGCTGATGCTTCCATTGATAGCAAGAGTCCTCAGGAGGCCACTAACGAGGCTCTTACAAGGTTTGTTGTTTTTTAAATTCTTTAGTTTAAAGTCATTTTCTGAAATTTATGGTGTCATTTTTCCATTTATTATTGATTATTTTGCCATAATTTTTCAGAGCATATACTCTGTTAGAAGGAAGCTTACTCTATGAATTCCAACCACATCTTCAAGATAAAATGAAGTACTACTTCTCCTTTGTTGTCCAATTCCTCATTCGTCAGGTAAAATCAGTTTTGGTTTTTGTGCTTTTTTAATACTTTTAACTTTGTGCCATTTGTCTTAAGTGTGCTTATTTTAATTTCAGAATCTACTGGGAAAAGATGGCAAACCTCATGTCAATGCCACGTTTATGACACATCTACATGACCATGAACCTGGCAATTTTGCCTTTTACTTTCTTCTAAATTCTGGGATTTTGGAGGAAATGTGCAAGTGTGACAAAGATGGAAATGTGAGGGAAGAGTCACTGCTTGAACTAGTGACAGTTTTGAATTTCCTTTTTGGTCGTCTTCCCCTCAGTCAGCATTTGTTGCACCGTAGGGTGAAAATCAGCTCACTTGTTGTTCTGCCCCCTTTGCCTGAGAAGGTTATTCTGGTAAGAAGTCTAAACACGACTGAACGTTCGCGTCACATCAAGCTAGATTCTCATACTTTAATGCGATTTAATTTAGGTCTTAGAGCAATACAACAAGGAGGTGTTAAGTACCTTCAGCCATTACTTCTTGTGTGTAGCAACAGACTTGAAGGAAAAGTTTGGTGATGAAACCAATCTGCCTCTTTCTCAGCTGAATGTCCAGCCTGAGAAGGTGTTGCCTTCAGAAGTCCTTGGTAGGTGTCACCAAATATTGTTTCCAGATTCACTTGCTTTACTATTGTACATTTATTTGTTTGAACTGTTTCTGTTTCAGAAGAAGGCAAATTGCAACCAGCGCTGGGAAGCTTATGCAGTTCTAGTAATGTGTGCTCTTCATTTGCTGGCTTGTCTGGAAACACAGATGATGAGCTATTTCCCTCATCCGGTGAACTACTGCACATCCGAGATGATGTATGGTTTTCTATGACTACCTTCACTAATTTCAAGTTACGAAGGGTTATCTTTGCATTCATGGTGCTTTAAATTATTTCTTCCAGGTAACTGTGAAGATAGTGCCCACACTGGAGTTAGATTTTCCGTGCAATTCCTATGCCTTGGATTTCTACAAGTATGGCAACGCAGATGCCATTCGCTATGAGAATGGTTTACGTTCTGGTCACGATTTTAATCTTCTCAAAGATTTCTCAACAGTCTTAAAGTGTATTCAAATATCACTCACAGAAATGCTAAACCCAGATGCCAAACTACTTAAAGCTATTGGACAGATTTCCGAAACTTTCAGTGGCAATTTAATTAAAGCTTACTGGGGATACAAGGGACTTTAATTTTGCCATTGTTTGTGACGAAGTTTGTCGTTTCTGGATAAAACTTATTCTGCTTGTTCATTTGTTTTGGTGCGCGCACATCTCTGGTATAGTTGTTTACTTTCTTTTTATGTGAATCTTCATTGTGATTGCACTATTCAATAAAGTATGGAGGAAAGTTAAATGTGTTCCATTACTTGTTTTTGGATAAAGGGAGGACACTTCAACTCGAATGAGTAGACCTAAATTATTTCATTTGTTTATTAACAGACACTTCCAAACAGTTTTAACCATTAAAGCAATCCAAACAAACAAGAAAAAAAAATCACAAGGGTTTTATACCGAGCATACTAATGGGCGGTGATCAGCAGGTCGATTACAGTTGCTCTTTTATGAGGAAAACAAAACATTATATTACCTACATAGTGTATTAGTTTCCCTTGGAGGCATGTCAGGAATTGTGAGGGATATCTCAGGAAGAGGTTCCTTCTGTAATCTGAAGGAACTAGGTTATACTGGATGACACATGAACTGCTAATGAGTTAGACTTTCTTTGGGGTAGACAAAACCCCTTGTGGAAGCCCTCCTTTACAGACCATAATGAATCCCATGGGTTATCAGTTTCATGTAATCATAGCAATGACAACAGAATATTAGAAATTAAGTTTTCTGTATTGAAGACCCTGCACAAGCCCTATTAAGGAAAGAAAACAATCTTAAATTCTGAAGAGAGGTCAATTTTAAGGCACTTAATTTCACTCCCAGTCGAAAGTAAAGTGATCAAAACTCTGTAGTAAAAAAGAAATCAATAAGTAAATGGAATCTGGACCGTGGCAATGCTTGTTGTTTCCTGCGACATTGGGCAGACAATCACAGTTTTTTCCATGAAGAAAGAAAAAAGAAATTTTTTCCAAAATAGAAGCACTTCGAAAAAAAAAAAAAGCAATCAATGGACAAAGTTTGGTATTATTTTTGGCATACATTACTTTGGGATTTAGGATTTTAGATGCTCTCAAGCATCTTACAAAGACTAAATAACACATGTTTACATCACATGACATGATATTTTGGCACATTAGCTGAATTTCACCTGATACAATAAGAAGCTCTTTCATTAGGATCCTATTGGTACAAATTTGTTCCCCTTTAGCTGTGTTAAGCTTTTAAGAAAAACACTCAGTAAATGAAACACAGCTCAAACATAAATCAGACGAACCATGAGAAATGAGCTTCAGGCAACTCACTCAGTCTTCAACAAGACTGTTGAAAGGCATATATGAAAAGTGTAAGACAATGCCATAACAAGTATTGTCCATAACTGACCTTGCATATTAAATCACAATTACTACTAGCATTAAACGACAGTACAATTTAAAAAATTTCATCCCATCTGGAAGATAAGACACTTGATCCAAAACATACAGGATATCTCAAAAATAGCACAATGAAGACAAAATCAACATTGGATTTAAATTTTCTCAAATTTTTTTAACACTAAAACAGAAACAAATTAAAATAGAAATTTTCACTACTTATTTAACAATGTGATAAAAAGGTAAACTAAGTACATATCTGATGAAGTCTTTGCTCAATTCAAATAGAAGCAATACGTAAGTACCACGTTGATTAAATTCTCTTCGCAAGGAAGGTTTCATTTCAAGCATTACAAAATAAAGGCCAACAAGACAAAATTAGCACCGCATTTAAGTTTTGACAGAGCTGGTAGCCATGTGAAATTTCTGATTAGATATGAAAAATTCTGAACTTTGAGTCACATTGTTTCTTTCTTTCATAAAACAGCTGTCGTAGTATCACTTCTCATTAACACATGCACCTGAATGCAAAGCCATGAGAAAAGTAAGAAAACCACAATTTTAAGCATCTAATTTTCTTCATTATTTAGGTAACACTCACAAAAGTAACAGATTCAAAAAAGGGGGAAAAAATATAGTGGAGTCAAGAAGGCAGGCCAGGCAGACAATAAAAAATGTCAAACTTGCAACTGCAGCCATATTTTGTTGATATTATGCATCCCAGAGAGGGTTGTATCACTAGCTGCAAATTGCTTGGGTTTTAACCAAAAAAGAGGTAAATGAGGAACTGCTTTGATAAAAGAACCGAACCTACTGCTCTTTAAAACTAAACTAAAATTAAAAAAAGAAAAAAAAAAGGAAGAGAGGAAGGTCAGAATGGATTACAATAACATAATCACAGCTAACACACTAGTCTCCTCACTAAGCTTTGGCCGCTAGTCGGTGTCATTGTGACATCTCTATTACTTACAAAAGTTCAAACCAACCAAACACAAACCTAAATAAATAATAACAAAAATTACAATGCAGGAAACCATCATGAATGAACTGCACAATGAACCAAATAGGAGAAAAGGAACTGGCTTTGGCTAGCCTGAATACCACAGCCGGAGCAGTCAAGCTGGTTTCTCCATTGAAGTGACACAATAAATATAGCAATAAATAAAATTGAATGCAATTGAACTGACATCGGCATGTGGAGCGGTCTATTTGGTAACACTGCACAAATCATTCAAAATTGATATGATTAAGTACCTTCTCGACAAAAAACCCTAGCATGGGTCCTCAAATGTACAAAACACTGCTATAGAGCATGTGTCAATGTCTAAAAACAAACTATGATATGTATACATACATGCATACATATACATATATATATACTTTAATAACATTATGAAGATGCCGTTGTGTTCTTCCAAACTTGCACATGCTTAATTTACTTCAAAAGCTAAAAAAGTATGCTTAAGTTCTTCACCAAAACTGAAAGACCCACACTAAGAAGAAAACAGTAACTATTCCTCCATGAGTTCTCAGAAGTGAAGGGAAATGTAACAAGACTAAGAGATCAGCTAATGTTGACTTAAGCTTACGCAACCAAGCATATCAGAATGAATATATTGCATACAATAGTACCAAACACAAAGTACTCAACACAATGCACTACAGAAGAAAAAAATTAAATCACTAGCACGTGCACTTCTTTGAGACGGTTAGATTGCCAGGTCATGTTAAATTAATGCACACAAACCAGTTACATTAAAAATATTTGCACACACGAATATACATGAAAGCAAGACTTCTTCCTTCCAAAATAAGATACCACTTTTGCACAAGGTTGGGGTAAACTAGGTGCTGTGACCACTGTGACCGTGATATGCCTTGAACACATGCATACAAACTAACTAAAACAACTTTCACATATCACCAATGGACACACAATTCGCACCCATACATAGCTACAAAAGAGATGAACTGTACATACTGAAGTGTTCAAATCATGCACCAAGACAATAGGAAAGATTTAACGGAAGATGACACGGACAAATAAACCAAAAGAATTATTGCACCCCTATTCTCAGTTGCAGTTGGCAAAATCAAACATAAAAGCCATGGTTCTCCAGGACATCTGAATGTAACATTCAACAAAGTGAAAGAAAAGTTACCTTCAAATTATCAAACTGAATCATTTTCATTGAGTTGTATAATGTTATTAAGTTGCTGCCCATCTGTGGTAAAAAAATGGAATGCAAACTCAATTTTTAAAAAAAGTTGGGAGAAAAGAACTGAGAAAAAGATTACTTTGGCTTTTCATGTGAACCCCTCATTCCAACTCAGCAACCCTCCATCTCATCAGAGCACCCATTCACCATATCTTTGGATGGAACAAAACACAAATTTTCATGGCAATTCTACAGCAAACACTTTAAGACAGATAAAGCCCAAACCCCATAAAATCTACAACAAAATCATAAAAGTAAAAGCTTACTTAACAAGTAACAATGAAGACAAGTGACAAATTATACACAGGATAGACTTTGAAGCAATAAGGTGGCCCACCACACCAGCTTACACGGGGGCTCCAGAAATTATGTCAATGCAGCGCACAATTACTTTCACCAGAACTCTATGAGAAAAGTTTCCATTAAGACAATCGGGAATAATTCCAGACTGGACAAGGGACGATAAGATTTGAACCAACTGAATGGAGGATCAGTTTTTACTGATTTCATAGCTAAAAGTCAAAATCACACCTTAACTTCAGTAGTACACAGAAAGTATTCTAGGAAGCTGTCCAGATCTTAAGTTTAAGTAAATTTGGAGCTTACCTGTAAGTACAATGTGGAAAAAATAATAAATTTTGAAAAGATACCAACAGAGTTGTTTTTATTTTTTTGACTTAATGTCAATTAAGACCACCCACTAGAAAGCAGATTTCAATCCAAACAAAACTAAAAAAAGAAAAAGGAAAACAGAAAGAGAAGAGAAGTGACTGAGGTTCAACAGAAGTGAAAATAAAGTATACTCTGAAACATTTAAGACAAAACAGTCATAAACAATTTAGAAATGGTAACAGGGTGTATTTTGGTTAGAAATAGTATCCTTTCTACTATAACTTTTCTCAACCTCAATAAAAACTTATTCACAAAGAAATATATAGTAACTAATATAGTGCAAGAGGAAAATAAAACTTAACATCAAATTCGTTGGTCCATGTTAACTACATAACACCATAAGAAAATAGGATATTGACAATACACAGTGAAAAATCACAAATTTTAAAAGGTGCCCATGATGGTTCCAATGGTTCTACAATAATCAAAATCTTAATATTTTTACTGAATGTTTTGACAAATTTTTGGCTCAAAGCACAGTAAAAATATATGAGAAGTAAGCTGTAGTAATGCTTCTTGCAATTTTGCTACAAAAAATAGCAACAGGAACAAAGTCAACAACAAAATGACAAATTGTGAAGGTCAAAGCTCCTTGCTTTAATGGCACAGTTCAGTTTAGAGTAAATGTCAAATATTAAATATATTGGTAGAACTTTGAATCTGACATAACATTCATAGAATTCGAAGATTAACATGAAAAAGGCACATTTGGTAAAGTTGATAAACATTTTGTGATAAACAATTGAGCTCTTAGCATGAAATTCTTACTTTTCAAGTAAAATTTCCCAAGAAAAAAAAAAGGAAAAAAAAAGAGACCAAAATCTTATAGGAACTGATTAATATTGATATATCACAAATTAAGTGGTAGATACTTGAAAACAATTACCTGATTAGCTTTTTCAGTTTCAATTCTTTTCAGCATCAACATTACAAGTAAGTATTTCAAAAGGCACAGTGGTCAGACTTTGGTAATTAACGTAGTACATGGCACAATCCTAGGACCAAAGTGGAACATTTAGGTAGGTTAACTTAGCAGTGAGAGGATTCTGCCACATGAAACTCAGCAGCCACTAGCCTGTGAGCTTCACTGAACAAAATTCCTCACAGCTGGATGTTGTAAGTTCACTTTTCTGAAAAATTACAGACCATACATCCTACATGTACTTAACTGACTACAATGGGAGACAGATATCAATTGAACTTTGGGTTTAGTTAGTATTTGTACCATAAAAAAGATGCAATAGCATCACATGACTCAATTAAAAATTGAATTTACTTACATAATCATATATGTTAATAAACCAACAGAATATACCTTGCATTGGTAACAAATATTGGTGGATTTACGATTCAACAAAAAAAAAGGGATAATTGGAAGAATAGCAGGAAGGCAGGAAAAATTTTGTTTTAGAAGACATGAAGATATGCTGAGACCCATTACCAAAAGATAAAGTAGGGAAAACAAAGTTCAAAATTTAAACTGTGACTAGTGTTCAGTTTGCAGAGTGCTCTGCAAAGATAGTTTTTTTCAGTCAAGAATGACACATTTTATGGAAAAGAAAAGAAAAGTTTTCCCACAAGAAAAGAGAACAGAACAGTGACAAGTGCTGCCTTTCTTAGCCACATTGAATATGCAGTTCATTTGCATAAGATAAGTTTGGTTCAAAAGCTTCAAAGTCAGTCTCAATATTTTAAAGGTAAAGTAACACCAAAACTGATGAATCTGAAGAGAAAACAATCATTTCTTAAAAAGGTAACTAGGCACTGGAGTTTTCGACTAGTTCAGTACGGCTGTATTTTTAAAGGTCAGCCTAACATGGACACTTTGGTGATGTTACAGTTTTTCACTGCTCACAAGAGCAATGAAAAAGAACAGTTAAAATACATAATATCTAAGTTAACAACAAAAGAAGGAAACGAAAACATTTAACAACAAACTTTAAATATATATATATCTCATTAAATCATAGCACACTTTTCCAACATATATACATTGACAAATAAAAATGTACTTTCCTTGTACTGTTTCTTCACACATACGTATACTAATATTTCAACTTATCCTCCAACTTGCAGCAACATGCTAAAATGTTAACTCATTCTATGAAATGTAGTACAAAATGAAAGAAAAACGGTCAAGATCAGTAATTTTAAAACAATAACAACACAACAACATTTTTCACAGGAAACTAACCTTAATTTGGTAACTGACATGTCATATGAGATTTCTCCAAGAACATCAGATGTGTAACCAAAGCGGTATGTCCATCAACACAAATTTTGAAAATTTGATGAAATGAACATTTCATAGAATGACATTACATTTCAAGGATGTAAAATCCTTGGAGTATTGAGCAGTTGGCTACATATGCCGAAGTACACGACAACTTAGTCAAAACTATCAAATCCAAGCATAAAACAAAAATCTGTACACACAAGACTGCACATGTTTCAAGACATCTTTAAAATGTTACTTTAGGGATAAAACAACTTTGAAGTTGTTTGCATGACTTAGGGGCTACTTACTGACTTTCCAGTAAGTAATTCCAGAGGTCACTATACAACTGGTACAAAAGGGATTAGCTTACCTTTCTAATGCAAGCTAGGTAAAAAAATGTGTAACCTCAACATGAGGAGAGGAAGGGAGCCACACTTAATAATTTAGTATTAGTTTTGTCTGAGCTGCTAGGCACTATCGGATGATGTAACTGGATTAGTTGAAGTCGTTGTAACAGAGCTTGAAGCAGTAGTACTAATGGCCATAGTTGTGGCAGCAGATGTAGTTGTTGCAACTACTGATGTCGATGACACATTTGCAGAAACTGTGGAAGCTGCTGAGGCGGCGGCGGCGGCGGCGGCGGCTGCTGCTGCTGCAGCTTGATCTGCTTTCTTCTTTCCTTCTCGCTTAAGGGCTGCCGAAGTATTACCACTACCATCCACTGGAGCTGGGTGGCGGTAAGCAACATGCTTACGAAGAGCATCTTTGGATCGAGACACATGAGTACAAATAGAGCATGCATACTGACAATTCTGGTGGGTTTCCATGTGAACCCTCAGATTGTACTGGTTACTCAGCTGCTTGCCACAAACAAAGCACGTTGCATACAGCTTAGTGTGACCTGTTGATGTGGTACCAGCATTGGAAGACGCAGACTTACTGCTGGGGCTGTTGTTACTGGTGCTGTTGCTGCTGCTGCTATTACTCCACATGGCCTGTGAGAGATCTAGGCCTTGGGGCACAGACAAATCCACTTTGTCTTCTACAACCATATTTTCAGTGAACAGCCTTGAAGGTGATGATTCCAATCCTACAAATAAAGTTCAGACTAGATTATCTCCCTTCAAACTCGTGAGTGTGAAGGTAAGTAAAAAGATGATTTACCTTTTTGGTCATCACCATCCTTCTCCATGGTATGTTTCCCATTCCCAGAACCACTTTTCAAAGCATCACCTGATGCAGCAGAGCCCACAAGCTCTTGTTCAGTCTTAACACGCAGTAAGCCATTAGCTGCCATATGTAAGCCACCTATTGGGCTTCCTGATTTCTGACTCACAGAGGAAAACACTTGATCTTCTAAAGAGTTTCTCAATCTTTCCAGAGACTTTTTTGACCCAATCTTCTGATTAAAGACATTGGTCATTTTCTCAGTCAAGGATTGAGACTGACTAGCATTTATCTTTGAATCAAGAGGGGCAAGATTTTCAGCCACATCTTGAGGGTTGATGCCATTAGTGTACAGATTTGGATCTAGAGCAACCCAAGGGCGCTTGCCATAAAGTGCAAAATCCAATGCGTTCTCTTTGGACCTCTTATCAGCTGCTTGGTCTCGGTCAAGAGGAGGACTAGTAATATGAGTTGGAGAAGCAGACAGTTTTATTCTTTTTGCAGGACTCTTTTGATCTCGCTTTGAGGATATGGGTGGCGGAGCCAAACTGTCCATCCCTGCATTTCCAGCCTAAAACAAACCGTTTTTTGTTTTTTTTTAGCACAATAATACTTGGCCCAAAGAAAGAAACAGCAGTAACAGCTAGAGGGACACAGAGACAGAGTAAGAGCTGAAAAAACACAACATTTTTTCAGTACTCACCTCTGAACCAACTTCAGAAAGACCACGGATATGCAAGACATCAGCCATTGTGAGTAAACCAGATAATTGGTGTTGGTAGATATTGACTTCACCACTGTACATAAATGTGACAAGGGCTGCCAGATCGGCAAAATTCATGCCTGGAAGAACTATCACAGGATGTTGGAGAGGTTGTAGTTCCTGAAAAATGGTTACAGGGTATTTTTTACTGGGAAAGATGAACATGTAAGATAATAGATTAATAGAAAAATGAATGAAACAGTGAATGACAGAATAGGTCAATAAATGAATGAATCTCTCAGAAATGTATCTCATAGAAATGTGCTTGGACAGTAAAAATGAAATGATAAAAAAGAAATGAATGATACGGCGAAAGAATAGACATATGAATAAATGGACGAACGACTGAATGAATGCATGTATGGATAGATAAATAAATGGGGGATAGGAATTAACGCAAAAGCAAATGAATGATGTATGATTAAAATCACAAAATTATGAAATAATGGAGGATTACCTTAAAAAGTTCCTTGAAATAATGACTGCATGCTGCTAAGATAACTTTATGTGCCCGTATGTTGCGGCCCTGAGCAGACAAAGTAACGTCTGTCAAGTGGTCTCCATCTAACAATTGTGGCAGTGTGGCCATTAAATTACTCTGATAGCTGTGCCATCGTAGGCAAAATTGTTGTTGGTCTGTGCCCATGATGTACACTAAAACAGAAAACACATTGAAGAATTAAAATCCTAGTACAAATGAGAAACTGAATAGAAGGTGCTTCATCAATGATTAATTTAAGGGATCTTTGGAAATAGAAACAAGAAAAAAGAAAATAAGATAACATATTTCTATACGTTAATTGAACTATAATGAAAGAGCAGAAAGTAAAACTTGATCAAAACACAATAAATAACATTTTAACATATACTCGTACACAACTAGAGCATTAACAGGGTTTAGAGATATGATTTTATACTACTTGGTGGGGGAGTTAAGTTGGGGCAGTTCAGCTAACCTATTCTCACTCTCATCATGTGAACTTGTGATGCAGCTTACACTGTTATGCACTTCTCATTTTAAAAGTAAGAGAATATCTGGGTTCATAATTGACATCTATTACATTTACATTGTCATCACCTTTTTTCATTCGTCATTCATTACAATTAACCATCGTCAGCCCCACGCGATTGGAACACTCAGATTTCCATTAGAAAATGGTGCAGGGAAGGGGCCAGGGGGGCTCTTCAGCTGCCTAGAGCCGTGCTAGGCCTATGGAAAAATGTTCGGGAGTCAGGAACTGAACCAAAACAATATCGGGGAAACGCAACAAACAGGCATCGCAAAGCCGTAGAAATCGCTTGGCGTCGGATACCTCTTTTCCTGGACGATGATCTACGCACGACTTGGGCCTGCGGCCATTTCATCCAGTCATTCTATTTTGGTCTGACGGGAAGGCAGGTCTTCTACACACGGCTGGACGGGCCCTGCTGGAAGCACCAGGCCTCGCGTCCAAGAAGGTCCCACGAGAGACCAATATTCACAAATAATTCAGGCTCCGGTGGCGTCGAAACAAGACCCATCGTTGGGCAGAACTACTCGTCACTCTTTTCAAACAACAAACACTTTGAAATGTTTAGGTAAATAAGTTTACTTACCTAAAGAGCGTGGCCCAGAAAAGCAGAAGGAACGGGCAGGACCCACTTGGGCCTCTTACAGCAAGCACAAAACGCGATAGCAGACGATTCCTACAACAGACGACAGACGAAAATCGAGAGCTCGAAAAATTCCCATACAGTCGCCCAAGCAGCAAGCTTGTCTCTCTTAAACAACGTAACCAGGTAAATTTTATGACCCTGTTTGCTAGGCAATATTATTTTCTGCACAATGTTTGTATGGCAGTAAAGGGCACAACACAGCGGGTGATGGATATTACCATCGACTCTCTCGCGTTACTGTACACAGTACGAAACAGAAAGACCGAACGCAACAATAAGTAACCATGGTATTACTTTACTGAGGTTCCCATTCTTCTTTGAAAGGGATTAAATGACGAAACGAGTGGTTTCCGTGGTTTCCTATGTTTTCATCAGAGATCTTCCATGGCTGCGCTCAAGGGGTCATTAACGGTTTTAAAAGAGCGTCAGAGTATGTTCGTTTAGGACCGCACCCACATTGTGATATGCGCGGGCGAAGGATCGAATTCCGTCTTGAACCTCATGCACGACGGGCACGACTAGAGCTTCGTTGTAGTCGGTTATAAACTTTTACGCTTGCAAAGATAAAGGAATTTCATCAAAATGGACGAATCTCTGCTTCAGCAAAACCGTGATCTTCACGAAGTACTATCCAACATCCGCTCGCTGATAAATGAAGTCGCAGCAATGCAAGGTGAGTGAACCTTGTCTAAGAGTTGGGTCGCAGCTCATTCACTGTCCTAGACCCTTGAGACGAATAATTTACTTGATATTTAATTTTCCAGAGACAAGTTATGACCTACAGTTGTCAATGGCAGTCTCACTTAGCCCCGACGTTATGAGTGGAGTCCGAGAAGCTGTGGCAGTCATGAAGGAGGCAGAGGCACAACTTTCATCGCATTGCAACAACCTTTCAACTGAAGCGGCAGAGGTTAAAATTGATTGGATAGAAAGTGGTGGTGATGGCACGTCCGGTAATGTAGTGACTTTAAGCCCGGATTGCACTGTTTATGTAAATGACGATTAACATATTTGTAGGAGCTTGGTTTTTTATGTAAGCGTAGTCTACAGATGATTTGATAGGACCAGGACCAATGATTTAAACTATCTCAAATTTACTTTCCATGTATGTAATTTATTGTTTTAAAGAACATACTTATTTAAGAATAAAAAAGAATGGAACAGCTCAAAATTATCACAATGTTACTACATTTCACAACGTTCACTCCTTGAGTGGTTGATTCCGTACTTGAGAATCTTCATGATAAAGATTCTTTCAGTGTGAAGGCCTAAACACATTGTCTGTTTACTCAGTAAACAAAACAGATCACTCCATGATAGTAGTTAAATTAAGACAGTACATGCACAAAAATTCAAAGGAAAAGTAACATTTTCTATCATTCTGAATAGAAATACATTTACCTAAGTCCCATGATGAACAAGTCAAGTACACAACAATGTGGAATGCTGAAACATCCCAAAATATCACAATTATTTGCACTGAGTTACACAAATTAAGACTCAAATACACTGACACTAACTATACCCCAATTGATCTTTTATAGAGGGCTACATTTTAAGTTTCAATTTGAAACAGTACTGAGCAATGGTCATTTTAAGATCATGTCAAATATGCTAACAATATTCTGTGGACTAATAGCAAAATGGAATGGCAGCAAGTACTTGCATATTTTCCAATTTATCCATGTGTTTCGTAGTGACATGTAACCACTTAATATTAAGAGAAACAATACACACTATTTTGCAAACACTTGTATGGAACTACAGCAAGAAATGAATCATCTTTGAAACAGATCAGTTTTTCCAATGAAAGAAACATACTCTCTGACCAAGCAACATTATCTGTGCTGAAAGTCTGAATAAGACAGCATAATTATGAAAGTCAATAGAAATGCACAATTTTGTTTTTTTTTTTTAAGGAAAACTGCAACAGTGAATAAAGTACAGTGAAATATCACAAAGATTTGGAGACTAGTACAAAACTATGAGAGCCGGTTGGTGAGTGCATTGAACTCCACACTGCTGCTCGAAGAGGAGGACAACTTGTGCACAGATGTTGATGATCTTTGACGGGCAGGGAGCTCAAATTGGCACTCCTCTGACAGGTCTGACAACATCTCTTCAGGCTGGCGATTTCGAAGAGGAGGACGAGCTCGAATACCAAAAGTTGTAGGTCTTTTCTCTGGGCGGTGGTCTAACATCATTTTTAATAGTTCATACTGAAATAAGATCAAATCATGTGATTGCATATGTTAAGGAGTCAGCAGAAAGGAGCAAACCGCCAATTAGCACTAACCTCATTTTGGTAAGTTTTGGAGAAATCTGGTGGAAATTTCTGCCTATGCAAACTTTGCATTACATGTACTCGTTCCATTTCAGTACCAAAAGGGACAAGCAGCTCAAAGAGGATGAGCCCCAATGAGTAGATATCAACCTTGTAGTTATAAGGTTTACCCTTTCGCTGTCAAATTAAAAATTCCATTATGGTGTTGAAAAAGAGTCAACATACCACAATAATGATATCACCTTACCTGTTCAGGGCTCATGTACAACTCTGTTCCCACTTGAGCAGTATGGCGCTCACCAAAAGAGCCAGATGAACTTGAGGAGTCTAGTGGTGTACGTTGTTCCTCACCTTCTTCCAACATGGTGGTAACCAGACCAAAATCACCAATTTTAATATGACCATCCATTGAAAAGAAAATATTCGACGGCTGTAAAAATTTAACTGGTGTTATTTATACGGGTTAATTATTGTTGTTCAAACTAATGTTGAAAAATTTACCTTTAAATCCCTATGAATGAGATTGTTGAGGTGGACATATTCTACTGCCATTACAATTTGTTCAAAGAAGTTGATAATATTCAAGTAATCCCTTTTGGGTGTACTTTGTAACCAATCCTTGAGACTATCTTTTCGACAAAGTTGCATCTAAAATATATGGAATATTATATTATGTACAGAAATAATGCTACCAGCACCATTTGAAAGGTGTGTGATACGTACCTGAATAAATAAATATGATACTGTAGTATTATTTCTTTTATTATTAGTGCAAATACTGAGGTGTTTTGGCCGAGCTGCCTTTTCTTTATTGGGTAACAACTTTGCACTTGACCCAGTTGATGAACTACCTACAGATATAACACTGTCTTTCCTACAAGAACAAAGAGACAAAACTTTTATCTGATTGAGTTGAGAAAAGAGGAGAGAAGTGGTATAAATAGACTTATGTAAATGTACCTTCTATCCAGTTCTTCTTCATCCTCCTTGTCTTCATCTTCCACATCAGATTCATCTCCATCATCATCACCAGAAGCATCAAAGACAATAAAAGAGTCACTTATGTCCCGTCTAGGAATAACATTTAGCTCATTCCATGTTTTTGACACTGCGTCATTCTGTTGGTCTAGGCCAAAAGCAGTGTTTGAATTTTGTTGAATTGTGAGTCTTCTTTCCCGAGAGGGTTGGAAAGATTGGCTTGATGTCTCAGAATAGTTTGTCTGATCATTTGGTGCTTCATCATACATTGATCCTGAAGACTTGAACCTGAGTACAAAATTAAAAGAAATACTAAGCTAGTTACAGGTTAAGCTAATTGGCCGATTGCTGCAAAGACAATCCTTGCTTACATGGAGGCCCACTCTTTATCCTGCTCTTCCTGCCATCCTGGGGGAGGGCTCTCAAGCCAAGAATTGAAGTACCGCACAATATGGTTATGATCCAGCTTAGCCAAAGCACGCACTTCACGTAACACTCTTTCCCTTGCTTCTTCCCTGAAAAGAAAAACAGATAAATTTGCTTACCAGAACAAGAAAAATTTCTTCAAACTACCAGTTATCTAATATGGCATACTTATTGGTCAAAGAAATTCGCTTTACAGCATAGTGGCAGTCATCAAACTTCTTCCGAGCTTCAAATACAACACCAAAGCCGCCTTTGCCAAGACACTGGACAGGTTGAAACTCTTGCAAATAACGAGAGCTATAAAGAATCGGAGTGGCAGGGCGCTCCTCCTGCGCTATTTCTAGAGGTGGTATTTCAGTGCCAGGAGGGTGTGTGAAGGGAAGAAGTTTTCCTTCCTGAAAGTCACATAAGTGTCTAAGAGTGATTTTGTATTCAGTTGAAAAGGGTAGTAGAATCATAGAGCAATTTAGTCACCTCTGTAACAGGTTCCAAAGGCCTGCGTAGCCACATGATTTGTAGAAATCCCTGGGGAAGCATACAGTTCACGAGAAAAGCAGTGCCAATACTGATGAGCAAAACCTCTTTCCTTCAAAATGAAAAACGAAAAAGAAAGAAATCAAAGATACATAATTCCCCAAGAATTTTGATTATCAGACAACAGACAAGGTGAGATGACATTTATGAGCAAATAATCAGAACTCACCACCAATACCAAAGTGAAGTTATTATAATGTACTGGGCTTCTTCATCAAACTTTGATGGTTGGGGCTGCCTTACATCAGGTCGTGAAACCTGTTCCTCAAAGGTTTCATTGTCACTTTCCTCTCCTTCGATACTTTCTATCAAGCCACATTGTGCCTGTTTCGATTTCTTGAAAGCCTCAGAAGAGTACAAGTAAAATCCATTTCCTGCAAAGTATTTAGGTCATCTTAGTTAGACCACAAAAACATAATTTGGAATTTAAAAAGAAAATTTTGTACATGGAAGTTTTACCATTGACATATGAAGACGCATACAGTACAGACATGGCTGTAGTGCGAACAGCTTGATTTGATTCATCTGTTAGTTGAGGAACCATGCCATCATCACTACCATCATTAACATGAGTCAATAATCCAAGTGCATTGCTAGGGATTGCAGGTACAGGGCGCCAGGGTATGCGTGAGTAATTGGACTCATCTGAAATTAAGTTCTGTCGACTTTTAGTGTCCCCTAAGTGCTTCTGCATCTGCACACTTTCTTGTATGTAGAGCTGAAACACAAGATAAGATACTAGTAAAAATATAATATTTTTTAAAAAACATCAAATCCTTGGGGTGGGGCAGGGCAAACCGTTTTGAGAAGCAATGGGGAAAAGTTTGAATGAAAAAAAAACAAAGCTGTTTTTACCTAATAGTCCTACCTGTTTTCGATGCATGCCCACATATAAAGATGGTGATAATGGAACTGAGTTGTCATGACCATGAGCTCTGTCATGATTCCACTGAAGTCCACTGAAGAGATCCACTTCTTTTAGTTCCCCTCTATCCATTACCCAAGCACTTACCACTGGAGAGTCAAACTACAGCAAAAAGTGAAAATGAATTTAAGTCAAACTGAGTTACAGGTAGTAAGAACTGAGAGATTGATGAATAACTTACTTTGTGCTGCCATAGAACATTTTTAGGATCTGTTTGGCTTATGCCACACACTAGTCCATCAGGCACAATGACCCGAACATCAAAATTCAACTGTGATACTTGTTTACTTCCATGACAAAGTGCTGCAGGGTCAGGGATAAGCTTAACATTATGTCGAGCAACACTGAAGTTCCATCTAGAGACACCAAACAAATTAATTAAATAGAGAACTGACCAATACAAATCAACAACAAAAAATACAGCAAAGAACTTCACTTATTTGTACCTTTCAAAGCTGGTGCGTGGCTCCACCGCTCGAACAGTGTGAGTAAGTCTTTTTAAAACTAAAACTTCTTCAACATCAGAGACATTGCCAACTAGGTTTTCACATCCACGCATTGAACACTCATACAAGAGACTGCCTGTTTTAGCATCAATCCCATATGTTCTTGATTCCTTTCCACCTGATAATAGAAACAATTAAAAAGAAAATAGGGAAATGACACTAGAGATCAAAACACAGAAACAGAATTATTTTTTGTTACCAGTTAAAACAAGGTCATCTTTGAAAAAGAATGAAGATTGTAGAAGATCATCGGCAGTGAACGGAATGACTTCTACATTTTCCCCATTAAATTGATACAAGCCACCACTCAAAGATGGAATCATTCGTAAAAATTGTCCATCTCTTGCCAACTGCAATAAAATAATAGCATAAAACAACACATTGAAAGAAACATTCAAATTTAATTTAAAAATTAATCAAACAAACTGATTACCTCTAAATTATGGATACTAGATGAAAGCATCGGACCAGGCCCAGTGCCAATGCTCCATAGCACAGACCCGCCACCATTCCCATCTAAGGCATAGAGATGTCCTTCTATGGTGCTCACTAACACAAAGCTGAAATTTAAGTTTGGCATTAGAAAAGAGTCACTCATGCGGAAAGGTGTCATTATCAAATAAGCCCAAGTTATCTTAGACCTAGTAGAAAAATTAGGGCATTTAAACAGAAATATGGTAAACAGTGTGTAACCAAAATAAAAGTGTCGATTTGGGTCAAGAAACACATTGCATCATGTTAGGAGGGAAGTATTTTGAACTAAGTAAAAAAGTTCTATACGGTCATAAAATTTTTTAGAATGAACTGCCAGTTTAGGTTGCAGTGCTGCTATGACTGTCAAAGCATTTATTCAGAAGCAGTGAACCACCAACCTATCCAAACCTGCAGCTTTCGTATTGCAGTCAGGTAGTGCCTTGATGTCTTCCTGAAGTGAAGGTCCTATGATGAAGTACGATACCAAAGCCGCAACTAGAGTCTTGAACAACAAGTTTCGGAACAAGGGACCCATTTCCGACTAAATCAACAGGTATTGGTAGTTATTTGCAACCTTATTCACAGAGGCATTTCCCCCACACTGGTGACAGGTCCAAAACATCCACTCGCAGGTGCATTGCAAGCACTGGCGTGGTCGATCCGAAGCTTCACCTCAACTTCGATCACCTCCAAATAATAAGCAGACAATGATGTAAGGGAACTCCTGATCATTGTCCCTCAAAATATTAAGATTTCACTCAGATCCTGCTGCTCCACCTCCTTGTGTTGTTCGACTCAACAGTGTTGTTGTTGATTTTTTGTTATTCTTGTTGTCAACTCACCCAACACGTAACAGAACTTCGACAAGGCAGTGGCCTCGATATATCGAGTGACGCTATCGATAGTGTTTAGGTGGTTTTTTTTTAGGTTAGGACTACCGTGCTTGAAAACGTGTCGCCGTGTCTGTGCCTCAAATCTTCACTTTATTAAGCGAGCCACCCATTCTTTGAGGAATTGGACTGCAGTCTCGTCGAATCGTTGTTGCCCACCAATTCCGGCAAGATGGTACGTTTTAAATCCATTCAATCTTTGATTCAAGTCTCCGTTTATGTTACAACGACTGTTACACTCGTCGAAGTTCATTCATCTAAAGTTTAAATCCCATCGTTTCGGAACCTTAGTTTACTCTCTTTTGAGTGGCTCCGTGTGTTCAATTTTGTCATTGTTTTCGGGTGTTCTACCATTTTTTCCTGTTTTCCTAGTCCTTGCTTGTTTATTGATTCCTCCCTAAACTGTGTCGAAGACTTGTCGTGTTGATACATTCTCCAGTTTAACATTTCTGACACATCTTGGTCCAATTCTGATTTTGTGTTATCTTTATTTTGCAATTGATTGTCTCAGTCTGCTTTGACAATTATTGTTTTTTTCTTGCAGTCTCTGGTAATCCCCGAAAAGTTCCAGCACATCCTGCGTATTATGGGAACAAATATCGATGGCAAGATAAAAGTCATGTTCGCTATGACTGCCATCAAGGGTGTTGGACGTCGCTATGCAAACATTGTTCTGAAGAAGGCTGATGTTGACTTAAACAAGCGGGCAGGAGAGTGCTCTGAGGAAGAGGTATACACTCACTGTACTCACAAGTGTCTTTCATTCTTTGTGGAAGTGAATTACATCCTTAATGTTGCTGCAGGTGGAGAAGATTGTGACAATTATGTCAAACCCCCGGCAATACAAGATCCCTGACTGGTTCTTGAACAGGCAAAAGGACATTGTTGATGGCAAATATAACCAACTTACCTCCTCGAACCTTGATTCAAAACTTCGTGATGATCTTGAAAGGCTCAAGAAGATCAGGGCCCACAGAGGAATGCGTCACTACTGGGGGTAAGTTTTGCCTAATTTGGATTCCCTTCTCAATCCTTGGAAAAAATTAGCATGTGTGTAATGCTGTCATTTTGCTTTCAGCCTCCGTGTGCGTGGTCAACACACCAAGACTACTGGTCGTAGAGGAAGAACTGTGGGAGTGTCTAAGAAGAAGTAGGAGCCTTTTGCTGTAATAAAGATGCGCATTTCTTTACTTGTGCAGTTTTTGTTTACCAAGGATTCCCATGCACCTTTTTGAATCCATTCGAATGTGGGGCCGGGGGTCAGTCATCGCTCAACTTACTTAGCTTGCTTTAGACAAGTTTTGAACTAAACGCTAGTTCGACATAGCTTAGGTGTCTCAGAAGGGCAGCCCAGACTTGGAGGCTGGCACTCTAGGGCCAGCGAGTAGAGGGAAGTCTCTGTTTGCTGCGTCTCCTGCCAACCGACAGGTTGTCTGCAGTTCAGCGGTAAACGGAACGTCCCTCTCTCTCGTTCAGCCACATGGGCGAGGGACAATGATGCAGTAAGTGTCGTCCGAGCAGACAACTCAACTCAGGCTTCACCTGAGGCTTCACACTTTTCAAGCCGTCTCCACTTGACTCACTCCTATCTTCTCTTTTGCCCAGCGAGGCCCCAGGTTTCCTTTCAGTCTAAGAGCCCCACCTAGATCCCTACAATGGGAAAGGTACTCTTGCATCCACTGAAACCAATTTTTTTTCATAATGGCACAAGAACAAATCTAAATTTAGTAATTTACTTATTTATTTATTTACAAACTTTATACTTGTGTACATGAACAATTTCATTTGCACTATACAAGCTCAGGAACAACTAAGTCAAGTATAGTTACAGAAAATGCTCCTGTCCATCAAACTTAAGCCAAAAAATATACACAAGCTTTAACACCGTCTCCTTTTTCTACTGGCAGATTTATGGGCTACTTCAGTATTGTTCTCACTGTCGTCATTTTCTTCATCAAGTTCATCACTATCACCATCTGCTTCATCGACATCTGATTCATCACCTTCACTTTTACTTTGCTGTGAGTCAGCTGCTATCTCATCTAAAATCATGATATCATCATCTGAATCTTCTGGTTGTGTTTCCTTAGAATTTGCACTTTGTCTCACTAGTGACGTCTTGGGAGAGGTATTTTCTGCCAGTGGTTTTGAACGTTTCTTTTTGTCAGAAAATGGGTTTACAATTAGAGACTTTTTCCTTTTAGGAGGTGTTTCAGTCTCTTTTGGAACTTCAGTTACACCCTTGGAATTCTTCTCTTTGCTAGGTCCATCTATGACCTGGAAGAAAATACAAATACAATCATGCAATATTGAAATTGAATCAAAACATTACTAACATGATTAAAAAAATATGCACAACTTACCACTTCCATTGAATCAAACATATCTTCAAATTTCTGAGCTTTTTTCTCATGTGACTTATTTTGGCTTCCCTTTCCAACTTTGTGATTGAAATCAAAGCTAGATCTCATGAGAACACAGCTCATACGAGAAACCATGTATTCCTAAAATGTACAAAAATGTGAGATTAAATGCAATTACACCTATTACTATGTCGGTAACAAACAAAATGCACTACTTGCATGCAGATTGTTTTCTTAAGCCAGTCCTCTCATGAACCAGAGCACACCATTCATCTTGGCAAGCATACCTTCAGAAGTATCTTCTTTGTAGTCTTGTGATGCACACGTAAGAAGCGGTCCAGGCCAACACTAACTATGTATGGCTCCGTAGGATGGCATGCAATGTCACGTACAGCACCAACAAACCCTTTGTAGTTCTGAGCTGTTCGACCCATGCGCAAGTCAACAGCTACTATGTTACCTTTTGCTAGACCACACAGTACAGTGCTGGAAAAAGAGACAGTATTAAGTACTGAGAATATTTTTAAGATACTAAGTTAGTGAAGCATTACAATACAATAAAATTGAAAGGAACTTACTGGTCATCTCCTGTAGAAGCGATACATGTTACTGCCATCTCTGGCATATTAACGTTAACTACAGGTCTTCTCTGAGCTTTGGGATCATATAGACGAACCTGAAAGATAAACCCTGAAAGGTTAGCTGAACATATTAAAAAAAGTTCAAAAAGGCTTGGACACTAAATGACCCTAGAGACTTACATAACCATACTTGCTACCCACAGCCACATTGTCCGAAGATGGCATGAAGACGTGATCAGTCACCCAAACTTTCACACGGAGTTGTAAAAAATCAAGGGGAACCTGACATGACAAAATAAGAAACAAGCATATAAAATAAACAATTAATTTCTAATTATTTATATATAAAGTGAAAAACTATGTTTGCAAAAAATGTTCTTACATTTTTAGACTCAAAGGTTTTCTTCCCTGTGTTCAAATCCCAAAGTTTGAGTTCATTTTCTAAGCCTCCTGTTCCAATAATAGAGGGATTTGACATAGAATGTCGCATTTTGGAAACAGGGCCTCCAGCATGGATGTTGATGCATTGATCATCTTCTAATCTAAAAACACTTATGTGCCCGGACTCCGTAGCTGTCACTAAAGCTCTAAACGGGAACAACCAAGAAGCAAGTAAAACAATTAAAAATGAACATGGCATTAATTCTCTACATAAAACCACTTCCAAACTCACCCATTATATCTAGAGAGGCCACAAATACTGCCTTCACTCTTCCCCAGTTTTTCCGTTTCCGTTTGAATGTTGGTGCTAGAACTGAAATACTTGGCATTGGTGTCATACGTAGAAACAACTTGATTAGAAAGACCCATTAAGATGCATTCTTCATTTTCATCATTCCAGGACATCGCTGTCACGTCAGTGTCTTTTGACAAGAAGTTGACATTCTTTATGCTTTTTGTTATGAGCGGTTGTCCCTCTGTTGCTTTAACACCTGAAAAAGAATGGTTTCAACAATCTTTGGTTACATGGAAGTGATGTAAGCATCAATCTACAGAAAAGATAAATTTAAAAGTAAAAATTTCGTCGAAAGCAACCAGTTACAAAGAATGATACATAGAATTTCATAAGGAGTTAACCTCAGAAACACACGTGGATGGACAAACCGTATCCATTTGTGTCCCATGCAAGCGACACAAACGCAAGTTTATACTGGATCAATGGAAATTAACTAAAAGAAAACACGACAGCTGTCCGTTTACCTTTGAATATGCCATATTTAGCGCCAATGAAAATGTTAAAGTCGTCTTTGAACGACATGTTGTTTGATGTTTGGCTGGCTGCTAAAGTAGGGTAGAATTTTGCATAGCTGTGTGTCCGTCCTAGTATGAGAAAATGTAATGGCCTTAAAGGCGCGTCTGCTTGAAGTGCACGATGTGTAGGTTGGTTTTCGTGAGACACTTTCTGCTCAGAAGTTTTAAGCACTTAAAAAATAATAAAAAATAATGACTGAGTCAACTCAATTATCTATTATTTTGTACACAACATTATTTATTTACACATACATCAAATCAACAGACCAAACAATCGTATGCACTTCCCCACTGACGTCAATCGATCCTCAGTTTTATGGAAACGACGGGGAAGTACGATGATGGTGAGAAGGCTAAAGCCACGTTCAATCTTTTAAGGAAACTTAGGGCTGGTGCGCCTCATTCAGCCACTAACGCAGGCCAGCTTTCCCGAAATGAACTCTGTTCCGGCGACTTTAGGTCGCTATGCTCGCCAGAATCTGAACCATATTTCAGTCTTTGCAAGTAAACTCATATGAAGAAGCGTAGATTAACGATCGCAGGAAAGCCATTCCCAGAAGCTGGCGTTCACCCAGACCCCCAGAAACCTCGTCGAAAGAGGGGCATAAATATTCGTTTATTTTTGTAACCAAAAGACTAATTTTTAAGAGGCCGCGAACCTGCCTAACGGCGGCTACGTCCTGCAATGTAATAGATAGTAAATGCCCCCAGCGCGCGCGGGTCTACGGACCTCGCAGAAGAGAGAGAACCGAACCAGTCGATACTCCCGGCGGAGCCCGTTCTACAGCTGGTACTCAAATTGAAAGTCTCTCGAGCGTGGCGTATCGCCGTGGCGCCAGTTCTCTCCTCTCGCCACTGACAATGACGGTGATGACAGTGCCCGAGGCGGCGCAGCCCGCAGCCCGCGCCTTAGACATTGTACACGAGGCCGACGCGGTGTCGCAGCTCGGCCAGCCAGTCCTTCCCCGCCGCCGCCGCCCCCGGGCCGCCGCCGGCGCCCAGCGCGCTGCCCGGCCTGTGCCGCTGAGCCGGGGGCGGCGGCGCGGGGGCTGATCCGGGGGCGCTGGTGCCCTCAACGCTGCCGCCGCCATCGCCGCCTTGCGCATCGACTGCCTGGGCCTCCAGGAGGCGGTGCAGCAGGCTCTGCGTCAAGCTGCCGGGTGGAGGGAACTCCTGCTGTGCGAAAGGAAAACGACAGTCGTTAGCCACATTTTGAATGGGGAGGGACCGGTCGCGTCGTTGCGGGGATATTTCCACTGCCTAATGTGCAGTTGCATTGGTGGGCGCACCTGCTGGCCATCCTGGTCGTTGGGGACGACGACGAGCTGCAAGCGGAGGTCGTCGGGCAGGCCCTGCAGGGCGTCCGAGGCGGGCCCCGCGGCGGGCAGGTCGAGCTGCTCGGAGGGCGGCGCGCCGGGTGCCATGGGCGAGCGCCGCTTGCGAAGGTAGTTGAAGCAGCACGTGCGGTAGCGCCGCGACCCGCAGGCCGAGACGCACTCGGGGCCGCACGACGTGCACGACTGCGCCGACAGCGGCCCCACCAGCAGGCACAGCAGCAGCCCTGCGGAGAGCAAGGCGGAGGTGAAGAGAGGCACGTCGCCGACGACACGTGCAGGGCACGCTCTCGTCACGGACACGTCGCGCGCCGGGGCTGGCCGTCACGTCACGTCGCCCAAACTTGGCGGCCAAGGCGGCGGCCAGGACCCCTTGCTGCGGCGGCGTAGGCAACCGGACGCTCTCCGTGTGTGGCGGGTCTGTCTACCCTGTCGACGGCAGGGGTTCCGGTTGGTTCCAGTGCAGAACGAGGGAGGAGCCAGGCGGATGCAGAGGGCGGACGAGACTCGGCGCGGTGCGCCTCCAACCTCAAGGCGCCTTGTGACACCACAAAGAGCATCAAAGGGCCTCGCACCTGCCGCGCTGCCTGCGGCGAGGGGGGGGGGGACACTGAACGGAGCGGGTCTCCATGGGGCGCGCGGGCGCTTCCAGTTGCTTCGCCGCTTCCAGCCACGACCCCATGAATGCTAATTCCTCGAACAGCAGCTTTGTCCCACGCCGTCCGCGCTGCGCTACTGACTTCTCAAGGGCAAGTGCCCCTTTTCCGAGCCCTTTTTTTCCGTCCGGGGTACTTTTCTGTTACTCTCCAGCTCATGTACCGAGAGCTCATGAGCTTTTCCCTAGTATTACGAACAAAAGGGAAGAGCAAGTGCAGAGCAAAGTGCAAGCTTGGGGAACTGCGAAGCACCTCGAGCCCAATCAGAGGGACCTCATCGAGTGGGCGGAGAACGCGATGTGGGAACTCATCACCGGCAGCGTGGTTCAGTGGTTCGCATTCAAGCGTAGTTAGGGAAGTCCGCTCCACCATATTAGTATCATTGGCCTCGCGCGCAGCGAACAAGGCGAACAAGGCACCCCCTCAAGGAGGAGGGTCGGCCTTTGAGAACGGCGCTGCCCGTCCCGGAGCGGATACGCGATCCGCATCGTGCTCTGCAGCCTGATTATGAACACGGCTCGCGCACCGTGGGCCAGAAGACCGGCGCAGGCGGCCAAAACTCTAGACGCGTTTTGTGCTCCAGAGTCGCTAAACATGACTCGGTCCCGTTCCGTTCCGTGGGTTGACTTTGAACCAAGTGGACTCCGTCCGACTCCGTCTCCGTCGTGGCGTCGAGGCGGTCGAGGCGACCAAGGGACTCACCACTCATGAGCAGGGCGATGGGGGCGAGGTTCAGCATGGCGGTCCTCCCTCGCGCGCCTCGCACACTGCAAACACAACAAGCAGAAACCCGTGATCGGCGGCTGCGGTTTGTCCAAGCGTCGCCATGGCGTCGCCAGGGAAGGAGAAGAGGTCCCCGAGGCGGCCCGCCCGAGTCCGCGTCGTCGCTGTGTGCTCGAGTCCGGCTGTGCTTGCTTTGTTTCGAGCTCTGGAATCGAGCGCGATGTTGACCACCGAGCTCCCGGAGGCCTCAATACGGCGCGACAATTGTTGTTGCGCCCATAGTTTAAATTTCCCAACTGCGGTAAAATTGCGAGTTGTATCGGATATGTTGGTTTGTGCCCAGTCGGTTCAGAGACAAGACGCCAAGCGGGTGTAGTTATTTTTTCAGGGAGGAGGGGAGGGAGCTTAGGGGTATTTTTTAACTAGACGAATGTGGGAGGGTCGTGCTTTCGGAATGAAAGAGGCTTATCGTTTCAATGTTGATTTAGAGAAACCTCTGGAAAAACCGTCGAAGCAGAATTTTCCTCAAAGAGTCTGCGACGAACTGCAATACGGACTCCAGCGCTGCGGGCCTGTGTACAGTGTGTCCACGGTTCTCTTCTGGGAGCCGAAGCGGTTTGTTGTGGCACGATCGGGTAAGCAAGCCGCCCCCGATGGCTGTGTGCTAATGGCGTCTCGGCAAGTTTTCCCGCGTGGAAGGCAAATCCTGGAAATGGAGCTTTTGATCCGGGGCCCCGCCCCCGCCCCCCGCCTCGCGAGTCAAGCACTATCGCAAATACACGGGAATGGCTCGGTACACGACGCCCTGGGCACACGGCGTGCGCTAGGTAGGGGTTGGAGTACGCGCGGCACCGCGGCCCGCCACCTGTTTTCGTTTCAGCCAGGAGCACCGATAGCGCGCGTGCACAAATACGCGTCAATACCGCTGCCTGCGAGTGCCCGGGAGTTCATAAATTATTCAAACACGCGATGTACACACGCCGGCACACGCCAACTCGGCTACTTCGCGGCTAAAATACACAGGTCCTTCGGGGCGCGCGGCGCGGCGGCCACTCTCTGATTGAGTTGGCGGCTCGGGGGCGTTTTCAAACAACGTCCATTATCACAGTGGCGGGGCGGGGCGGGGCGCAGGGGCGCATCGACAACGACTCGTGTCGTGTGTGCGGAGCCGCCTCCGCTTCCTTTCCGGTGATTCTATGATTGTTGTCCCGTGGTGTGGGTGTGGGTGGTGCGCGCGCCGAGAGGTCGCAGCTCGCAACGCCGTCGAGTCGCATGATATTTACAAAAGGAGAACTCCAATGCGGGTCTCAACAAGTCTAAACTCTTGACTCAGACCGCAATTTTCTCAATTTCAGCCTCTTCAGGCGCCTTTACACAAAACTAGTTTTCGAGTCTCAAACAGACATGCACACGACGATACGATTACTGATATTAGGTGCGTCACAGCAATTGACGAAACGATAACTGAAGGGTGTGATCCAAAACACCGAACTTCACCATCGGCAGAGGGCTTTCAGTTTGTGAGGGTAAACGCGTGGTTGGGTGCGACCGAGAGGGAGGCCCCATTCTGGGTGACTCGAGGGACGTATGTTCTCCGAGGCCACTGCACCAAAAAAAATGACTTCTTGGATCAAGAAAAAATTAACTTTTCTTGGTTTTTGTTAAAAAAGAATTTTTCTTTATCCAAACTTTTTTTAGCAGATGATACCTTCACACTTGAAACATACTTAAAACTACTATACACGAATGAAGGTGTCAGCGTGCTTTTACTCTCGAGTCCAGAAACCAAGCGCGTATCCTAACAATATAATAGGGGCTGGCGGCCGGGGCGGGCTGGTGCGTGTGGCTGGCTGGCTGGCTGGCTGGCTGGCTGGCAATGAGGCGCAGCCTGCGCGGAATTCGACAATCCCTCCGCGGTACAGCGCCAGCGGCACCGGGCGTAAACAATGGCACCTCCTCCTCGCATTGACAATCCCTCCCCGCCTGCCACGGCGCGGAGTATCGCGCAACAATGCCTCCCGATTCGGCCCGGCCTGGGGCGCTCGGGCTCGGCGGCGGGCGGTTCAAGCCACAGCTCGGCACGGCTAGTACCAACACCGGCCAGCTCGCTCGGGTCTGTGTATTTTGTTTCATACACAATTTTAAATACTATCTTCGGAATGATCCCGCATACTACCCCGTATAAGAAAACCAAACGAGTATCATCTGCTTTCATTAACGTTCGTTGAATGAGATTTTTCATGTATGCAGAAAAATTTTCTTGTGTTAAGACTTTTTTTCTATAAAAACCAAGAAAATTAAAAATCAAGAAACCATTTTTCTGGGTGTGCACAGCTGCAAAACACTCGCGGGAAAACTGCCCCACGATCCGCGCGCGTCGATCAAATGCGCAAAGCATCCGTAGCAATAAGAAATTCGCCGTAATCCGTGCGAATCCCCAAAGCGCGGTCTTTGGAGACGCAGCCAGGCGAGGCGGGCCGGCAGCCGGACCGCGGCACTGCCCTCTATGCCCGGGGAGCTGCACGCGAGCGACACGCGCAGCAGGACGTGCATCAGGACGTGCATCAGGGCGGCAGGGCGGCAGTGCGTCCGGGACTCGGACTCGGGACTCACCTTGGGGTGGGTCGGTGGTGGCCGCCGCAAGCTGCTCCTTGGAGCCTCTGGAGCCTCTGGAGCCTGCTGGAGCCGTGGACGAGTCTGGATCGGGGCGCGACGCGCCGCTGCCTCTTATACGCACCGCCCCTGGCCGCCTGGCCGCCCCTCCGGCCGCCCCTAGCGCGCGGCCGCTACCCCCTCCTGGAGCGGGGCGAGGGAGGGACGCGGAGGGGGGGGGGAGACAGAACTGTAATTGGGGAAACTACGCATCTCGGGGCGGGCAGAGGTGCCCGTCACTTCACGTGGCACGCGAGGTGGCGTCGCAATTTCCCATCTCTCTCACTCTGAAGCGTGGATCCGCGGAAAGACGAAAAGACGGATTCGCTCGGCGGTAACTTGATACGGCCAGGGTGGCGGCAACGCGGCGGGATTCTTAAGGAGAGTTTAAAGTCGCCGGGGAATACTGCTCGACGCCCGGACGGGGATCAAAATATGTTATACACTCGGCGCACTAGAGAACCATCCTGGTTGTCCTCTCTCCTCCCCGCCCTCGGCACTGCCCTCGGCACTGTGACCCGTGCGCCCGGACGCGGGTTGGGGTGCCGTGCCGACCGCGCCACTGTAGGATGAGCCGTCATGAGGTGGATAGGCGCCGGACAGACAGACAGACACAATCTGTCTGGCGGACACACAGGTCCATCATGCCCGGAAAAATGAACCGTTGCCGAGGGCGCGCGTTGCCAGAACGGAGGCTGAGAGGTGGGAGAGTCCCTGTCCGTACAAACCAGGCCCGTTGACTGGCGCGATTTAGATGTGGGGAAAGCGTCGTCGGCGTCATGTTGGAACTCTGGCCAAATTTTGGGCGGCCGATCTTCTAAGTCTAAGTCCGAGCGTGGCGCGCGGTGTGGACCGGTCTGTGTGCGTGCACGTCCCCAGGCAAAAGGGAGGGGGCGGGTGTCCCTTCGGGGTGTCCAGTCTCATCATTCTAATGGAGCGCGATTCCCAGCCCTCCCCGCGGGGCCGCGGTGCGTAGGCGGGGCCGCACGGGCCGCACCGCGACTGTTGCTTGCTTGCAAAGACATTTCGAGATGATCGTCACAAAGTTGAGGTTTCCAAGTCAACAAAGAAAGTTCGTCGTCAGACGACCACAATAATGCGCCGCGTCGCGCCCTCGCCCCAGCCGTGACGATGGCCGCGCAGTGCAACGTCGCCGTGAGTCATTCAGACCTATCGGCACGAGGCACGCCTCTTTTGCTGGTCTCTCTCGCTGTCTCTCTCGCACCCCAGCGGGCCGCCTCATGAGTGCACGCGAGACAGCGAGTCCACTGTTGGGATTGGACTCAGCCTGCTGGCAGGTTTGAGTCGTGTGAACGCCGGCACGCCGCGCTGGCACAGCAGCAGGGCGACGCCGGGACAGTGATCTGCATCGCAAATCCGAGAGCCTCTTCTTCGAGAGGACTCGGCACCCCTCCCCCTCTTCCTCTCTCTTTCTCTCTACTCCCTTCCCCTCCGGAGTGTGGCGGTGTGGCCGGTGGAGCTCTCCGTATAAATATTGATAAAATGCCCCTTGCCGGAGGAAAAAAGAAGTACGAAACAAAATGAAAGTTTCTAGTTTGTAATCAAGTTGGCTCGCCTGCTTTGGCGAGGGCGTGTAAAAAAGGGCGGGGAAAAATAATGTCGAGTGATGAATCAAATACGTGTCTGCTTTTTGTAAAGAGGGTGGCCAAGTCGGTTTCAGGGTACCTGCCCCAGAACAGGGGCGCCGCCGCCGCCTCCGGCCACCGTCAGGAAACAAATTTCTGTGCAATGCGATAGTTCAAAATTGTTTAATCCTACTGTAAAAATACAAAAATGAAATGGAAACAGCGAGGGTGGTGGCGCAGGTCGCCGTGGTGGCGCACGCGGCGCAGGTCGTCAGGGGATGGCGTTGACGTGGATCCACTGCAGGTACTCGGACACGCGGGTGTAGACGTCGGGGAAGTGCGGCAGCGCGGCGCAGCCCGTCACGCCGAAGCTCACCACGCCCACCACGTAGGCCCGGCCGGCTGCCTCCAGCGTCAGCGGCCCTCCGCTGTCGCCCTGGAACACCAAGCTCGTGTTTAGCGGCAAAGACAGCGACAGCGATCCTGGAATCGCTGGGCTACGCTTGGCTACGCTTGGCTACGCTTGGCTACGCTTGGCTACGCTTGGCTACGCTTGGCTACGCTTGGCTACGCTTGGCTACGCTTGGCTACACTCCAAATCCAGGGTGTCTAGAAACTATACGCCTTAGGTGTATGCCACAGAAATGGAACTGCCTTAAGGCGCCTTGATTCTACACGCCAAAGGCGTATACCCCATTGAGCACCTTTTGCAGATAGAAGATAGCATGTCAGCACCATTGGTCGAAGGAAAGGTGCGTGCATTGTACACACCCTGGATCATAGGCACTGAGCTCAACAGGACTCAAGGTGCGTAGAATGCAAACACCGCCCTTGGCCGAGGCCATGCCTACCGAGGCCTTAAAGGGTGTTTACATTCTACGCACCTTGAGTCCTGTTGAGCTCAGTGCCTATGATCCAGGGTGTGTACAATGCACGCACCTTTCCTTCGACCAATGGTGCTGACATGCTAACTTCTATCTGCAAAAGGTGCTCAATGGGGTATACGCCTTTGGCGTGTAGAATCAAGGCGCCTTAAGGCAGTTCCATTTCTGTGGCATACGCCTAAGGCGTATAGTTTATAGACACCCTGGATTTGGAGTGTACGCTTGGCTACGCTTGGCGTGGGCGTACTCACGAAGCAGGTGCCCTGGTGGCCCGCGGGGGCGGCGCACACCATGCCCGGGCCCAGCGGCTCCTCCAGCTGGCGCGCGCACACCTCCACGGGCAGGGTCTCCACGGCCAGGCGCTGCAGCACGGAGCTGGGGTCGCCCGCCGGGAACGACGTGATGCCCCAGCCCGTCACCCAGGCCGGCATCCCCGCGGGAGGGCCGCCTGGAACAGGAAAGCGGCCGTCAGGCAGGCGGTCGTCGGCCTCCCTCACGCCCCCACGGGGCGCGGAATGAGTGCGGTGGAGACTTGTCGACGCGGAAGCCGGAAGGCCGGAGGACTGACCCGAGTGCAGGCCCTGCAGGCCGGGCAGGCAGGCCGGCGCGATGACGCTGGAGAAGGCCACGGGCTGCTGGAGCTGCAGCAGCGCGATGTCGTGGTCCAGCAGGAAGGGCTGGAAGTGCGAGTGGAACAGCACACGCCGCACGCCCCGCTCCTCGCTGCCCGCCTCCCTGGAGGCCGTCAGGTCCAGCGCCCCCAGCACGACCCGCAGGCTGCCGACGGGCGTGTCTCTCCTGCAAAGTGGCTCCGTCAAACCATGGAGAGAGGGTGCTCGCCAGTCTTGGGCCTGGAGGCTCCGAGGGGCGTAAGCAAAGACCCGTTTGCCGCCGAAATTTCGACATCGTGAATTTCAGCTAACTTCAAAAAGTTTATGGTGTCAGACGAACGCTTACCAGTCGATACCAAATTCTTCAGTCAAAAGCCAGGCCATGGGCGCTGGGTCATGGGCGCCCGCCAGTTCTCAAAAGCCCCTTGCACCCTCCAGGGTAGGCAACCCAAACTCCCTGGTGCGCTGCGGGCCAGCCTACGCCGACCGCCGCAGGGGCTCTGGCCGGCCGACGGGACTGGTCACCAGTGGACGCCACCGCCACAGCTTGCCCGTGGTGGGATTTCGAACCGGCGGCACGGGGTTAAGTCCCCCCCCCCTTCCCCGCGTCAAAGCAGCCCCCGCTTACGTCATGAGGCAGTGGGCGGCGGTGAGCACGAACTCGTGGTTGATGAGGGAGCCTCCGCAGAAGAACAGGTGGTCGAGGAGCAGGGCCACCTGCCAGGGGAACTCGCCCCGCGCCGCGTCCTGCCCGCCAACGATGCGCTCCTGCAGGTGCGGGTGCGCGTGCGGCCCCAGCTGCCGCAGCTGCTGGAGCTGTCGGCGCAGCAGCCCTGCGGCAGACGCGAGGCAGACGCGCCAACGCGGTGGTCATCTCGAGAGCGCCTTGGTGGCGGCCGGGACGGCGGCCGGGAAGGCGATGCCGCGCCGATACTCACTCTGGTGGAACGTGCTGACGGTCTCGGGGAAGTCCCACCACGCGCCGCCGGGCTGCCTGCTGCCGTGCGGCGCGCCCACCCGCCGCAGCGGGGGCTGGCTGAGGAGGCCGCCGAGGAGGCCGTCGTGGTGGTGGTAGTTGAAGGGCGGGCCGGGCACGGCCGCGGCGGGGTCGGACGCCACCTGGCGGCCGCAGGTGACGGGCGCTGCGGGACGACGCGGAGGCGGTGTCAAAAATGTACGTTTTGGTGCAATCACAGGAGGAAATGCAGTGCAAGGCCGCCGCCGTTTTTCTGGTGTGCATATTGACGTGACACTGGCGGGGCTGGCAGGGGCTGGCGGGGGTGGAGGTGCAGGTCAGTGGGACGCCGCCGCCCTCAATCCGTCTGTGACACGAGGGCCGGCCGCCACCCCCCGCATGCACCCCCTGCAAGCACCCCGCCGACGGCGCGACGGGCCGGGAATGCGGTGCAGTTCCCCGGGGCCCGCGGAGGCACCGCGCCTCGCCCGCCCTCGTGCGCCAGTGTGGATGCGCCTGTGTGGGCGTGCCTGTGTGGGTGTGCCAGCGCGGGGTGGCGGCCGCCCGTCGTGCAGTGCGAGTGACGCGTCATACCTTCGAGTCGCGGCAGCCGCTGGCAGGCCAGCTGCGTGAGCTGCACGTTCCACGAGTTGGGCCCGTCGCTCTGGATGAGCGCCGCCACCTTGAGCGGCTTGCTCTGCCCGGGGGACACGGCCACCGTGGCTGCAACACAACGGAGGGACGAAGGTAGGAGAGGAGTCCGCCGAACAGGCCGACAGGCGCCAGCCGGCGCCAGCGCGACGAATGTAGTTGCTGCCCTACTCACTGACGTAGCCGGTGAGCGGCCCGCAGAGGGGCGCGGTGGGGCCGTCCGCGGAGTTGAGGATGAGGAGCTGGTCCACGTCGCACGCTCCGCCCAGCCTGCGCGCCACCAGCGCGGACACGAACTCGACCCTGCGCAAGCAGAGCGTGGCAGAGCGTGGCACAGCGCGATGCGTCGGGCGTGTCGCGTGACCCCGCCCGAAAACAAGCACACCGCCAGTCCCGTCCTACCTGACGGCGCAGACGTCCTGCCGGACGACCACGTCGAAGTCGCAGGCCAGCGCCCCCGCCGCCCTGGAGGGGAAGTCCGGGGACTGGAAGGAGGCGGCCGCTTCCGGAGTCACATCCCCGCACGAGTGCCGAACTGGAAAAAGGCGAGGAGTCAAGCACACTGCAAAGGGCTGCATGCTGCTTCCGTTTTATTGCCAGTGTGCGTGTGCGGTGGAACGCGTCTCACTCCCACTCGCCCGCTCTGCCCACGCCAGCACCGCTTTGGCGAAACTGCAGCGGTCCGGTGCGTCCGGTGCGGCCGGCCGGCACCGAAGAGTTACGGAATAAATGAACGGCCGGCCTCTCCGGCCCCCGCCGCAAGGACAGCACGCCGAATAGTCGAGATCAACCCCAACCCAGCCCACGACTGTATTGTCTTGGTGACAACAGCCGAAAGTAACACTTGGCTGCCAATTTGTGCCAGTTCGAGGGAAGGCCCACGCGAAGCGAGCCTGTTCCGGGTGGTTCCGGGCCGACCGTGGCGCGCCGCCCCGCTCCCTTGACACTGTCCTTAATGCGACTGACTCACCGGACCCACCTCGGGGAGCGGAGGAAAAAGAGCAAAACAAAGAGGCGAGGCGGAGGCACTCGTGCAAAAGCTAAACGCCCCTCCCTCGCCTAGCCGGCGCCGACGGGCAGCGAGCAGCCCACCCAGTGCTGTAATGACAGTGCAGTGGAGGCAAAAGGCCGCCTCCGAGTGGGCAATGCCAGGCAATGCAATCCCGGCGGTCTGTCTCTCTCGCACCCCCGGGGCACGCGCGCCAGCCCGCCAGACTGACATCAAATCCACGAACTGACGGAACTGGGACCACTTCCGAGAAGAACTTCCCTCGCGAAACAGTCTCGAGATTGTTTGACGAAGGAACCGCGTCGCTAAGCAAACATGGGCGAAAACGAGAAGCCAATTCCAGCGAAGCCGAGCGTTGCTTCTGGGGCGCTTCAATCGTCTGTAACTAGATTAATTTTCGTTTTCGTTTTGTGTTTTTTTTCTGCGGCCATGTGGTGCTCCCTCGTTCCAAAGCGATAGGGTGACCTTGTGGCGCACTGTTTTTCTTTTCCGAGTACGGACCGCCACGCAACGCCCAGGCCGGCCGGCCAGCCAGCCAGCCAGCCAGCCAGCCAGGCGGGCGGCCCCCTGCTCCTCGCTATTTCACGGTCGGGGAGCCGCCCTGCTCAGGATGTAACTTACTTTGCTGGTTGTCTCACTGGTTGAGCATCGCGGGGCACGGCGCGGCACGGCACGGCGCGGCGCGGCACGGCGTGGCGCGGAACGGCGCGGTGCTCGAATTAAAGCCGCGGAAGACGGTGCGCTGCGTGGCGGTCCCGTTGGTCGGACGGACGGAAGCTGTCTGTGTGTGCGCGGGTGTGTGTAAGAGTGTGTATTCGTGCGTGCGGGGGCGTGTGTGTGCTTTACGCTGTGGCCTAACCAAACCTAACGTAACGTAACCCAAAGTAACCTAACGTAACCTAACCTAACGAAACCTAACCTAACCTAAAGCGCTCAGCAGACACGTTGACGGTACTCACAGACGCAGCACACGCTGACGGCCGAGGCCTTGGCGCTCCAGGGTCCGCTGGCGGAGGCCGAGCCGTCGGCGCCGAGGCCGGGGCACACGTCCTCGGACCGGCCTCCGCGACGCCGGCACTCGGCCGCGGGGTAGCACACGCCCGTGGAGCCGTCGGACAGCGCGGCGCACAGCCTGCTGGACTGCAGCGACGCAGCGACGCAGCGACCCGGGGCGGGACAAGAATTAGGTACATTCACAGTAGAAGTGGAGACTTGACGTGGCCTTTGAAACGTCAAGTGTCCATTGAGGTTCGGACTTCTCCGCAAATGAGATTGCCCGCGCAGGACGAGGCCCACCCCAACCTTTCCAACGCCTGCGGGTGGGGATTTGGCCAACAGCGCCAAAGTTTCAAATCCCCGCGCCTTTGCGGATAACCAAAACAACTGGCATCTCTAGTGCGTTACTCGGAGTTTGTTGTTGTTGCGGCGCTTTGCATCGACTTGGCCGGCTGTTTCGACGCGGCACTGTAAAAACTGCAGTGTCGCTGCGCACGCTGCGCACCGTGAGTCGGCTTACCGGCTGGTCCTGAGTGTCCGCGGCGTCCGCGGCGGCCTCCTTGGTGGCGTCCGCGGTGGCGTCCACGGTCATGGCGCCGACGGCGTCGGACGGCGCGGGCACCAAGGACGCGGGCAGTGCTGGGCGTGCCGCGGCGCCGGCCGGCCGGTACAGGATGCTGTCGAGGAGGGTGCTGATGTTGCCCCGCAGCGAGTGGATGGTGGCCGGGGGGAGCGCGGGGGGCGGGGGGAGGGGGAGGGGCCCGGCCGGCCCCGCGGGCCCCACGCCCAGCACGTTGGAGTCTGCAATGGAAACAGCGCTGGTTGATTCGTGCCAAGGAGGGCTGCCTCGGAGACCTCGGAGGAACGTTTGCCTAACTTCGCCACGCGCGACCTCAGAAACCGAAGTCGCGAGATCTATGAGAGGCCGCGGGAGATCCATCGGTACATGATTCATGACTCCTGCCACCCTCGCCACTCTGTGCCTCCCCCGCCCGGTTCCTTCTCGTTCCCACGCCTCCCCTCCTCCACGCGGCGTTCTCCAAGGGGCGATATCTGGCCCCACCGGCGGGGCGCGGAGTCGAGAAGCACGGCAGCGCGGCCCCCGCGCCATGGGCCATGGGCCCACGGGCCATGAATATTTAAATCGCGGATGTTATTACACACAACTCATCTTCCATTTGCGCAGCGCGGAGTACAAAGGATGCTTGACATGCCCCTACTTATTTCGCCGACAGACGTGGCGCGTGTACGTGTCTGTGTGTGAGTGTGTGTGTGTGTGTGTGTGTGTGTGTGTGTGTGTGTGTGTGTGTGTGTGTGTGTGTGTGTGTGTGTGTGTGTGTGTGTGTGTGTGTGTGAGGTGCGGGGCTGATTCCGCTAGGAGGCGTCTCGGCTCGCTGCCCTCACACGGCCACGGCCACGGCCATGTAGACCCAGACGGAGTACGCCGGAGTGCGTTGTGCGTTGTGCGCCTCGGGTGCCTCGGGTGTGTGGGGAGGGGCGGGGCCGAGGCGGGGCACGGACTCATAAAAATATTCACGGGAAAAAAGATGTACCGGCATTATGATGGATCGTGGCGTCGCCATTTTAATTGGCGGAGCCGTTTTTTTTAAATTCTTGGAAAGAGGCGCGCGGGTAATAGCTCTACATGGAGGTTCACGCCACTGACCAGCCCGGCCCAGCCCCAGCGGCAAGGGAGCGGCTCAGTGTGGCGCTAGTGTGGCACTCTTAGAGTGGTTTGAAACTGCGTCCTTAACGATGACACCCTCCGCGCCACCGGTTCTGGATCTCACCTGACGCCTCGGCGGATGGCACTAGGTTCACAGCGGCGGCCGCGCTGTCTGCGCTTGGCACGATATGCAGGTCGGTGGGCGGCTTCGACGGCGGCCTCGATGGTGGCTTTGACGGCGGCCCCGTCGCTGGGCCGAGGGCGGCCTCTGGTGGGCGCTTCCCGGGCCGGGGCTTGGGCCGCTTTGGCGGACGCTTGGCAGCCCCGGGCCGTTTGGCGGCGGCGGCGGCGACGGACCGCGGGGGGCTCGCAGCGCTCGTGCCGCCCGCGGCACCAGGGTGCGCCCACTGCGGGGTGGCGGCGCTCGCGAGCGGCTGCCAGGCGACGCCACCTGCAGCGCTGGACCACTCAGGGAACGTCATGAAGCCCCCCGTGGTCCACGGGGTGGTCGCGCTCCCACTGGGAGTCCAGTGAGATGTTGGAACGCTCACGGGGGCAGTCCAAGGAGGCGTTGGAACGCTCACAGGGGGAGGCCAATGAGGTGTCGCAGCGCTAGCGGGGGGAGCCCTGTGCCGTGTAGGAGCACTCACAGGCGCTGTCCACGGTGGTCCGTCGCTCCCAGTTGGAGTCCAATAAGGTGATGCGGCGCTTACGGGGGGCGGGGGAGTCCAACTAGGTGTTCCAACGCTCACGGGGGGCGGGGGAGTCCAATGAGGTGGTGCAGCACTCACAGGGGGAGGGGGAGTCCAATGAGGTGTTGCAGCACTCACAGGGGGAGGGGGAGTCCAATGAGGTGTTGCAGCACTCACAGGGGGAGGGGGAGTCCAATGAGGCGTTGCAGCACTCACAGAGGGAGGGGGAGTCCAATGAGGCGTTGCAGCACTCACAGGGGGAGGGGGAGTCCAATGAAGTATCCCAGCGCTCACAGGGGTAGACCAATGCTGTGTTGGAGTGTTCCCAGGAGAAGTCCACTGCTGCGGCGCCGCGCTTGCCGCCGGGGTGGTCCCTTGCTGCGGTGCGGCTGTGGCAGGGGGCGACCCAAGGGGCGGCCACCGGCTGTCCCCAGGTCCGCTCGGCACGAGAACGAGCAGGGGTTTCCGCCTCTCGGCCGTGAGGTGGACGTCGAAGGGCGGCCGGCCCTCGTCGGGGACCTCGTTGGGGACCTCGTTGGCCGCGGAGGCCTCCGCGTCATCGGCGGGCAGGACCACCTCTCCGGGGTGCGGCAGGTCGTCCGTCTCCTCCAGCAGCATCGTCCGGAAGGTGTCCAGGTTGCCGTCGGGAGCCGGGGCTCGGCGGCGGATGCCTTGCAGGGCCGCGGCACTGGCGAACCTCTGGGGATCGCTTCCGCGGTCTCCGATGCTCTTGACGTTGTTGAAGTGGCCCGCCACGAGGCGGATCCCCGAGGCGTGTTTCCGGGCCCTGGGTGCTCTGGGTCGGCAGGGATCCAGGCCAAGGATGTCGTCTGGCTGCGGTGGCTGCGCCCCCATGACGCTCAGGCAGGTGTGACACCATCTACAAGACGACATCTGTCAGGGAGAAAACGGGGCGCGCCAGGCTGGAGGCAGCCGCTGGGCGGTGCCACTTCCACACCGTGCAAAACTACTCTGGATTAAGTTTCCATTGTTCGCAAGCAAACGTCAAAGAGTCGTTAATTCTGTCAATCCGCCTGTCCGTCACGACAGACGTTAACGTTCAATGCAATGTTAAAGTTTGATTCAACTTTGTATTTTTGAAACGTCGTCGTGATGGTGCTCCACCGACCGGGCGCTACTTACACGAGAGCCCACACAATCAGCCGCATCCTTCAGGGCTGCGAGGGCCTCGGCCAATGGCGAGGCCAATGGCCATGGTGCCAGGCCTCGGCCGCGCCTCAGTGTTCAGGGCGACGCCGCGAGGCCTTGGCGGTGTTCGGCGAGGCCGGGGCGCGGCATCGGGGGCACTGCAACAGGAGTCCTGTCACAAGACCCGGGCCGACACCTTGGCCTCCTCGAAGGGACTCGGAAAGCCGCCGGGTCGTTACCTGTCGGGCTGGTCCGCGCGACCAGGTGCGGCGGCCGCGGTGTGGCCGCCGAGTCGCGTCGCTGCCTGCGCCCCGCCTGCCGCGCGGCCGCGGCCATGCCGATCCAAGCCGAATCCGGTCCAGCAGGCTTCCAGCACCAGTTTCCCTGGTTACCGATGAGCTGCGCTGAAGGGACTCGCACTCGAATTGGCGCACGCGCGGCCACTTTGCACCGACGACGCGCGGACAAGCAGGCGAGCGGGCACAGCGGGCAACAAGAGGCGCTGGCACGAGCGGGGCAGGAGTGGGTGCGGCGGCGGCGCGGTGTACACTGGCGCGCTGCTGCACGGCGCTGACGGGGCTGCACGGCCGTGCGCGTCACGCTCGGGGGCGCGCCGAGTACCGTCATACACCACGCACTCCACGGGCTGGACGGGGCAGGCCGGCCGGGGCCTGTCGCTGCCAACGTGGAGGAGTGGCTGGAGTACGTCTAGTCTGGTCTGAGCGACCATCAGTTGTGACATTTTTGAAGGGAGCCGCTCACTTAAGTGGCGGCTTGAGGACACAACGGATACAGTCACAGATCAAGTATATTTGTTTTGTCGAAAATAAAAAGGTACAAAAAGTGAAAAGCACACGTTTGGTGCAGGCATCAGGCCGCAACAGGCAGGCACGTGGGGTAAAAGTCATTGTTGTTGACACAACGTCTGTTGTGGCGGCGCGGGGCGGCGCACTCGGCTCGGTCAGTCCCTGCCGTTCAGGATGTCCTGGATCTCCTGCAGGGACTTGCCCTTGGTGTTGGGCATGAGGGCGAGGGCGAAGGCGGCGGCCAGCACGCAGCACGCCGCCAGCCCCCAGAAGGTGAAGTCGGGGCCCACGGTCCCCATGAGGGATCGGAAGAAGAGCGTCACCAGGAAGCCCACGGCCCAGTAGAAGGACGCGCACAGCGACGACGAGGCCGCCTTCACGTCCGCCACGAACACCTCGCCCAGCAGCGCCCACGGCACGGACCCCAAGCCTGCGCCCAGAAAGAGTGTTCCCGTGAGCCTGACGGGCCTGGCGTCTTGCCCCTGGTTAGCGACGCTGCTCAACGCCCTGCTAAGTGCTAAAGAGACTCGTGGAGCCGCGCGGCCGAGTGTACAGTGTACACTGGCTGGAGGGAGCACTTCCAAAGACCTGGCGGCAACAACAGACTCACCTATGCAGTAGACGACGATGAAGAAGACCAGGCTGGCGACGGGCAGCGCGCTCAGCGAGGACGTGTCCTGCTTGGTGGCCACGAGGTGGAAGAAGTACCCCAGCACCGCCTGGGAAAGAGAGAGACTCCCGTTGAACGTCAAGACCAGATAGAAGGCCGCCCGCGTCACTTGGAAGCTTACGTGGGCCAAGGCCGCTCCCAGCGAGGACACGATGAAGAGCGCCTTCATGCTGACGCCCGCCGTGAGGGGAACGGTAGAGGCCGAGGCCACCACCAGCACCATGCCGACGATGATGGTGCTCATGGCCGGGGAGATGCTCGCCTCGCCGCCAGCGGCGCGGTTGAAGATGTCCTCGGCGTACGAGAGCACGGCATTGATGCCGGAGAGTTGCTGGAACAGCATGAGCGCGCACACCAGGAAGAAGGCGCGCCGGCCGCCGCGGGTCTCGAACACGCGGACGAACGTCTTGGCCACGGAGCAGCGGCGCGCCAGGCATGCCTCCGTCTCCTCCTGGAACCGCAGTACCGCTGCATTGAGGAACTGCGTTGGGGCACTGCGTGGAAGTGGTCCAACCACCACGTCTCCTTGCGTGAGTAACCCGGGAGACGTACCTCCATGCGGCGCAGCTCCTTGTAGCACTGGTCGCGGTCCTGGCCCCGCAACCACTGCAGGGCGGCGGAGGCGGCCTCGGTGTCGCCCTTGAGCAGCAGCAGGTAGGGGGACTCGGGCAGGCTGAGCGAGGTGGCGGCGTACACCGCCACGCACGAGGCCAGCACCACGGCCAGCACCGTGGGGGACACGAAGGGGCCCAGCGCGTACGGCAGCATGAAGCCCAGAGTCAGCGACAGCTGCATGGCGCAGCCCAGGGCCGCGCGAATGCGGTCCTGTCGGCGCATTGTCACATTGTTACACAAGTGTCATCTTGAGTGTCATCGCCCAACAACGGCAAACTAATCTGAATTAATTCAAAGTTCAACACGCGAATCCCAGCGCGCTCGCCAGCTGCCTGCTCTCACCACGGCGATTTCCCCGAGGTACAGCGGCAAGATGCACGATACCACGCCGGTGACGAAGCCCCCGATGAACCTGGCGGCGTACAGGCAGATCGCAGAGGAGGCCAAGCCCGTCATCACCCAGCACACGAACATGAGGGCCGCGCTGCAGATGATGGTAGGTCGACGGCCGAACCTGCAGAGACCAGCAGAACATTAGCGGGTCTCCCAGCGGGAAGCAACTCCGCGGCAGCGCGGCACGGGGTGCAAGGTTGAACAGGTTGCCCCACCTGTCGGCGAAGAGCCCGCCCGGGATGGTGCCGAAGGCGCCGCCGAGGGGCGTGAGGCTCACGACCCAGGACGCCTCCTCGGGGGTGAGGACGAAGCCGGCCGGCGCGCTGGGGTCCATCAGCCTGGGCAGCGTCGGCGAGGGCCACGAGTACACGAAGCCGCCGCACACCGCGGCCAGGTTGCCTGCGTCCGCACCGCCCGCGCGTCAGTCCAACGTCACGTACTACTTGGAGTGCTGGAGGTTGTGCTTACCTGCGATCCCGGCCCAGATGAGGTGCCAGTGCATGGGCGGCGCGGACGGGGTCACGACCGTCACCGTCCTGGGCGGCCTGGCGCCGCCGGCAACGGGCACGCCCATGGGCACCACCGTCACCTCCTCGCCCCTCTCCAGGAGGGGGAAGTCCGCCTTCTCCGCCGCCATGGCGTCCCTCGCCGACGACATGGTGTCCTTAACGGTGGCGAATCACTTGGGGAGGACCCGCACCGGCCACCCTGTGGTGGAATACTTTCAAGTGTACTTGCTAAGTGTGCTCCACCTCGAATCTACTTGGCTTACTAGAGTGCACACTTCAGATAGAGAGCAGCAACATTGTTATGATACGTCTACTTCATAGAGCAGCCTCTATTATGGTTCCATGACACCACTGAAATTTATTCTGTTCACCTCCCATCCACCCCACTGAGCGAAAACCTCGCTTTCCGCCTTCCCCATCTGTCCGCCGAGCCCGACCTACCTCAAAGTGGCACGGAGGCGCCGCGGTGTGCTAGCCGTGCTAGCAGGCCGAGCAGGCCGGTAGGGCTGACAGGGTGTGGGCGAGCACGGCCATCTTCTCCTCCGCGCGGTCGGTCCGGGCGTGGCGTCGGGCCGCGGCAGTGCTGGCGGCGAGCGGCGAGGCCTACCGGTCTACCCACACGTCGGTCGGCGCATCGCCTTGCTGCCTGCTGCTAGTGCACGCCAGAGAGCTACAGTAAAGTCGCGCGCCAGATAACCGGCGATAACACATTCGTTCCCAGGCGGCCCTCCCCGCCCCGGCGCCCCGCCTTCACCGTCAGCCCCCCCGCGTGCGTGTCTGCGCGTCCCGGCGCTCCCGGCGCGGTCCTGGCGCCGCGGGCACACAGTCTGCGGGTGGCGTCGCCGCGGCGTCGCAGCCACTTAGCAGCTTCCGGGTGGCGCCCTTTCTGCGCGGGGGCGGCGTCGCGGCCAGGCGTCGACGGCGAAGTCCCCGGGCACAACGCCGGCGCGCAGCGCACGCGCACCCAGCCGGGCGGCGTCGCCGTCAACGCCTCGCCCCCGCGCGGCGGGCCTCCAAGAGGTGCGTCGTACTTCGGCTTGGTCGCTCTTTCAACGGCGGCAGTGCCGTCGCCGTCGGCGCCTTCATGTGACTTACGATTGGCTTTCGTGTGGCTGACGTCTGTTGCAGTGGTGGCGTGGCAGCGGCGTCCGTTTGTGTTTCGCCGCCCGGCTTTGACGGGTATTTGAACCCGCAGCCCGCAGGACGAACGCGGTGAGGCGGTGCGGCGGCACGGCCCTGGCGGCACGCACGCTGACTGAGCAGTTGGCGGCTCCGCGGCGCGTTCCGCGCGTTGGAAGGCGCGCGCGGCGACTCCACCACGCGCCTCCTGGCTGCGTTCAAACACGGCCCGGCGGACGCCCGCTGCCGCCCGGCCGTCTGCCCGTCGCGGCGGCGCGTCCTGCCAGTGGGTGCGACAGAGACGGCCGGCCCCAAACCCGAAGGCGATCCTGCGATTTTGCATTCGAAGGATCCGCCTTCCCCTCGCCGCCCTGCGCCGCCCGGCCGTTGGACTGTGCCCCCCTCCCCTGCCGCCGCGGTGGGGGGAGCCTGGGCTATCTTTGTCGTCGTTGTGGGGGAAGGGTTAGCGTCGGCCGATGCACCAACGCCACAGGACACTAACACCACGCAGGTGTAATGTGGCGTGGAGCACCTAGTGTACTCGCACAGTACACTAGCAAACGTCCGCGTTAGTGTGCGCCTTTCAGCGCGTGTGGGGGCGTATCGCATTTTGCTACAAAGTCATGCGCGGAGTGCACAGTAGGGAGGAGCCTTATCTCTTATCACGGGCAGAGCAGGATCAGGCGGCGAGCTGACAGGAGACAAACACAAAATCATTTCCTTTTTAATTTTCAATAAAAACGCATTTTTTAAAAGTTGTCATCCATTTCTACATCTTTAACATTTTGCTGGTGGTAACTTTCATTCACTTATTCTATTTGCAACGCTTCAAGGTTGGCGCGGATGCCGGCGCGCGGAAGTCAGGACCGGCCGCTTGCCTCGCGTTGTTTGGTCGCTGCGGTGCCCGGTGGGTGCCCACAGCAAACACTGCTCGTTGCCCAACGCCGAGGCTCGAAAAAAGTCCATGCGGCGCCGCGGCCACATCATGAGCCACATGGCGGAGCGGCGTGTCTCTGTGTGTGTGTGTGTGTGTGTTGTGTGTGTGTGTGTCTGTGTGTCTGTGTGTCTGTGTGTGTGTGTGTGTGTCTGTGTGTCTGTGTGTCTGTGTGTCTGTGTGTTGTGTGTGTGTGTGTGTGTGCGTGTGTGTGTGTGTGTGTGCGTGTGTGTGTGTGTGTGTCTGTGTGTCGCGGCAGGGAGCGAGTGCGTTGGGTTGCCGCCCTGCCGGCGCAGCACCGCGAGACCGCGACGCACAGCCGTGTGAGACTGCGTCGGCGGGGCCCGCTGGCGAGCCAGCCTAGCCTCCCGCGGGCGGCCGCTGTCGCTGCCGCAGCCGCAGCTTGCAGCCGTTCTTGGGGTGGAACGTGATGGACACGGTCATCTTGATGCGCTGGACCTCCTTGGGGCCGTCCGGGTCGGGCAGCACGTCGTAGCGCCGCAGCACGGTGGCCAGGCACGTCTTGAGCAGCATGAAGGTGTACCGCTCGCCGATGCAGCCCCGGATGCCCGCGCTGAACGGCAGGAAGGAGCAGGCCGGGCGCGCCGCCGCGGCCTCGGCCAGGAAGCGGTCCGGGTCGAACTTCTCCGGCCGCGGGTAGTACCTGGCGGAGACGCAGGCAGAGAGTGTGCCGGAGTGGCTCCTCTCGTTACTCTGTCTGTGGGCGCCCGCGAGTGCGGTAGAGACAAAGCGACGAAAGACTTACTCTGGGTGCCACTGCGTGGCCAGCGGGCAGAGCGCGATGTAGCAGCCGGCCGGCAGCGTGTGTCCCGACGGCAGCCGCAGGTCCTTCTCGCAGGTCCTGCCCAGCACGGGGAACGGCGGGTAGTAGCGCAGCGCCTCCCTGATGAGCCGCTCCAGCGCGCACAGGTGGTCCAGGTCGGCCGTCTCCAGCGGCCGGTCGCCCAGCACATCATCCAGCTCCTGGTGGCAAGACGGGCAATCAACCAGCCGGCCTTGCTACTTTTCCTCGCGATAACGAAGTGAATCCGAACTGCACGCACTCGGTGTATCCGCGCCAGCTCGTCCGGCAGCAGGGACAGCACCAGCAGCACCATGGACATGACGTCCATGGAGGTGGCGAACGTGCCCGCCACCATGGTCTTGAGCTCGGCGAACACCTCCGCCCTGGAGAGGGTCCGGCCGCCCTCCGAGTCCAGCAGGATGTCCAGCAGCGACCGCCGTGACTGCTGCTGCCTGGGTTCCGACATCTTGTCCTGCAACGCCACGGCGGGGAGTGAGCAGTAAGGTCAGGGGGAGAGGGAGACAGACTCGCCAATACGCACCAGCTTGTCGTCCAGGACGTCCGTGATGAGCCGGTCGTACAGACCGATGACCTGCTCCAGCTCGGCGTGGTTGGGGTCCAGCCGGAACAGCCAGTCGGGGTGGCGCCACGGCCGCACCACGCGGTACCAGAGCAGCTCCGAGACCCTGGTCGTGCTCTCCACCACCAGGCGGCGCTGCTCTCGCGTCGCCTCGTACAGGCCCTGGTCGACGTCCAGGATGGTGCGGTAGGTGACGTTGAGCGCCGCCAGGCCGCACAGCATGGACACGTCGAACACCTGCGAGTCCAACGACGTGAGAAGGAGAGTCCCGTCTGGCTGATTCGGAACAATGCCGCTCCGTCACTCTGTCTCTCTCGCACTCTCAACGTTGAGAGAGAGGGCGTCGAAAGCAGTCCCCGCGACTCACCTCCCCGCTGGCGGCCTTGTCAGCGAGGCTGTCGGCCAGCTCCAGGGCGGACAGGTGCATGAGGGGCTGGAACTGGGCGAGCATGTCGCGATGCAGCAGCGGCAGGATCATCTTCCGGTGGCGGCGGTGCTCGGGGCCGTTGAGCGACGCCATGCCCTTGCCCAGCACCGTCTCCAGCAGGCGGTACGCGCTGTCCGGCTTGGCCGCGCAGCTCGGCGACGAGATGACCGCCTCCACGTCCTTGGGGTCGATCACGCACACCACGAGCTTCGGCCCGAACCAGAACCGCAGCAGGTAGCCGTACTTGGCGATCATGGCCTGGAACACGAGCGCGGCGCTGAGTGCCGCCGACGCGGGCCCCTGCGGAGCGCCGGGTAGGCAGTCCCGCAGGACGCGCGCGTTGAGCGGGCCTGCCCACCCTCGCGACGTCAGGCTGAACCTGAAGGGCCGCAAGGGACGCACCTGGAACCAAGGCTGGATCCTGCCGGCGCGTCCGGGCACGTCCAGGAAGTTGCCCAGGACGGGGTGCGTCGGCGGCCCGGGGATGGAGGCGGCCACGCGGGCCATGCGCCGCACGCCGCGCCACCACGTGAGCGCCGTCTTGGTGGCGAGGACCACGGCGGCCAGCAGCAGCACGCTGGTCGCCACCGCCATGGCGTCGGCGTCGGCGTGGTCAGGAGGCTCGCTCTGCCCAAGGCTCTGCCGAAACTAAGGGTGCATCACAGAAGGGCTCCTTTCGGCCGGTGGCACGCGGCGTGGCGGAGGGGCGTCCCGAGGGATGCGCGGACAGAGAGGCCGGTGCCTGCAGCCCGACGACGTCGACGTCGCGACGCCCGGGTTACACTGCCACTGCAGCTCCGCCAGCTCCGCCAGCACCACCAGCAGACCCTCGCGCCGCACCATCACCGCCCTGGAGGCACGTGAGTGGCAGCAGCACGGCAGCGGCACCTCGTGCTCGCTGCTGCTGGTGCTGTCAGTCTGCCTGTCAGTCGCTGTCCGTCCGTTCGCCACCTTCGCCGCCCACGAGGGCTCCTCCGCGCACCGCGTCCGCCGATGCTCCCGGCGAACGGGACTGGCACACGAGAAATTGCTATTTCCGCGTGGTGGCGGAATTCCCCGTGAGTGAATAAGCGCCAGGGGGCGGTGCGGTGCGGTGCGTCGTGCTGATTGTGCCGCACGACACTCCCGACGAAGGGCCCCGACGAAGGGCAGCCAGCGCGTAGGCCGCGGCGGGGCGGCGCGGGCGGCACACGCACGCGGTGTACACTGTATACTCACGGTCCTGCAGCGCGCGTACTGAGCCGCGCCGTGCGCCCACTCTGCTTTATAGACATTCGCCGGCCACCTTCCAGGATGTCGCGGACCGCAGCGGCCGGGGGCACCAAGGGCCTTGCCGAGGGCCTTGCCGAGGGCCTTGCGGAGGGCCGCCGGGAAGTGCGCCAACCGAAGGCATTGCCGAGCCCACGAGGAAACGAGGCATGCCTTGCAGCGCACTAGGCTTTTGTGAAATCCGTGATCCGATCGATGCAATGTGTCGTTTCACGCCATTTCGCGAAACCAAGCAGCCCTCAAAACGACGCTACAAAATGCCACTGATGACGGATACTATTGGGTCGCGTTTTAAATTCAAACTTTGGGATTGGAGACGTGAGCACCTTGACAGTTATCGCTCGTTGCAGCGATGGCGGAATCTCGCCGCTGCGTTTGCAGTGCAGCAGTGCAGCACGTCTTTTCCGCGACCTCGAGTAAGTCATGCCGCCTGAGTCACGACAACCGTGTGCAATTTTTGGCGTACTCGTAAATTTTTACGAATCCGCCGAGACCATTTATTTTGCTTCTTTCTCCGATGGGGCGATACTCCTTTCACGTGCGTCGCAAGAGCCCGAACAACCCAGGACTAGTTTTTATGTTTTTTGTTCACTTTTTGCTCAGGAACGCCGTAAGTTTGTGTGTTCTTTGTCGAAAATTTGGCATTATCCTAGAGAAAGTTTCGTGCTGTTGTTTTAGCGTCGTGTAGTTGAAAGGATTTTCCGGATGTTCCGGCTGGACAGCTCGGCCGCCCCGCCCCGCCCCGCCCCGCCCGCCCCGCCCCGCCCCGCCCCGCCCTGCCCCGCCATGGGTAGCAAACGCTTATCTGGCGCGGGCCGGCGACAACACGGCGGGGCGGGGCGGGGCGGACAAACACAGCCGATGCCGATCAGAGGTCAATCAGGGACATGTTTATTTTGGCGGCGTTTTTGTGTGCCGTTCCCGCGCGTCGCGGATTGTCGGGCCGGACTGCCGCCAGCATCCGCCAGGAAGGAAGGCCCTGCCGTTCGCGTATCGCGCAGGCGGCGCAGGCCTTCGCGGCCCTCGCGGTTATCGAGTGCCGCACAATGCAGGCAATGCAGGCGAACCATGCCCCCGGCGCTGCCTAAGACGGAGAAGCCGTGACGCTCGTGTCATGGACCTCGTGGACCCCTTTACACAGGGCTGCCTAGCCAACCAGGCGCCTGCAAAGACAGTCCGCCGGCGTGGACGCAAAGTCGCACCAACAACGAGGAAACACGTGTGATTGCGGCGGGGCGCCGCCACAAAAAGCGCCCTCCGCCTGCCGCCCGTCCTGGAACGCGTCCTGCAATATCCAGAGTGACGGCCGGTATTCCAGGACCCCCCAGGACCCTCCCACCCACGCCAATCAGCACGCGTTTTGTTCCGGCCTGGGCCGTCTTCGGCCCGATAGACTCGCGCGCAGACTCGGGGAAACTCACTTACACCGCTCTCTGCGTGGCACAGAAGTGCACAGCAGCCAACAGCAGCCCCGCGATCGAGAGACGAAGGAGATATACGTGACTCGCGGCGCATTGCTGCACACTCCTGCGTCACGCGTCCATTCAGACTGGGACGGTTCCGAACCGTGCTCTGTCGCTCTGTCGAGGGGCGTCCTTGCCCGAGCCCCTGCGGGTGCGAGAGTCACAGAGCGACGGAGCACTTTTTTCGGAGTCAGACTCGGAGGCAGGAGTGCTGCTGCGTTAGAGGTGCGTCCTGCATTCGGAGGATTGTGGCCGACTGTGGCGGGTTGCCTGTTGCCCAGGGGCGAGTCTTGAACATGAGGAAACTGGACCGCAATCAATGGTTCGGCTTTTCCGGTGTGGTGGCTCCTCGGGTGGATCACATCGTGACCCACCGGCTGTAGGAGGAGGGTGATGCGGTGCTCTGCAGTGCACTACAGGCGTTGAGAGTGGCGGTGCCGGCGAGACCACGCCGTTTCAACAACGCAAGCGGTGAACCCCTACCCCGGCATGCCGGGTGCACCGCCCCGGGACTGGAACCACGCACAGCCCTTTGGAGCGACACCTGTTCGGCGCGCCAGCCTCCAGCCGCCTCGGCCCTCGTCCTGCTCATTGCGTGCAGACTGCAAAGGCCGGCCGACATCCAGACACGAGGCGGGCGGCGAGGCGCAGCGGCGCAGCCTGGGTGATAACCACCACATTATCTCTGTCGTGAAAATTCCAGACGCCGTCCGTGGCGGCGCGGCGGCGCGGCGGCACCCCGCCGGGGCAGGCTGGCGGCTGGAGCTGGAACTAGAGCTAGAACCCCACCGGGACTGCTCGGCCGAGATGAGACGAAAGGGGTTGGGGGCGGGGGGATTTCTCGCGACCGAGAGCCTTTTGAAGAGGCCTGCCCGGGGGGCTCGGTCGAGCCGGTCGGCTTGGTGGGAGCAAGGTTAACACATTCGCTGCCGTCGGGCAAGGGAGGCCGAGCGACGCTAGGCGACGCCTGGCAACGCAGAGCAGCGGACCGAATTCGCTGTCTCCACCGCACTGCTCGGAACGCCCCTCGAGTGCGAGAGAACAGAGCGATCAAATCGGTTGCGAAGCAATCTTCCTCACCTGGCCGCGTGGCCTCGGCCGGCAAGTTCTGAGACGGCCGTGGGGCCGGGCCGGGCCGGGGTGGCCGGGGCTGCTCCACTCCACTGTTGACACGTTGACACACGCGGGGTGCTGCCAGCCACGTTTCCACTGACACACGGCACTGCACAAGGCACGACCTGGTCGGCGTGGCCAGGCGCACGCCTGTCACCGGACAATCTGAGCCGGCGAAAAAATGGAACGCAGTAGGCATTTTGGTCCATTTTTGTCGGTTTAAATGACGAGACTTCGAAGGCAGGGCCGATTAGTGGCGCTCGCGACAGACAAGCTGACAGGCGGACTGGCTGACAGGCTCCATGAGCTAAAGCGGCCTAGGTGCGCCGCCCTTGGAAAGCGCGCTGCCTTCGCAGAAATTTATCAGGATCGTGCCTCCCGCCCCGTCGCTTCTCCTTGAACCGCGCCGACCGGCCACGGGCTGCGGGCCCGGGTTCAAATACTCCACGGAGGAGGCTATTCTTCTTCTCCTTCTCCTTTCTCTCCGAATGCACTCCGGCGCTGCGGCTTGGTTCACACGCGGTGTTTGTGGTCCGAAAGGCGTGCTGGCCTATAAATAGGGGTGTCGGTCTATTTTTGCTTTCGCCGGTCGTGATAAGGCAGAAGCCAGCGCCTCACTCCGACCGGGCTGTGCTGTGCCTTTAGCCGTGGCGGACCGGCGGCACGGCCCGGCCTAGTGGGCCTCGGCCACGCCGCCGCCGTTTTTGCGTAACTCGTTTTACGCACAGGGCTGCGCAGGGCAGCGTCAATACCCCGCGCTCCGCACACCTATCTCGAGCCCTGGGTATTGACGCGCTGAAGGTGAAGGGGTGGGTGGGCGAAGGAGGCAGGCCCAACGCCCCACCGCGCTGCTGGCAAGCGGGGCGAGCCCAGGCCTGGCCCAGGCGGGACAGAAAGTTTGGATATATTCTCGCTCGTTGTTGCCTCAATTTGGGTCTGCTCCGAAACGAAGCCTGCGGCTCTTTGCGGAAAGACCACTTTGACCGAAGCTCATAATAATTTCGTTCGCAGTGGAATCGACGAGAAGAGAGAGAGAGAGAGTCGTCTCTGTGGAGTGTGATTGCTCCAGTGGTAATTACATCCGGATCGCCGAATTTCCGACGCAAAGGGCCAAGGCAATGCGGTACCGGAACCCGACGGATCGCTTTCAGCGCTGCCGCCTGGCTGCCAGGGAGGGCTGCCAGGGCTGCTGGGGCCAGATCGGGGCCAGCGGAATAGGAAAAGGACCTTCGGGGTTGGCCCGATGCGCGCCATCCATCGGAGACAAAGGCGGAAAGGGCTGCTTTTTTTTTTCTTTTCTCACTTCCACTTGCTTACGCTCCGCTCGCGTGGTAGACCCAAATAGCGGACGGTTCGAGTGACGTCAGTGACGCATCTCCTTTTCTCCCCAAAACGCACCATCCCCGGCGAGGCCCCTGCCGCCTTATCACCGCATGGCCGTCGAGCCCGTCTTGCCCGTCTTGGCCGCGCAGCGCCAGTCGAGTCGAGTCCCTCCGGTCGCGGCGGTCGAGTCGAGCCGCCCCGCGCCGCAGCCGCCAGAGCCTGGCCACAGCCCCGGCAGCACCAACAGGGCCGTCACGTGCAACGCGCGCAACAAGGTCTGCCTCCGAGGCCGCCCCCGAGCCGCACTAGGGTCGCCGACGACGCCCCCCAGGCCCCCAGGTCGCACAGGCTCCATGAAGCAATACGAGTCCGTGCCGAGCGACCACCGTCAGTCGGTACGTACTGTAGGCTATCGTGTGTTATTGTTTTCGCGCCTGTCGCCCTGATTCGAAGGCTGAAGAGGCTGAAGAGGCCGCCGTCGGCGGACAGTAGACGTGGGCCGCCTTTGGCCGCCTTGGACGAGAGGCACTCAAGCCGGTCATTGGCACGGTTCGGTTCGGGCCCCCGTCAAGGGTACGCTCTGCTCCACCTCCCCGACAGCGAGCCGAGGGTTGCGTGCCCGCGTGTTCCGCCCCGTCCAGGTGGCGGGCCTCGTGTTCTGAGTCTGGTGCCGCCGTGCCGCCTCGCCGGGGACTTTTCAGCGAGGCGAAGCGTGATCCCAATTCCCAATTCCGTGTCGGCGACGCTGCTTCACTCGCTTGTTTCCAGCGAAATGAGAGGTCTCTGTGCCCATAATGTTTCCAGCAACCGGGGAGACTGGGGAGGGGGAGACCGGCAACGAGTCGGATATATGGCTCTCCGATGCAGCCAGCGAAGCCGCGTGCAGCTTACGGCGAATGCAGTGGCGGATCCAGAGACGGCCTGAGGGGGGGGGGTCAAAGCAGCACCTTTAGCCTACTTACAGGGGGCGAAGTTTGCTTTCTGCCTACCTTTCAGGCGGCTATCGAGGGGTCAAGGGAGGGGAAATTGTCCTTTTGCCCCCACTCTGCATCCGCGCTTGGGCGAATGGGTACTGGGCTGGCTTTATGTGCAACTCGTAGGTACGCTCTGTGCGGTACGCCCTGTGTGGGTACGCCCCAAGCTCGCCTGTCCGGTGATGCCCAGCGAAGCCAAAACGAGATAGCGGGTTGTATGCTCGGGTCCGCGGACATGGCCGCACCGCACAGCCCCGCCGCCGCGCACTGGCGACGGAAATCTCCAGTACTTGACTTTTTGTTGTGCGCCAACACGGCACACGGCCTGGCCTGCCCAGCGCACTGCTCTTTTCGGCGCGGCTGTGACGATGATGATGCCTGCCCCGACGGCCCGATGGCACACCTTCGCGGCGTGACCGAGGGAGTACATTTCCGCACCTCCCCCAACACCCCTTATTGCGCTTTCTGTGTTTTCACGCTGCGTGGCGACAGGCGAAGCGCGGCCCATCATCATCGGTTTCCTCGCTGTGTCTCTGTCGCACTCATGGGACATCCCGTCGGAATGTGAGAGAGGCACGGCGACGAGGCGACTGTTCGGTAGGGACGCTGCACTGCGCTGCACGCATCACCATGTGACGTCAAGTGAGTCCGCGCGTCGCTGGCATGAGGTCACAGTGTTTGGGAAACATGCACTGCTTATCTGGGTCGCCGCGCTGCGCGCTGGGCCGCTGCGCCTTGGCATCTCGCACACGGGCCGCGTTCGGAAGCGCCACCAAACGCCCCCCACTGCAGTGCACTGCCCATGGCACTGCCCATGGCACTGATCGCACGAGCGCCTCGGAGACTCGGAGACGGCCGCGGGTGGCGCCTTCGCTTTTGGACGCACCCCAGTGATGGGTGCGCGGCGAACGCACGCTCTTGGTGTCGCACGGTGGACCTGCAGGGGCCAGTCGAACCCACCCGGGATGTCCTTTGTTCGTCCTTGCGGCACCAGTCGAAAAACGATACCTGCGCGGCAGAGGTGAGGGAGAAGGGGGGCGCCTGGAAGTTTGAAAGAACAAAGTCAAGACCAAGTGTGCCGGCTGTGCGTTGACGTGTCCACCCAGTCCGACCCAGTCCCATGGGAGCTCCCGGCCGCGAAACAAAGTGCAAAAAGAGCGTTCTTTGACGGCCCAGTCCGGTTTGCGGCTCTGGAGCGCGGCTGTGGCCTTGGCCGTGGTCGCAGGCACAGGCCCCAGACTCCAACTCACTCTGTGCTCCTCTCTGTCCTCCGCACAGACGGGTCGCAGCCTCCTCGACGTCCTGCTCGTGGTGCTGTGCGTCGCCCTCCTGCTGGCCGTCGGCGTCATGCTGCGCCCGCACCCCCAGACCCACGCGCTGCCGGACGCTGCCGACCTGGACGTGCCCGTCATCCCGGACGACCCGGACGCGCCGCGGCAGCGCCTCATGTCGCTGGGCATCGCGCTGCTGCTCGTCAGCCTGGGCGTCTGCCTCTACACCATGTACCGCCTGGGCTTCTGCTGCATGCGGAGGGAGTACAACCGCGCCAGACTGAGGGTGAGTGTCGGCGACTGATTCTCTACATGGATTTGCCGCTTACGGACGAGTGCGGGAGGGACTGAGCGACGACACCCGGTCGCCTGGCATTCCCTGGCGTCGCTGCCGCGCCTAACGTGCCCCCTTTGTTGCAGAGTGGCATCCCCTCCGTCAACAGCAGGCTGCACCTCATCTCGGCCACGGACCTGCCGCCCACGTACGACGCCATCATGCTGTCGCGGGGCTCGGTGCACTCTGTGGACCTGCAGCCGCCGTCCTACTTCACCATCGTCATCCAGCAGGACGACACGGCCTGCAGCAGGTCAAGCAGGCCCGGCTGCGCTGGCTGCGCCGCCCCCAGGACGCACTGTTGCGAGGCGGCGGCATCGGAGGCGGGGTGCGCGAGCCGCCCCCAGGAGGCAGGATGAGAGTGCGCGCGCGACTGCCCTTCGGCCACTGCCCCGCCACGCCTTCTAGACTGACCCTAGATGCCACACGACGCGCCCGGCGTCTCTCCAGCGATTTGGCGTTCTGCCCCGTCTCTCTGTAGCCACTTCAGCTCAGCAGCAGGCGTGACTATATGTGCATCGTGTTGAGTGAGATCAGTGCTGTGAACGCTATGTCCAGCCAACTGTGATGAACACAGTTGGCACTCCCGAACGCTAAGAAAAAGCAGTCATGGCTGATGGTTCGTAGGCCACAGTGCCATGGACCCCTTCCCAGTCCAAACTTTTGTATCTTTAAGATATTTTTTCTCAAATATGTAAATGATAGGTCTGGGTAAATCATAACTGTATTATAAGCGTCTTAATGCAGACAAGTTTTAATTCTTTAAATAAATTGACAAAGTACATGTTTTGAAGTTCATCATTTAAATTTCATTCTGGTGCCCACAATTTAAAGGTCCTGTCGTAAGAGCTTGTAGCGATGTACTGGGTATCTGGGGAAACATCCGCACACATGACTTTACCGTCATGACCAGAGAGAGTCTTGATGGGCTGGAATGTCTTGTTAGACCACACCTGAACACAAAAAAATTAACATTTTGAAATAAAAAGAGATGAGTGGTAAGGTTTAGAGCAGGCATCCTTCAAAAACCCAGGAACTAAATGGAATGTGGCCTTGATGGTCATTGGATAACACTGTTTGCATCTATCATGGTATAAATTTGGACAAACTAACTTCAATTTTTAAAAAACTGTGGCAAAAATTCTTATTTAAATAATGCATAAAACCCAACTATTCGAGAAATAAAAATTCCTTTGAATTGGAACAATTTTAAAACATAACTTGCCTTTGCAGTATTGTCATAAGATGCAGTCAGTAAAAATGTTCCACTCTCTCTCTGGTATTTGACTTCTGAAATAAGATTAGTATGGGCCGGAATAGTATAAACACACTGGCGTTTACGGAGATCCCAAATTCTACATGTGTTGTCCTCACTTCCTGTAGCAATATGATACCTGAAATTAAAACAAATAGAGTAAGTCCAATTCATATCACAAAAATCAAAGAAATGTGCTCGACAGAACAGAAGGTCTCAATAATCACCCATTTGGGGAGAAGTCAATTCCATGAATGGACTTTAGATGCCCCTCCATAAACATTATGCAACGTCCTGTGCGCAAGTCCCATACTCTGGCAAAAGCATCTAAGCCTCTGAAACAGCAAACAAAAAATGAAAGAGCTGCTAAACTAAATTCTTCAGAATTTACAGAATTTTTTATTCACTCATTCTTTAAAGCACAGTATATTCTTACCCAGTTGCTGCAACAGATCCATCTCTTTGAAAGGAGATGCAATACACAGGCTTGGTATGACCCTCTTGATGTAAAACTTCTGAGCACTGTTCCAAGTCCCACAATCTCCATGAGTTGTCAAAACAACATGTTCCTAAAAAGCGCCCTGATGGGTGAAATCCAATGCGAGAAACTCTATGTGGTGCATGGCCCTCAACATCAGCTAAAGGTTCCTCACTGAAACACAAAATGCAAACAAACAAACCAATAGAAAAAAATTAAATGAAGCACACAATAATAATAAAAATAATTGAAGATGTATTCAGTTTCTTATTTACAAAATGTACCTCTCAAGAGTCCACAACTTTACAGAGCCATCTGCTGCACAGGAAGCTAATGTACAAACTGCTTGAGAATCTGTTGAAGCATTTGGATGAAAAATAACTGCACCAACGTTACATTGATGACCTCTTAGAGTATGTATCTGTTTGCAATCTGGAATAGACCATACTTTGCAAATTCCACTCCTGAAATAGATAAAAGATTCATCAACTTCCCATATGAAATGAGTCAAGAGGGGCGAGCTTTCCTAGACCCCAGTCTTTTTTTACCAAGGGCAACAGATGCAAATAAATTTCCGTCTTAATATGGATGCAGCAGGCAGCTACACTTAATGATCCAATAAATAATGAGAGACACACTTATATACGAGTCAGTAGCGGATTACAGGCTGAAGGCGGGTTTCATTTAGGTTGCCCACTTGAAAAAATTGACCAGGGTCTATCAACTACCCTGTGTACGATATCTCCCATCTCACCAAGATGCAGTAGCAAGCATTTGTGAATTCGGACTGAATTGACAGTAAGAAATAGGTCTAGTATCTCCAATTTGAGAAGCAAAAATAGAAACAGCCTGAAGTCTTTTGTGAACTTCCTGACGGCGAGCAGTTCTTGTGGCCTCTGGTAGCCTCAGCTCCTCTCGGGCTGCTTCCAATCGCTCCCGAGCCCGAGCCAACGAATATTCTGAAAAATAGACATACACACAAGCTGAAACAATGGTAGAGATGGACAGTTATGGACGTCAATTTTTTCAAGGAACTTACGTGCAAGCCACAGCCTAGAAACTTTCAGAGATTCAGGACCTTCGTGATACCATGTAGATTCTTGATCTTTTTCTTGCTGGATTCTTTCCTCCTCCTCCTCCTGCCTTTTCTTGATAGCATCTTCTCCAAGCCTGGAACACAATTTGGTTTCAACAAAAGTAATAAAAATAAATAAATAAGGAACTTGAGAATTTAGAGGCTCTACCTTGACAACCAGTCTTTTAATCGTGACCGTCGTTCTGCAGGACCTTCCCCAAATAAACAGATAGGCTCCCCCAACTGCCGTAAATTTTTCTTCACTTCGTCATCATCAGTAGAAACATTGATTTGTCTCGCTTTTTTTCTCCTCTCAAATTCTTCCAAAAGAGCCTGCTTGTCTTTGGACATTTCCTCTTCAAGATCAAAATACTCTGCAATGGACACAAAAGAAAACAACTTGTTAAAATAAAACTAAAATTGATTAACAAATTTGTCGATAAAAGCAACAATTACCATCATGAGTGTGAATGTTTCCAGTCTCCATTGGCTGGCCGTCATTATCTGAATCATCATCATCGTCATCACTTTCTTCTCTTGCTTTTTCGGCCACAGACTGCTGCCTAGACTTTTCTTGCTCCTCAAGTGAACCATAATGAATGGTTCTAGTCTTCTTTGTATAAGGGGCTTCTTCGTCGTCTGACATTTTCTCTGCAAATTGTGACCAAACCAAACCGTAAATTAACAGGAAATAATCAAAGTTCACCTTTTAATTCAAGAAAAATATAGATAACTAAAATATAGATAAAATGTCAAAATTTCAAGAATCCTTGGATTAGAAGCATGGTAAAGGTGACGTAACAATAGAATTTTGAATTCTTTTCAAGCTGTTAAGGAGTTTTATTGTTTGGATATCGATAAACAAAAGTTTAACACCAACTGGTAAATAAATAATATAACCTCAGAGGAGCACCCCGTCTAACAAAACACATACCTCCAATAGTGCTTTAGAGAAAAACAAAAGAGTTCAGCAGTAAAAAAAATTTAACAATTAAATTCTTACATTAACTAGATGGACTGACGAATCGAGAAAACAGCCACAGAAAGGCCAAATCGTCGTCGTTGACCAGCCGGCGCCTGCCGCGTGCGAATAGTACACGTCGGGGGCTATTTACACAACGGAGACGTTCTTTTGTCTCAACTTGAGGAGTGCGAGTGCGCCAGTGCGGTTGCGGCAGGTTGCGGCTTGGTTGAAAATTTTTCGTTTGAATTTGAACACATTCTGTGGCACTATCTCTGTCGCCCTGTTATATCTCTGTCGCCCTGTTACGATGGCGCAATCTTATGCATTCAGCAAAGAATTATTTCTTGCTCAAGATGGTACCCCAATGCAGTTCCATTTGTCGCGATGTCGCGACAAGGAGGAGTTGGAGGATTACATTAAGGTGGGTTGTGCATTCGAAAGCTTGGATTCTAGTTTGTGTCGTTGTCCTTTTCGTCGTTGATGGTTTCGATTCTGAACTTAACTTGTGCGTTTCATTCCATCGCTGTCATAAAGAACTAGCTGTCTGTAGCCGTTTATTATCCAAGGCCGCTTGCTGCATGCCGCCTTGTCCAGCCTTGCCCTGCCCAGAAAGGGAAACTGCCTTCACTCACTCATCGCTTGCATTCTTTTCCTTACAGTACGGCGGAGGATCCGTGGTGGAGCGTCCAGGACCATATACAGTCATTATTGAAGATGCTCCACAAGACCCTCAAACTGTATTTCATGATTCGTTCCAATCTGAGTTTATTATTCAGTGCTGTTGTCAGAACAAAATTTTATCGCTCAAACAATTCAGGTAACCCAATTCTAATTCTGTAAATGCTTTGTCTATCAACAGCAATTATTAGATTACAGTCTACATCTTGCCATGGGCTTAAAACCTTCTACTTTCAGGTCGAATTCTGTCAGCTTGTTTGTAGATGACTTTGATCCAAATGATGTTCTCCTTCACAAAATTAGATGGATGGATGGAAGGAGAAAATAGTAAGCAACTAGTGTGCCTTTTGAGTTTTATTTTATTATGATATGATCTGATTTCAAATTTTATTGTTTGATCACAGCAAATCAGCGGCAGAGGACTCTGAGTCCGATGAAAGCATTGCTGAGGACGATGTAGAGTCCGATACCCGTTCTAAAAAGAGCAGTAGAAAGTTAGTAAAGTTTCAAATTTCTATTTTAAGTTAGACCAGACTGTGTGCTCAACCAAAAAAATATTCCCTTTTTAGTTGGGAGCTCTATTCTCTATTTTGCAATTGTTCTAGCTCCAGGGCTGAGTTCACCAGGGAGGAGCGACAGAGAATGGTTCAATTCATTAGGCAGCAGAAAGCTTATACCGAATTGAAAGGAACTGCTTTGTGGAAGAGAATGGAGCCGGTATTGTACAAACTTCAATTATTCCGTCAAGATTACAATATTCTTGTTGCACTTTTTATTTTTTTAAATGATTTTATTTGTTTCTTGTTTAGACATTCGAAAATCATTCCTGGCAAAGTCTTAAAGAGCACTTTTTAAAGAAAGTAATGCCTCTCATTCATAGCTTCAAATTATCTGAGGATGAACTTCGTGCTTTTCGGTTAGATTATGTTAATGGTTTCTGTTTTTCTGTCTGCACTTGGTCTAGTATAATACCATCATTTTTTCTAAACATGATTTTGCACCTTTCTTATTTTAGGTATGGTGCTAAAAGTGGACAAAATTCAAAGAAACGGTACTTTTTATTCTCTTTACCTTATCATTTTTAATCTGATTTGTTCAATTAACTTTTAAATTTATTCTTACCCATTCCCTCAGTGTTAACAAAAAAATCAGTAGTTCAGCTTACTCCTCTAAAGAGGACAAAAGCATTTTGAAGTATGTTTCTACTCATGCTACTAAAAGTACTCCCCTATCGGGTAACCAATTCTGGATGACAATGCAAAAGAAATCTCCTATTCCTGGTTTGTGTACTATATATTGGTTTGTTATGTATCATATAAAGAAACAGATCAAAGCACAGTTCTATTTAAATCAAATTTCATCTTGTTGCAGGTCGCACATGGCAATCAGTAAGGGAAAGGTTCACAAAATATCTAAAAGATAAGAAACTATCTGACTACAAAAGTAAGTGTGTTTTGATGTACAGAATGTACTTTAAACAAGAATGAATTTCACTTATGTTACCTTCTTTTGTAGGCGATGAAACTGCTTCAGATTTCGATACAAATGAGAATGAGATTGTGCCCTCACGCCCTGAAGAAGCGTCTACAAGTGCTTGTCGCAAGAGAGACTCTTCAGCACTTGGGAACGTCTCTTCAAGTGCTTGGTTGACGAAGGATGTCTCTTCAACGCCTGGGACAGCCTCTATTAGTGTTTGCAAGATCAAGAGTGTCCCTCTCATTCCTGAGAAGGTTTCTAGTGCTGGCAAGATGAACAATGTCCCTTCAACTCCTGAGGAAGCTTCCTCTAGCACCAACAATATGAAGAGCGCACCTTCAACTCCAAGGGAGCCCTCACCCTCAAGTGCTCGTAAGGAGAACCGTCAAAATGATGCGGAGGGGTCACCAATTCCATGTAAAAAGCAAAAACGTAGATTGTTTCATGCTGCAACCGCTATCATTCCTGAATTTTCTCCACTGACCGTAAAGGCAACAGGACCAAGTTGGTTAGAAAAGAAATTCAACAACACTAAAAATAAGAAGTTTGAAAAGCTAGTTGCAATGATCTCCGAGAAACAAGATGAATTAAAAGATGCACCTGAGCATCTGCCAGATAATGATGACACACAAAAAGATGAAGATGTCCCAAATAGGAGTGGGGGTGATCTCGTTGCCTCACCCTCCAAAAACCAAGAGGCCACATTCTCCAGAGAACAAAATGAACAGTCAGAAATATGTGGAAGTGACCTGATTCCTATTCCAGCCAATGGTGATGTTGACTTGCAAAAAGACGAAGATGTGCAGAATTTAGGCAGGGTTGATCATTTTGCTTTTCCCTCCATGAATCATCAGGCTGAATCCTCCAGAAAAGAAGGGGAAAAGTTACTTGTTGAACACAGGTCATCAGATGGTGATCAAGGGACAGAATCTGAATGGCCAAGTAATTTCCCCCCTGAAATAGTTGTGTTTATTTCAGACTCTGAAAATGATCCTACTGATGAGGGTTTTGAGGGAGATGGTGAAGATGAAAATAAGGACGTTGAGTCAGATTCAGAATGGAGTGATGATGGACTATTTTGGAGAGGAGGAGTTGTATTTCCTGATGGAGTGAGGAAGAAAAGAGACCCAATAGCTCATCCCAATCTTGTGCGCCTGGCAGACCTCAATACCCATAATGAAACTGAAGAGCATAGCAAAGCTAACAATAGGAACCAATCTGAAGTGGAAAAGCAGGACTGTCCTCGGTCAAAGTGTAACCCTCCTAAGAACACTTCCATGGCTGCTCCCAAAACCATTCCACATCAGTCCAAAAATGAAAAAGGCAGAAATGTTACCTATGACTTTGTAAACCTATCTAATTCGTATGATGTATTTCAAATGTCAGTTAATAGTTGCAATCAAACTGCTCAACACGTACATCAGGCTAGTGACTCTCAGTCAGTGGTCACACCAAGTCATGAGCAGAGTCAACAATTCAAAAATTCACTCACCAAAGAATCAAATAGTCCAAGCCAGAATTGTGAGAAGCCAATTAATGACAAATTTATGAGTGTTGGAGTGCAATTTGCATCAGGTAACAAAAGGCATGTTTCTGTGCAAACAGATCCAGTTTTAATACTACCGAAGAATTGGATGGACATGTTATGATAAAGTGGCTTCTGTCATCAAGCACTTATGATTTACCACTTGAATTTCTGGAACCTTCCACAGTGCCTGTAGGTTGCCCGTCTCCTGTCCCTGCTAATGGTTAATGGTTTTTCCTGTTCAGTGCCATGAATATATGTGTGATTTTGATCTGTCATGACTCTTCAAGGTCATTGTACATTATCTTTGCACAATTATAATCACAATGTTTTACCCTCCTTTTATTGTATATTATTAAATTTGCTTTATAATGAAAAAAGTTCTCTGAATACTTTAATTTTTCTCTAAATTAATCAGTCTGGAAAATTCTTTGGATCTCCTCACAAACTTTGAAACACTTCTTGAGGGCTTAATTACATCTTTGTGTGACATATATGGTTGAAGAACTTCCGGTAATTTCACAGTTCCATCCTTCTGCTGATGTGTTTCGCAAATTGCCATAATCAAGCGAGGGATAGCACATGCTGTCCCATTGACAGTGTGGACAAACTCATTCTGAGCTGGATCATCTGTGACACATTGGATGTTGAGTCTCCTAGCTTGGTAGTCTGTGCAATTACTGCAGCTGGATACTTCTCCAAAAACGTTCCGGCTTGGGAGCCAAGCTTCTATGTCATACCTGTGGGATAAAACAAAAACAGGGTTTGAATTATAATCTTGAGTGTTTCCTTTGCTTGTGATAGAAATTCAAAGTCTTGGCTTTCTTTTTTTTTACTGACTTGCGGTGAGCAGGAGCACCAAGCTCATGAGGTGGCATGTCCAAAACTTGTAAGTGCAGATTAAATGAGTTAAAAATTTCTTCTTGAATTGCCCGGAATTCCTCCAATAGCACTTCGGACTGACATGAGGTTGAGGCACCAAACATCTCCACTTTGGTGAACTGGTGTACCCTGTAAAAAGGGATGTGATTTAACATTTGAACTGAGTCTGAACTGATCTCCAGAACGGAAGAAACCATTGCGTACCTGTACAATCCCCGTTCAGCTGCGACATCAGCAGTTTCTGCTCTATAGCATCTGCTGACGGCCACATATCTCTTGGGCAGCTCTTCTCTTCGGATCTTTTTGTTCATCAGAAAGCCCCCAAGAGCCATCTCTGCTGTTCCAGAAAGGCATAGTTCACCTTCTGCAGCACTTGCCAAATGCTTATCAGCATCCAGACGATACACCTAGAAAACTAAATACTTAAGGAAAAAGAGGACTGGCAATTATTTCAATACCCCACCACAGAACTTACTATGTTTCTTTTTCCCTTGGTAGCAACACCACAGCACTCAATGATCTGGTGGTGCAAAATGTCAGGGACTGATATAAACGCAAAGCCTTTCTTACTTAATCTTTGAACGACATATTTGATGAGGGCATGTTCTAGTTCTGCTAATTCTCTGCATAAGTAATATGCCTTGTGTCCAGCAAATGGTGTAAGCTCTTTCATTCGAAATTGATCAGTATACTCCATGAGCTGGTCGAATGGTTTTGGCTGGAAGGAATATTTTGGAGTACTTCCCATTAGCTTAATAACTTTGGGATCATTGCCATACGCAGCGGGCTGTGCGTGCGTTTCATTAGGTATCTTCAATGCTTCCTGAATCAGTTCCCGGCGAATCATCTCATCAGGCTTCTCTGCAAGTTTATTATACAGTTCTATAACTCTTGAAATACTTCCTATTCCTTTTCGTTTGCTAACATTATTGGCAAAATATTCAGTCAAGTTTGGATCACAATATCGATCAATGTCAAGTTGAGGCTCGGGTATTTTAAGTATTTTCCCATCGCTTTCTTGGGTAGCAGATGCCTTGGCAAGAATATACCGTTGTGGCTGTTTAAAAAATGTCAAACAATTTCCAACACGGCCAAATACAGACATTTCAATAGAACTGGGGTCAACACGATTCTAGTTTTATGCTTCACAAGCACGAATTTAGGCGTCAGGTAAAAGCACAGGTGCCACTGCCACAAAGTCCAAAGGAGAGATCGAAAGGGCAGAGCCGTTGACGTTTTAAGAACTAAACGTCCATGAGAAGTTTCGTTGTTTAGTGAAACATAATATTCTCGCTGAAAATGCCGCGTCTTGTCTTCTGTGGTCTTCTGCTTACCGTACAGTGTTATTTGCAGGATACCCTACGAATAGGTTACCTCTCATTATTAGCAGAAAAAGCGATAAGGCAACCAACCAAAAGCAGAACCAAATACTAACTTCGTGCCAAAAGCAATTTAGACTTTAGTGAGTAGTTTTGTTAATCAGAATATCCAACCAAAAATATCCCCTTCCCCCCGGATGATCTTAAAAACGGAATCGCAAAAGCGCCTTGTCGGGACTAGCGCCACCTAGCGGCCGGCTTCGGACGCAGCTCTGCGAGCGACGCCTCAAAGATTTTAAGGCTAGGCTTGCCATGCCGTGGTGCTGAAATTTCAAGCCCAAAAGTAAGCTATTCCCCAAATTCCTTATTTTTTTCATGTCCTTAGAGTGCTGAGAATTTTTAGTGGTGTTTCGGGTCGTCGTACTACGTAATATATGTTTGATTCAAACCCATAAGGAGACTAAAAATTGAACTTTCTGCCAGCGTAGTATTTGTACCGGGTTCACTGATTGAATTCGATAGGTTATCAGTCAGAGCCGAAGACAATTCTTGCTGACAGCTTAACCCCCGTGTGGATTTATTTCTTCTCATTCTAGTCCCAAGTTATTATTTTCACCTCAAAGAAAATGTATCCAATCATTGAACAGGAAGTCTCCTGTTTATAGGTTGATCTGTCATCCTCCTCTAATGTATGGGCAGTTTTTGCAGCATTGTAATGTTGAATGACTACCACATTTCTCACCGTAGTTTAGTGTTTTTCCGATTTTTGCATTGTGAAACTGATTAATTTTTATTACTGAAAGTTATAGGTACTCATTCATTTACACTAATTTTGAAGTCTCGAATTTTCTCAATGGTTAACCCCTTCTCAAGTCTCATTCAAGTTTTTCTGAGGTCTCTTAATGATGCATGTGTCCTCCCATGCCCAAATCTTGTGAGGTTGCGTGAATAATGCTTTGTAATTCATTCTTTCTGTTTTCCAGCTTCTTTGCATTTGTTTCTGCGTTTTGAAATTGTGTTGAAATATTACCACCATGATGTCCCCATTGGGTGTTGAGGTGCGGTATGTGGATGACATGAAGGTAAGCCAACTTTGCTTCATTTTTAAAATGCCCCTTATTTTTAATTTTAAGAAATATATTTACGAGTTTTTTTTGTTAGTTTTGTGCTGATATTCAACATTATAATTTTTGCAGGGCAAAGGGCTGTTTGCTCTGCGGGCCTTCAAATCTGGTGAGGTGGTGTTTGAAGAGCAGCCTCTGGTGTGTTGTCAATTTGCCTGGAACCAAGCTTATGGGTACTTAGCTTGTGATTACTGTATGAGGTAATTCTGAATTCATTGATTGAAAGATATTTGGAATATGGGAGCAATTACAGTAATAATACCATGCTCTGTTGTATTTTTGTCTCAGACCCTTGGAAAGTGCTGAAGAAAATGCTAGAAGACTGTCAGGCAAAGCAGATCTCTTGTTGCCGTATCCTCAATGTTGTGTAACGGCTAAAAACCAACACACAGAGTGTGGGGCTTGCGGGGTAAGGTGACATCTTCGCTTGCATCTGTTGAGATTGTCTCAACTTTTCTTTTATGACATGGTTTATAGTTTCACTTGTCTGAAGCTCTGGGTTTTTAACATGATGCTTGGTTTTAGGTTCGCTATTGCAGTGTGTCATGCCTTGAGCAGGCTTGGGCCAAATACCACCGAACTTTGTGCACACAAGCTCGTACAAGAGATGCATCCCAAGGACAGCATCCTCTAGAAATGTTAAATGATGCTTGGAAGTGTGTATTTTACAAATAGCTTGACTCTGTTTTAAAGTCATTTCTGTGTTCTATTTGTCACTTAAAATCTATTTTTTGTCAGGCAAATGCATTATCCACCAGAAACAACCAGTATCATGTTGCTTGCCAGAATCATAGCAATGATTCATCAGGAAAATGACAAGGAGCGCATCATGCATACTTTTATGCAGGTGAAAACTGGGAGAAAACTTTATTATCTCTTTTCTTATTGGCTTTCAACTTATTTTTGTGATTTTATGTTCTATCCCAGTTCTGTCATCGAGTTGTCAATCATGAAGACGAGATTGCACACAAATTGCTTGGTGAACAATTCCAGGGGCAATTGGAAATGTTGCGAACCTTGATTCTTCAAGCCTTACCTTCAGATAATGCCTCTCATGTAAGTATTTTTTTCTGCGCCTTAAAAAAATTATATTTATCAACATTAAAATTTAATTTTAAATCAAGTTGTCACAGCTCTTTGTTCTTTTCTAAAAATGATAGTCAACTTCAGTCAGGTATTCCACTGCCATTTTACCAATCAAAGCCTGCCCTCTCCCTCCTCTTTTCCGGCATTCAACTGCTTTTTTACTGATCAAAGTCTGCTCCCTCCCTGGTGGCTTCAAATTATTACGGTCAAGCAAGGATTTTCTAGTTAACGGTGTTATATTTGTTTTTTTTTCAGAACTGGCTGACTCCTGAAGGATTCCGGTCTCTTGTTGCTTTGGTTGGAACTAATGGGCAGGGTGTTGGTACCAGCTCCCTCAGTGAGTGGGTCAAAAAAGTTTCTGCCCTTTCTCTTGCTCCTGCAGACAAGCAAGGTCTAGATGTGTTCATCAATAAACTCTACGATGATCTGGAGGAAGGTGGGTGTTGCATGAAGCGGACTCTTCTTTACATTCAATTTATTGTATTAATTTGACTCCTATTTCTTTTGCAGTGGTGGGTAGTTTCTTGAATTGTGAAGGTTCAGCTTTGTATAGTCTGCAGAGCTCCTGCAACCATAGTTGCATCCCCAACGCTGAGCCCGCATTTCCCTACAGTGACTTTAGACTGGTGATGACTGCTACTCGCAACATTCAGCCCGGTGATGAAATAACAATTAGCTATCTTGATGAATGCACCCTTGAAAGGAGCCGTCATTCTCGCCATAAAATGTTGAGGTAATGAAGTGTGTTTATGATGGTTTTGAAAAGTTGTCGATCTTGAACATGTCAGTACTAAAATTGAAAACTTTACTGTGTTAAAATTTTTGTTTTTATTTCTTTTTTAGGGAAAATTACCTGTTTAACTGCCAGTGCATAAAATGTGAAGCTCAAGCAGGAGATGCTGACATTACAAGTGACGATGAAGGTGACAATGATTCTGAAGAAGACATGATTGATGAAGAATGTGTTGAGAATGGTACAACGACTATGGGGGTCAATCCTCCTCAATAACTCTTGCTCCATTAATGTATAATTAGAGGAAAGTTTACACACCTTGGGTAACTTAAATTTCTTGCAAAGAGCATTATTGAACTTGTAGTGCTGAGGGTTTTTACACTACCCGTTTTATTTTCGGAATACGGTTTTTCATTTTTTCCAAGCTGCATACATTTTGTGAGGTCAATGTGTCTTTGTATGCATCTTTTATTGCAGTGTTTTCACACAATCATGACATGCCAATGATAGGGTTATTTATATTTATTATTATTAGTATTAATTTATGAGTCAACTTTTGTGTTTTGACAATTTATAATTGTCATGTCTGGCACTTTCTAATGAGGCACTCAGAACATGGTTGAACATACCCTTATTCCATTGTCTTAATGTTGAAGATTACCTTATGTTCATGTTCTGTTTGGTACTTTGAGGGTCAGCTTGCAGATGCTTGAAAAGTTTATCTGCTGCTTGTACAATTTCAATGTTTATGAAGTGGTTTGCATAATTTGTCCTTTATATTTTAATGTAAAAGATCTTTCTTAATTTTTTTTTGAGTTCCCTGTAGATTGTGTTAAAGTGCATTTAAAGTCTAGGAGTATGGTTTTGATGAACCTCTCACAGTATTTTAGTCACTGCTTTGAGGCTGCATCATCCATTCTTGGGAGGCAATCCCCTCTCCTATGGTTTTCTATTAGGTTGCCTGATATTACCTCCAAATTTGTGAATGAACTCTAATGATGTAAATTTTGATTATGTACTCAAATAATCTGCGAATTAAAATCTTGTGCAAACTTTATAATTGGCAAGTTAATTTTAATACAAGTATTAATTTTCCACCCTACAACCAACCTGCAGGCAAGCTAAGAAAAAAATTCCACCAGTTTAAAATAGAATTTATTTTGAATGCTGAGTACTGCATATTCCAGCAAATTCCAACATCTTTCCATTGAGTCAACTTATTGATGATAAACATTACAGAAATGAGAGAATTCTGGAGAAAATCATGGTACACATTGTAAATATATTTTTACACCATTGCTTAACATTACAATCATGAAAAAGATGTTTATTATTTCTTCTTATCAGGCACTTTCCTTTTTTGTTGGGCTTCTGACTCTTTTTCTTCAACTTGCATCTTGAGTAATTGAATCTCAAGTTGTAATTTTCTCTTTTCAAGAGCCTGCCTTTCAATACAATTTCTTAAATTGTGTATTTGAAGTCTTATTTTCTTGGTTTTCACTCGGTACATGGTCCTCTCCTCTTCAAGCACTGATCTGTGATCACTGTGAGTTTCACTTGAATCATCTTGGGTTCCAAATTCATTCCCATCATCTGAGAGGTTATCATCATTGCTCTCTGTGTTCTCAATTTTAGACGGTGACTTCTGCCCAGACGTTGATCCAGCCTGTTTCAATTGTGCTGACTTCAAAAGATTGTCTCGAGAAGAATTCTTATTAGAATGTTCCGGCACGGCTGTGACAACAACAGGTTTCTTCTGAGCAGCAGACTTTTTCACAACGAGCCTCGTGACAGGTTGTGATTCTGGTATTGCTTCAGGGATGATAACTAGAAAGAAATTGAAAAATAATTAATGAAAGGATTATAACATGGGTTTAAGTAAAAGGAGCAACAATGAGGCACACTACAAAATTACCTTCTTCCTCTTCAGGAGATTGTTGAATTTCATGAGACTCAGAAGTGGAATAGGTTTGAGGATCAGCAACTTGGACAACAGCAACTCCATCATAGTTGTTAACATGGAGAATGACAGGGCCTTCCTGATTTGGCCCAAGAATGGACTTGACTACATCAGCCAGACTACTATTTTCACTCCAACTTGTAGTAGCATTCTCGTTCCCTGTAGCTTCATCTTGGTTTTCGTATTGGTACTGAATGTCTTCCGTATTCTCTTGATACACCATATCCGTGACGTACATTGTATTGTCACCTTGTTCACCTTGTTCACCTTCATATATTACTGAGTAGTTCTGCTCTGATGAATCTTCATTGGAGATAATCTCCGTTTTCTAAAATGTTGGAGAGTAAAAAGTTCAGTAATGGACTTATCATTGCTTAGCAGAAGATGTGGGTTAACTTATTATTAATATTTACCACGACAGTTTCTGGTGAGAAAGGAACTTTCCGCTTCATGGCACTCAAGCCACCAAGCTTATTTTTGGGCAAATATGTGCTACCATTCTGCTTGTTCTCCATTTCTGAAAGTTTACAAAACATTGTTAATAAGATGCAAAGGACAAATAATCCATTTAAAGAAGAAAACCTGCTCACCTTTCAACTGTTCCAGCAAATGCTCAGCTCTTTCCGAAGAAACTGCCCGAAGGGTATCTTTGATGCTCTTTGCAATATTCGACAAATCCCCAGCAAACAATTTTTTCCCAGAGGTAGCCCACACGTAATTTAAAATGCGGCGCCGCTCAACACCAATTGATAAGAGATCCAAGACATCCTCACGGACACTTTTCAATGAAACGCCTGACCCATCTTCAGCCTGAAAACAGATGCAAGGAAGCCATGATGAGACAAATGGATAACCAGTGATTTTTTTTTTTAACAATTTGGAAAAGTACCTCATCATCACATCTAGCATTAGAGAGACTGCGTCTTTCAGGATAAAGTTGCACCAGCTCCGGATCACAAGAATGACTATGCTTCAGTTCAATTTTCTCAACTACCAACTCTTTAGTATTGGCAGCTACATAAAAGTAGGATGGGCAGCCTATCTTGAATGAGCTAGGAATAAGTAAAAAAAAAAAGAAACAGCAGTCATTAACACAGAGCAAATACAATTCAAGTACAAAGCGAAAATATAAAAGCATTCAATTTCAAAATTACCTTTGATTTGGACGCAGTCCACGGCTATTACTTCTAGTTTTTCCATAGTGTTTGCAAGCATATTTAATATTCTTATACTTGAGACACAGAGGAATCTGTTTATTGGGTGGCCGAATCTTGTTCTCAAGTTCAACACTCCGACTATGGTTCACAATATAGACCGAGTTGGTTTCTTTGGAAAATTTGTCAATAGCCGACTCCAAGGCTTTGAAGCTGGAGTACCGAGCCCCAAGACATAAGTCTGCTATCATGCCGGCATCACACCTTGAAATAAAAGAAACAACACAAATTATACATCTGGGCAATTAGAGAAAAGCAGGAATTGATGGCTATCAGGGATGGGCTTACATTAGTCCCTTTGTGTAAAAGAAATAAACGATTACAAAGCCGATGTAAAGTTTATGATGTAACTTTACAGATTCAGCAAAATTTGATCAACATAAACAAACTACCACGAACGACTTAAAACTGTTGAGGTTATGGACGCAGACGAAGAGAAGCAACATTCGATTTCAACGAACCTGAAAGTTCGAATTCGAACACTGCGACAGTACCAACAACCTCTTTAAATTTAAAACAACAATAACGTAGACAAACGACTAAATACCGTCGCTTGGAAGGGCTCTGACTTTACAACACCGCTTTATCAGGGACAAACACAAACATTTGGCTTTTGGCGGTTGGCGAAGCGGGAGCGGGGAGGGGGAGCGGGCGGGAGGTGGACGGTGGGGCGGACTGTATTCACATTGGGGTTCAAGGGCGTTGAGGCGAAAAGCCCGCTAAAAAGCACGCGCGGAAATTTGATTTCCAGCTTATCTCAGCGCCCCGCTTCATTTTGCGATTTTGGGTGAAAAAGTTGGTTGGCAGCACTAGCGGTCTGCAACGCAAAAGACTGGGAGTGGACTCGAAAGATGCCCAGCCTGGCTCTGGACCTTTGGACAAAATCAACAAGAAGAAGTCTCTGGAGCAGCCCTCTGGTCACCTGTCACTTCTTCGAGGGCTGTCCAATGGGATCTGCGTTGTTTGGCATTTAGTAAGCGATTCATTCACGAATAACAATGGCTGTAACCTCACGATCGCTTTACGATCTGAGTTCTTCAGTAATTGTGACCTCTTTCTACTCGTTCAAAAGTGAGCTCAAGTCTATACCGGAACATATCTCGTGTGATATTTACTTTAAGGTGCGTGTCGTCCGTTCGCCTCTCCACAATATGTTGCTTTTGGTCGTCCTCTGACCTCTAACTTCTGTTACTGATTCCAATAGCTTTTTGTTTCAGCTGTATGAAGAGAAGAAAATCTGCGTTTTGGGTTTGGAGCTCATTGATTTGAATATTTTTTATAAAATGCTGAAGGTAACTCACAGAAAGACCCAGCTGCTTCAATGTTTCCAGGTATTGATTGTTGAGCACATAGTTATAGCTAGAACGTGGCTTTTGATAATTATCATTACAAACCTGTGGGCTTGCAGACCTTGATGGATCATGGCTTTAATATTTCAATGGAGCTGTCAAATGCATACGCAAGCAAATGTTTGCACTCTCAAATGTGCTCCGCACTTCAACAAACCATCGATTTGGGACTGACATTAGGTAAGTCACGCTTTATTGATCCAAGCTCATAGCCTCATGCTGCCCTTACAGTAAGTTATTATAGTTAAATATCCATAAGCATTGTTGAAGAAACCTTCCAAACCATCTACGTTTAATTATTTACGGGACCTCACATTGCCTATCCCTCTTGTAAAGTTTTTAGACTTCCTTTTTCTGATGCACACACTCCTTGTTAGCTTATCTTTAAACCTGCCAACGTATACTTTATCCTTGTTCACTGCTTGATTCCCTTATCACATCTTAGAATTCGGTTTTCAATTAAATCAAATTGTTACTTCAGTCATTGCTCATTATGTAACTCCATTAATCTTCCTGATCTTAAAATTGTTTCGTTTGTCAGGTGAATTTTTGAATGATGCTGGTTGGCAGAAGGACAGTGAAGTTGTGCTTATTCATTGTAGAGATCTCTGCCTGAGTGCCCCACAGACCCCTACATCTCTCAGAAAAACATTAGATTGTTATCACAAGTAAGTTTGATTTTAGCCAGCTAGCAGGGATTAAAGTCCCATAGGGATAGGCTGTGTGCACTTTAAATGTGCCTAAAACCTGCCTGAAGCCTTCAAGAGATAAAATTAATTAATACTTTTTCAAGAAAAAATTGGTGTAATTATATTGGCACACATATCCTTGAAAGGTGCTCTTTGCTGGCTGGTAATGTTTTATGACTTCCACTTTCACTGGTTCTGAACTTTTCTTTCTTGGCTCAAGCCTACTCAATGTGCAAGTTGCATCCAACCTTCTTCCTGAGGCTACTAGCACTTATCAGGAGATCAAAAAATTAATCCACACATTAAGGAAAATGGATGAACTTCCGAATTTGGCTGCTCTATATGATGAAATTTCTTCTTATTTTGTCACAATTTCTGAGTTCAATGAGGTTTGTTTTCCTATAAGCTCTTGGAGTGGTATCTTTGCTGGATCAGAGGTGAAGTGATTGTCTTTCCAGGCCCTAAAATGGAGTGCTGAATCCTTGAGAGAGCTTGTTCCTGGACTTCCGGCCAGTACAACTGTCAACATTTTGAGGCAACTGGCACACATTTGTTTTATGAGAGGGCAGTCTAAAAAAGCAGGAGTTCTAATTCGGCAAGCTCTACGAATAGCAAATGAAGTTTATGAGCCAAGTGACCATAGGCTACCTGATGTTATTATTGACTATGGAAATATCCTGTTGAACGATGATGCCGTTTGCTTTTGTCCTGAAGATCCCACTGGTGCAGGTAACAACCACAGTGTTGAAGTATTATCTAAAGCACTGGAAATGAGGAAGGCAATCTATGGCCACAAAAACATCTATGTGGCGTTTGCTTTGGAGGAGCTGGCCAATGCCTTGTATTGGAATGAAAAATATGTGCGAGCAAGGTAAATGCTTTTCTCTTTCTGCTTTTAGTGCTTTATTTATCATTCTCTTTTCTGTATGTTGATGAAAAACATTTATGTATTTGCCAATTTCTCAGGGAATGCATTGAAGAATCTATCAGTATCCAGGAGGCAATTCTGCCTCCCAATCATCCATTGTTGGCATCATCCTTAGGGGTCAAAGGTCTTATTCTGGAGGGCTTAGCATTTGAAGAAGACCCTAGCATTCCTGGTATGTTTCAAGTAATTTGATTTAAACTTTTTTCTACCCTCTAGCTATACCGTGTAACCCATCTAAATCATGTAGCTTAACGATTTTCAGATAATTCATTATTGCTGGAAGCTGAAAAACTTCACATCACTACACTGGAATTGACAATAAAAGCTCGTGGTATCAATAGTGAAGAGACAGCTCATTGTTATCATGAATTGGGGTCTTTCTACCATTTAATTGAGAAGTACAAGGTAATTAATTTTTGATTGAACCGCTTTCTTTTCTCCATGGACAAGGAAGAATTGATTGTCTCTGGTAAAACATATCCTAAGAGCTCATGATTGCTACTGTACGTTAATGTTCAATTTTCTGTGAAGCTAGGGGTTTGTCTACCTTGAGGCAAGGTTTTAATAATTTTTATGCACTGAGAAGTTTTAATTCTAGAGAATTGCTTGAGTACATTGTGATAAATCATGGCCACATTAAAAATGATGAACATGCCTAGAATCAGAACTGCTTTTCTCTGGCCTGTAATGATGTACTGGTATCTGTCGAGTTCAATGAGTGTCACCACACCAGTAGCATACAAGTCATTCATTTGCTTTTCTATCATGTTTTGCATTTGTCATTTGGTTTCAAATATAAATTCCAGTTTTATTCACCTTGCCTGTCATCTTTTCAGGAAGCAGAAGCGTTGTTGCTTCAAGCAGATGCAGTTAAGGAGAAGATTTTTGGGACAGAATACGGAGATCGTGTATCATCACTTAGTACTCTAGCATGTTTGTATGTGGACCTTGATCAGTACCATAAAGCTGAAGAACTATATTTACGCTCCATTGAAACAAGTATATCATTGACTTAAGATTGAGAGTGAAGTGATTGTGTCCTATCCAATTGTATAATTATTAGCCTCTATTGCAGGTATCAAATTTTATGGTGAGACGTACTCTGGTTTGAGAGAGGACTATGAAGGCCTTGTCCACTGTTATGAACAACTTGGCAACACAGAGAGGATGAACCACTACATTACCACTTTAAGTCATTGGGAAGCAGTGCGAAGGCATTTGAGTGTGCAGAACAACTGTAAAGACTTGGAAGAGAGTGGTCCCATTGTGCCACTTCCTGATCTCCTAAATTACTGTTTTAAAGACTGATAGGACTTACAATTTTACACATTGTATTTCGTCGGAGCAATTATTCTGTGCAGTGTTTAACTTTTTTCTTTGAAATAGAAAAAGTGGTTAAGCTTCAGTTGCAACAGTGCCAAAACAGACAAAATAACCAAACCATGCTACTTCAGCTGTTCACCCATAGCAGCCACGCAAGCAAGAACAAACAGGAAAGTAAAAATTTCGTTCAAGGACGTGACTCACCTCACCAAACAACGCGCATGTGCAACGCGACCGATGGAACGGGGCCAACCGTCCTTGTTCATGGACGAGCGGCCCAAGGCAAGGTAGGCCACCGCTTCGCGCTTCGCGCGAACAATCATGGAAAGTTTTGAATGAAAAATAAAAGTTAACATTTAAATTAAGTTTTTAATCTCAGATCACAAACACTCAACACCATTATATTATCACTGTTTGACAAGCTTTGGTAAACACAAACTACACTGCTCATTCTGATTAAGATGAGCATCTTTTATAAGGCAATAATACATTTTCCCAAATTAAGTTCATTTTTAATGAAGTTAAACCATCCTTCCCCGCATTCCAGTATAAAATATACTGCACTCCATGAACAAAAATTACAACAGTGAAAAAACCATGTGATGCAGCAATAAAAGACCAAAGGAACAACATTTTTGGCACAAAGTTTGTAGTCCCTTTTGAGTACAGCAACACATAAATAAGCAATAATTAAAATTATTCTAGGAAAAGCCTTTCCAAAAGAGAAAGGTGTGATACAAAAATAAACACAGTTTTAAAATTTATCTCAGGGTAATCACATTCAATATACGACTTAGAACATAAAAATAGTAAAAATATGCAAAATTTACTTAAAAGAAAAGAAATCAAAAGGAAAATGGTGAAAAAACAAATGTGAAAGCAGGTAAAATGCTATAAAACATGATAAAAACAGAAAAATAAATAAATTGGAGTTCTGGGAAAAGAGATCACAATTTGTAGAATTGTGGCAGATTTGGCAATGTTTCATGGGTTCATTAATTGGAAATGAATTTAAGCCAAAGGCACCACCAAATTGAAGAGCAATCATTTGTCATCATCTAAACATCCAGTTTCCCTCATGCATTATATTCTGGGAAAGCACATGTATCAAAACCGAATTAAAAGTGACTATGAACACTATAGCCCATATTACCGCTCTGATACTTATAGTTCATCATGTGAAGGTTCGGATCCTAGACTTAAAAGAACTTTCTCAACATGCTTGAGTATTTGGTCTGATCTTTGGGAATTAATTTCTTCTCCCTGGTCAGGATATATTGTTTGAGGATAATAGAACATGACAGTTGGATAGGCTCTAACATAAGCTTTGCGGCACATTTCTCTATGATCATCACAGTTCACTTTACCACATTTAACTCTGCCCTCAAGTTTCTGAAAATGTAGTGAGATGGAAAAAGTTGGTTATTAGAGATATATTTATTAATCACAATACATAAGAATTGTAAACTTGTTCCACGGATTACTACCTGGGCTAGCAGCTGAAATTCTGGAGCAAAGTGCTGGCAGTGTCCACACCATGGGGCATAAAAGTCAATAAGCCATGGCTTTTCACTGTGGAGAACATGCTTTTCAAATGTTTCTTCAGTGAGTTCTATCACTGAAGATGGGATAAATGTGAACAGCCAAGCCCGAATGGTATATGCATCTCTGTGGTAATCATTGTACATGCTGTAAGAAACAATACTTTAGTAAAATGTGAGCTTAACTCTGTATAATATGTGAAGAACTGATTGGAAGTTACATGAGGCTGAATAGAAATAAGGACTTGAATCCAGTGATCTACTTACGCAACAGAGTTGAGACCACGACTTCCAACAGGATATAATCGAATCGTGGGATACGAGCGGATACCTTGGTTTGCACATAGAGCCCTTTCAATTGTACAATCCACTTGAGCGATGAAAATATTAGGTATTCCCGAAACCATCTGAAAAACAATTTAAGCTGCATACACAACTACCTCTAAAATAACTAGAGACTTATTAAATAATTAATCAAACCTTGGCTAGTTTTCTCCACTGGTGTGCTAGTTCTTGACAGGCCCCACACCATGGAGCAAAAAAGTCTATAAGCCAAAGTTCTTCTTTGTTTTTATTTCCAACTTTCTCATAAAAGTCTGTTTCTGACAGCTTTGCAACTGTAATGAAAGAAACTATTATAAACCAAAATGGAAAGGAATTAAGTTGCTGGCATGTACCGTACACAATAGGTCCATGAAATTTGGAGGAGGCAAATGATACCATACCAGTTGGATTCAACATCTCTTGAATAAATTCAATAATTTCAGAGGCTGTATGGGCCCCCCTAAACGGCTCTGATTGAGTATTATTGAAAAACATTGTGGTTGGATATGCGTGGATATTGTAGCGTTGACAGAGGTTTGAATGAACGGTGCAATCAATTGTACCAAAATTGACCGAGTCCTCAAATTGTTGACTTGCTTTTCGAAGCTCTGGGAGTAGCTGCATACAGGGTGGGCACCATGGTGCATAAAAATCCACAAACCAGGCACTCTTTGTACCTGGCATAAAATAAGTTTCTTAGATTTTTAATTGAAACAAAATAGACTGTAGTTTTTTTCTTTCTTTAAATTGTTTCCTTACGATGTAAGCATACCTTCAAAGTTGTGCAGCACATCTGGAAAATCTTCTGAAGAGAGTGTGTGTAAGTTAGGAGCAGCACTACTCTCTTTGGCAAAGTTAGCAACATCATGTGCGATCTCCCGGCCATGATACACCTCAAATTTACCACCTGGCTTCAGCACAGCAAACATTGGATATCGATGAACATGCCACTTGGTACAAAGTTTGGAATGTTTCCCGCAATGCACCCGACCTGCACAGATAAATGAAAAATGAAGCTCAAGTTTTTCATTCTTGTTAGTGTTAAATAACAGTTACTAACCTATTCTCAGGGTGGGAAGAAGTGAAGGTAATTTCTTCAATTCTTTGGTTTGTTCCTCAGGTGAACCAATATAAAAGTAGACAAGCCAGGACGAGGAAGGGTCAAGGGAGAGTTGAGCATGAATTTCCTGTTGATGTAAATTTTATTAGAGCCCTTTTGATTTATTATTGCTTTGATTATTTAGTAAAATGTACCTGAAAGGCTTCCTCATCCAGATCAGCAGGATCTGGTAGAAGATTAAATATATGGCTAGTGATTTCCTGAGCATCATGACTATTTATGTCATGATAATGCCCATCAACTGAATCCATTCCACCTTCCCGTTTCCAAAAAACAATATTTGCTCCTGATGGACTCATTTCTTTGCACCATTCCTCATCTGTATCACAATCAATTGATCCCTGGCCAGCCAATCCCTCCTGTAATGTAATGTTTCAAGTTAAGCATATACCAGGTACAAGGATTCTGAAAGTGGCAAAAGGCAGTAAAGTGCAACTTTTTGAAAACAAAATATTACCAGAATGGAGCCAACTTTAAGGCGAGTTTCAGATGACGGACATTCTTCAAACTGCTTTCCTCCACACAGGAACAGAACCCAAGACAGCCCTCTATTAATATCAGATTTAATAAGATTCACCCACTGATTACTACGAATGTGAATAAGATTGGTTTTTAGCTTGCTTAAAACAAATTTACGGAGCTCTGGAAGAGATCTGTCATATTCATATTTATGTCCCTGTAATAAAAGATAATCATTAAATAGTTTCCAAAAATTTAAATAAACAAAAGCAACAGAGACAAGAACCACAATTACATGTTAACTCACACTTGGGTACAAGTAGAGTGAAGGATATGATCTTATGTTTAGACTTCGGCAAAGCTGCCACTCATCTTCACAATTAACAGCACCAAACCTTAAGACACCTTCCATTTCTTGTGCCAAAGTTCTCCATACAGGTGCAAGAGTGTGGCAATGAGAACACATAGCTGAATAAAAGTTAATGAACCATAGGCTATTGGAGTTGAGAACACTTTGCTCTGAAACAAATACAACAAACATATTACTTTAACATAGAGCCTTGATCATGTAATTTTATCTTTAAAAAATATTCAAGAACACCTACGAAAATCACTTCTGGTTAATGTTATAATTTCTTGGTCATCATCATAAATGCCAAAATTATCTCGATAGTATGAGTAGCTGTGATATTTTGGCTGCTGATTACTTGATCCTGGCAAGCCATCTTCTCCGTGTAGATCATATTTTTTTCTCAGGTCTTCATCTTTTAGAACTTCATATGCCCGAGTTAGTTTAATGAACTTTTCATGTGCGTTTTCATCATCCTGTGGGTTGCCAATTAAAAGAAAATAAATAAGAGCAAACATATAAGGCTGGAGAGTATTTTTCTTTCATTATTATCTTTACCTGGTTTTTGTCAGGGTGAAGTGTAACTGCTAACTTTTTAAATGCCTTTCTAATTTCTCTGGTGTCAGAATCTCTAGCTATTCCCAGTAACTGATAAAAGTCTTCACCAGCAAAAGCAACTTGAAAACACACGAGCAGAAAAAAAATGGCTGTAAAGGAATGCCTGAAAAGAAATTCCAATAAGTCAGTAAAATGAATGATACAGCAAGCAGAAGATACATGGCTCAACAGAAGACCCATTCATGAAGTTCAGCCAGTGTGGAACAAAAATCGACATCAATGATGCAAAGGACGAACCACACGACCAATACAAGCTAATCCAGCAAAAATACGAGGAATGAAATATCCTTTTTGAAGTCAATGCACTGTGCAGCAGACCAAGTATCCAAGAGAAGCTGTAGGTTAGGGCTATACCCTAAGTAGATACAGACAACGTAGTACGCCATAACCGTATTCAATGAAGAGTTTCAACACGCTTACATAATTGTTGTGTCAGGTTTAAACCATCAATACAGGAGAAAGTTGGACATGAGGAACAAAACTTTGATAAACAAATTAGGAGAGGCTCTTAGGACGCCGCCATCTTCACCGCCCACGCTTCTGCTAGCGGACCGGACGGGCTTTGCTAGCGCTGTGCGCGCCCTGCGTTCAAACTTTGAAACGGGGACACGGCTGGACCCGGCGGCGCCCGGGTCGCGGCACCGCACGGTACCGCAGGGTACCGCAGAGCTGCACCTCGAAATCCTTCCGCTTTGCCCAGCAGCACTGGCAGCGATCCGGGGCAGAGCACAGAAGCCGGGTGGTGTTTCGATTGCCGACAGCACTAGTGCGGAACATATGGCCACAGGACGCTGAGCTGGACCAATGACAGAGGCCTTTGTGGTGTCATGAGGGAGCTCCATTCGAACCTGGACCGCGGACCGGTTCCAGAGTTGCAGCAGTTGCAGGCAGGTTGCGGCAGTACGGCCTAAGCGCCTCCCACGCAGTGTGATCGAGATCGAAACAGGGACGAGAATGCGAGAGCTAATCGTTTTCAGGGGTCAAAAGGGGGCGCCCGTTTGGAAAACAACAGATGCCTTTAGGTGGGGAAAATGTTGGTCAAAACATCCCCGAGGACACGAGTTTTCGACACACTAAGCACCAACACATTACCATCCCACTGGTACACTTCAACCTGCAGAGTGCATGGCATGCACCTCTCCCAAGGCGTGTGCCTTGCAGTATGCAGTCCCGAGCACAGCTGCGAACTGTGTGCCTTTGCTGTGTGCTAACAGGGGCATAGAGCGACTTTTTGCCTTCGCAGGGGGCCGCCGCCCTCACGAGAGGCAAGTCAAGACAGACAAGAGAGCCGCCTGACGGGGAGGCAAAACGTCACACTTTGCACTCCTTGAAAAAAGTGGTAGCACTAGGTGCGGCGCAGCGGTAACTGTTCAATAAAAACAAAATTAAGTTACTGCCCCGAAAGTGAGGATATCACTGATCCCGCCCACCTCTTGTCACAGGACTTTTTTGGTCCAACGAATGATGAAATTTCAACTCATCCGTCGGTGATTCAACTTTGTGTCCAACAGATAAGACAAATTTTCCGACGTCTGTAGCAATTTACCATATCATTTTCCAATTTGTATCACCTGGTGGACACAAATTTGTCTCACCGACGGATGTGCTTAAAATTGCATCATTCATGGGACAAGAAACAGTCCAATGGTGCAAACTTTGCAGGGACTTTGAATCAGCCAGTAGCCCAAGACGCCCCGTCGTGAGGCTGCCCTGCGAGGCTGGCTGATAAGGACCGAGGCCCCTCTCGGGTACCTCTAGAGGACACCTCTGACGAGAAGACAGTCTCTGAAGCAGCCGCGGACTGCGACCGCGACTTCGCCCATCCACGGATACTGAACGCACCGCAGGTAGTTGCCCGGGTGCACTCGTCATTTTCGTATAGTAGTAAATAGAATGCATAATGCGGCCCAATAGTAGAAATTTTCCTAAATTAAGCTATTGATGGGTCTTTTTGGACCATTTAAGCTCAATTCGACTGGTTTGAGGCCGCGTTTGAGGCCTAAGTCACAGGATTTTACAGAGTTTACCTCCTCGGAGTCGCCGGAGTTTGGCATTAGAGGGAAGGATCGTTACTGAGATTTCGCCTGTACACACCAAATCCTTAAGCACTTTGTACACACTGTTTTGCTCATGCGTAAGCTTCTGCTCACTGTTACGCATAAAAAGTGTAATTTTTACGCTGTCATGGATAATATCATGCAGAAGCCTACGTATGTGCAACATAAAGGATGTGCAGAATGTTCCTCTTGCAGGCCATGGACACCACGACGGTCGCGGAGGGGCTGCTGGAGGACGACTTCCACACCATGGGCTGGGTGGACATAAGCGTGTTCGCCATCATGCTGGCCGTGTCTACCCTCATCGGGGTCTACTTCGCGTACTGCTCGCCGCAAGGCAACGAGTCGGAGGCGGACTACCTCGTCGGGGGCCGCAGCATGGGCACCATCCCCGTCGCACTGTCACTGTTCGCAAGGTAGCCTCATCCAGAAAAAACATTCAAATAAGTCAAATTGATTGGAAAGTTAAAGAGTGTAACTTCCACCAGCTTCATCTCCGGCATCGCGCTGCTGGGCTACCCCGCCGAGGTGTACGTGTTCGGCGGCCAGGTGGTGTACAACGCGCTGTCCTACCCGCTGACCGGGCTGCTCCTGGGCTACCAGCTGCTGCCCGTCTTCAGGAACCTCCGCACGCTGTCGGTGTACGAGGTGAGCCTCTTGGAATGCCCTCATCTGGCCTTCTGCGCACGAATTTCCCTCACAGAATGCCAAATTTTGGCTTGGCACTCCCGCGGTGCCCGCGGCCTGGGGCGCCAAATTTTGGCAATCTCAGAGAGGGAAATCCGGGGCCAGAAAGCCCTGCGCGTTGTAATGAAAACGTCTCGGATCGTTTTATTTTTTTGTTCCATGAATGATGCAACTTTGAGCATCTGACGGTGGTACGCCATAGTTTTACCAGTTGTACTCTTTATCCTGTTTGTTTGACACTGTCTTGTCCAGTACCTGGACCGCCGCTTCAGTCGAAAGGCCCGCTTCATCGCATCGTGCCTGTTCCTCGTCAGCCACGTGAGTGCGAAAAATCAACAGCGAGTTTATATGTGGAAAAGGAGATAAGGGCTAGCTGCGTGAGTGCGAGAGAGAGACAAGGCCCGCGGCCCGACGCACCGCGAATTAAACATATGACGTCACCTTCACTGTGATTCCAAAGGCTACAGATCGTACGATGCGATGCATTGAGAAAGTGACATGGCACCGTACGCGCAATGCCATGGCCACTCCGCACCTTACGTGCGATGCGGCCCGAAAATTCCCTATTCTAATGCATGGGAATTGCACTTTGCTTGACAAGCATCGCGCCACCAAGTAGTGCGATGAAAACGGGTTCAAATGCACAATGACACGATAATTACTCATTGCGTTGGGATTATCAGTGTCGCCGCTAAACTGCTCCGAAACCCCCCAATCGCAGCCGCACCCGTCGAAACAGAACTATGATGCCTTTCCTTTCTTTCCAGATTGTGTGGCTTCCGATCGTCATCTACGTGCCCGCTCTGGCGTTCGAGCAAGGTGAGTCGCAAAGCTCTGTATGTGATCCATGCACACCGATGGAAGAAAGGCATAAAAGCAATACCCTTTGGCGTTAACGATTGACGCGCAGATGGAACGGCGCGAATCGTTAACTGCTGTTTTAAACGGTTTCGGAGGACAGCGAGTGTGGCTCGGAATTCCCTACACAAGGCAGGTGTAAGTCATCCCTTTTTGGCGTAAAGCTCGAGGTTGTTTTTTTCTATTCCAGTTCTTGATTTAGCATGACTCCAGCGCCTGCGCACAGTGAACCTGAGAGTCCCAAGTCTAACGCAGAGGTTGAGAAAACTGTGGCTAAGTGGGGAAGTGAAAAAAGTTTCATCTGACACTCCTTTTTTTCGTTGATTGCAGTGACGAGAATCAACCTCCACGTGGTGGGGCCTGTAGTGTGTGTAATCTGCATTTACTACACCACGGTGGTGAGCAAGTCTGCTGCTGATAATGCCCCGACACTCGGTAAACGAAATTCTCTGGATACCGAGCGAGGCGGAGCGAGACTTCTTTCTTTCGGATGCGCTATCTTTAGCCGGCCGCCTCGTTCTAGTTTCGAGACTTTCATTCACCGTGCCGATACTGCATGACAATTTGGAACTGACCCTTTGTGTTTCGTCAGGGAGGCGTCAAGGCCGTGGTGTGGACAGACGCGGTGCAGGCCGTCATGATGCTGCTCTGCGTGGGGCTGGTGGTCGCCAAGGGCGTCATGGAGGTGGGCGGGCTGGGCACCGTGTGGCAGCGGAACATGGACACGACGCGTCTTGAAGCCCCAGTGTGAGTGCAGCCCTGCAGCCCTGCAGCAGGGACTCCTCTGCTCGGATTTATTTGTGGTGCCGCTGTCAAATAAGGGGGAAAGGGGGGGGGGCGTCGACCCTAGTACGCCCAAAATTAATCTATCGGGATTTAAAAATACCCCGATAAGAGATGTCAGCGAAACCTAAATTAACGTGAAACTCGTGCCCACGACAAACCAATCATCCCACATTATATGATAAAATGTGGGATACGTACGATAAAAAATGTGCAAAATGTGCGTTTTGTTCAAATGTAAACGTGCCGTGCTATAAAAAACAATGCATTTCGTTTCGAAGTCACCGGAGTGCGTGGAGTGGCGAAAAATGGCAATATTTTATTAAATATTTTTATTCAATATTTTTATTAGGTAGGCGAAATATAGGTAGGCGAAATAGACAGGTAGGCGAACATTTAGGTAGGAGAAATGATATAGACTCCAGACGCCTCATGTTCGCAGCTGGGACTTGGACCCCACCACTCGGCACACCATCTTCTCGCTGATACTGGGCGGCGTGGTGCGGCACACGGCCGACCTGGGCCTCAGCCAGAGCATCATCCAGCGCTACATGGCCCTGCCCAGCCTGCGCGCCTGCTACCGCGCCACGGCCATCTTCATGGTCTGCACCGTCTGCCTCAACCTGCTGGCCTGCTTCTGCGGCTTCACGGCGGCCGCCTACTACCACGACTGCGACCCGCTCACCGTCGGGGTGCGTCACATACTCAGAGATATATAGTTCCCCTTGGGTCTTCATCGGCCTCCCAACGCCCTCTGGAAAAGGAGAGAAATGCAATGTGCACTACAAACCTGACAGTCTCCTAAGAACACATTCCAATGCATACCTGCAAGTACACTTACAAATGCAAACTCCGCCAGGAATACACTTAGAATGCATTATGCGCGTAGCATAGAGTTACGTGTTTGCTTGCCAACGTATGCTCTTTCGAAGTGTGTTCTTGCAAGTAGGCATATGGAAGAGCACTTAAGTAGGCAGTCAGGTTTGTAGTTCGAATGGCGTGCTCTGAAGCACGCGCCTCGAAGTGTGTCCGTCCCCTGTTCCAGATCGCCCAGAAGAGGGACCAGATCGTCCCCATGTTCGTCCTGGACGTGCTCGCCAACGTGCCAGGGCTCACGGGCCTCTTCATCGCCGGCGTGTTCAGGTGCGACGAGTCCACCGAAGGTGTTGAGCTGGCTGGGGGAGGGGGAGGGGGAAATGGGGGGGGGGGGGGGGGGGCGTCGCACCTTGCCCCTGTAAGCAGGCAACAACTGCAATATCCGCTCCCTGTCCCTCCTGAACAAATCTCTGGATCCGCACTGCAAATCCAAGTGTGGAACAGTAACACTATTTTGCGGGCGACAAACTTCCTCGAGCACACAAAATGCGCTAGCTCTTGGGCAAAATACGTGCACACCCGAACGTGGGCTCGGCGAAAAGGGTATACGGCAGATGGTTGTAGTTCCCCCGCTGACTGTCCGCCGCCTCCGCCCGCAGCGCCGCCATGAGCTCGCTGTCCACGGGGCTCAACTCCATCTCCGCCGTGGTGCTGGAGGACGGGCTGCGCAGCATGGCCGGCAGGTCGCCCTCGGAGCGCCAGACGCGCTGGCTGCTCAGGGGGGTCGTGGTGGGCGCGGGGTTGGTCTGCCTCGCCCTCATGTTCGTCGTGGAGCACCTCGGCATGGTGGTCCAGGTACTGTACACCGCACTGCAATTCCAGTCACTCCAGTGGCGCTCTGTTTGGAGTGCCAAAATCTGGTCTCGTGCCTCGGTCAATGCCCTGCTCCCTGCCTGCATTCCGCAGCTCAACGCGAGCCTGTCGGCCATGGCGGCGGCCCCGCAGTTCACGCTCTTCATCGCGGGGCTGTTCCTGCCCTGGGTCAACACGCGCGCCGCGCTGCTGGGAGCGGCCGTGGCGGCGGCCATGGTGGGCGTGACCGTCATCGGGGCGCAGGCCAACATCCTGAGCGGCGCGCTGCAGTACACGCCCAAGCCCGTGTCCGTGGACGGCTGCCCGCACCTCGCGCCGCCCAACGTCACCCTGGCGCACCTCAGGCCGCACGACAAGTAGGACCAGCAGGACGCGTAGGGCAAGGATCATTTTGCACAAGTTGAAGCGAAATGTTTTGAGAGTACGCTGTGCTTGCAGCTCCGAGGTGTTCTGGCTGTTCCGCATATCCTACCTGTGGTACCAGCCGCTGGCCATCCTGACGGGGCTGCTGGTGGCAAGCGTGGCCGCGCTGGCCGGCTGGCGCAACGACCTGGCCGACGTGGACCCGCGCCTCGTGGCCCCGGTGTCGCGCCGCTTCCTGCCCGAGGGCAAGTACCGCGGCGACGACCACGGCGATGACCCCGCCACCCAGGAGGCTCTGCTGCTCGAGCTTCGGACCCTAAGCGCGGCCAAGGACGCGGCCAAGGAATAGTCAGCTAGACTTTAGTGTGTGGCCCCACGTCCTGCGGGCTGATTGGAGTCGTGTGGTCGCTGGGGGCCGGATAGAGCCGGTCAGCCAGAAAAAGGGGTCGCTCACTGCTGCTGCTTCTATCGCACCTCTACGACGGTAGAGAGACACGTCGACGAAAGCATGCTGTATGGAACCACCCTGCTGCGCCCGGACAGGACTCTTTTTCCCCCTCGCTCGCTGCTGAACTGCCACAAACATGACATGTTTGTAACATTGTTACATCCGACGATCTGTACCTGTATTGTAAAAAAAAACATTCGTGCCAAAATAAACACTGTCATGTCGCTACTTGTCATTTTCGACGTTCCCCGTTTCAGAAAAGTGCCCCAGCAGCACACTGTGGCGAATGCAGCGGATCGATCCGCGTCCACATGTGACGTAGACGTAACAGCCTCCCCCCCTTCCCCGCGAGCTGTCCGCGCCGGCGGGACAAGGACAAAGCAGAGGGAAGTCCCGTCTGGAATCACCTCAGGAGATGAAATTAGGTACGTAAATTATTATAAATGGTCAGTTAGTTTATTTCGCATATAAAAATATTACAGCTTAATTAAATCATAATAATCCGCCTTCATCATTAAGGTCGTATAACTTGCAGTAATTTATTTTGGTGAATATATAAAGGGTTCTCAAATTACCAGAAGGCATCGGACCTAAAATGAAGACTAGATCAACCTTACTGTAAGAAATACAAAAATATACTTTTGGCACTAGGCAGGTATAAGGTGTGTGATGAAGACATGATTCACTCAATTAAACAACATGAACTCTCTCGTAAGTTAACTAGCTTAATATGTACATAGCGTGAAGTTTTCATTATACAAACGACTGATAAATAATGAATGAAGAAGTTAAAATTTAACACTTTATATTTACAAAGAAATAATGGTTGACCCATAAAAGACACTAAACCAGGGTAAAGAAATTCCCTTATCTACCATCTAGGCTTACGAGAGTGAGTTCTAATGCCGTTTCTGTTCAGTGAGTAATCATTCCATCAACTTGATACCGTGGCAAGTTTCAGTCCTTAGCGATTCCATACAATCATTTTGTTATTCATTTCAGAGCTTTTAACAATCAATACATTACATTACATTATTTAAAATTACATAAAGTCCTACTATCATACAATACAAAATATCTGTTACACTTTAAATAGCACATCACTTTAGAGTCTATTGGATTGAGTCAGATAGGCGGGCCAACAGGACTTTTGGGGAGGTCTGTTGAGCATGAGTTGCCTGCGGGCCGCCGAAGTGGTTCCCGGCCACTTTATAGTGAGTCGAAGTTTGAAATGTCGCTGCCCTGAAAAACAACAATTTGCAAAATGAATGTCAGAAAATGGAAAATGACGCGAGTTGTGGACACCTGTAGATACGCACTCTATCTGGCTGGTATAGATGTGTCTGTGGCATGAGGAATGTCGATCCTAAGTCCCTCTCCACCATTGTATGGCTTTCCTAAGCAAATGAATACACAATGTGTCAATAAGCATCACAACTCCTGGCCTGGCACTTACTCGCACACAGACGTGCGCACTTACATCGTTGTTGTTGTGATTTGAATGCGAAGACGGCTTCGACGAGGCGTAGTTGGACACGTGGCTGTGGATGCACCTGGTGGGCGGCTGGATGGTGGTCTCGTCGCAGGACCGAGCTTCCGACACCGTCCTGAAAAACCGCAACGCGTACAGGACACAGCAGACGACAGGGAAAGAAGGAGGGAGAGAAAACAAAGAGACAGCGAAGCAAGGAAGTGCCAAACCCGAAGGAAAGGAGAGGAAAATCTCCAGTAACGCGGTGATGCGGGCGAGCGGCAAATTGAACCATAGGAGGACAAACTTTTGGCTTCGGCTCTGCGGACTGGAAGCTTACTATCGTCTACACGACAAGAAATTACAAAATAAAGACAAATTCAGCTCTAGCATGATGTTTGGAACCACTGCGCCTGTTCATTAAGCTCGTCTTCTCTCTTCCTCCCTTGGGACCTCTGCGGGGAATGGCCAACCGGAAATCCATTTTCACATTGTCTCAAATATCTTTCGAAATGCGAGCACCGATCGGCTCAAGGTAGATCAGACTGTCGACCGACATGATAAGGCTATCCTACAAATGTTAAGGAGATGTGGAGAAATTTTGAAAATGAATTTTGATATGGGTTACCACCCCTGGCTATGACGGGCCTCAGAAAGTGATCGAAGTCGCGCACTCTCTAGAGTGCAGATGCCTTCACCGGAAAGGAAAGGGGCCACACAGAAAAAGGGACAGGAAAGTGCAAGAGTGGAAGAAAACCGCTTACAGGTCTGCGAGCCTCGCGGCAAGCTGGTCTTCGGGACATCCGTGGGGCGCCACACTGTGAACAGACAAGGGTCAACACAACGGCACAGCACGCCTCACCACACTGCACTCAACGGATGTGCACTCAACTCGGTTAAGTGGCATCAGAAAAGAAAGCAAGTCAAGCTATCCTGATCAAAGACCAAAGTACTGCAAGTTGATGTTTCGAAGGCTGCCTGTGAGCTAGTCCTTCATCTGCGCCAATTACATTGTCGAACGCTTCGGCATGGTTCTTTACCATGCTCGTTTGACTGACAAATAGCTTAAGCTACCAAGCCCTCATTTTCATGTTTTCAAAGGATTGCACCTTGAGTGCTACTAAAAAGATGGGTATGAATGGATATCAAAAGATAAAGAAAACCTAACCTGCTGCAGAACCAAAGGCTAGCCGAACCCTACAACGACCACGTGCAAGCGTCGGCCTCACCTGTCGCCCACGCGGGTGCGCTGCGTGTCGAAGCGGTGGTCGTGGTGGTGGTCGTGGTGGTAGTGCTGGTGGTGCGAGCTGACGTCGTCCCTGGACACGTCGTCCCTGGAGGACGCGTCGTCGTCCGCGTCGAGGGCGTGGCGTGCGGGCCGGCCCACCGTGGCCGAGACCTCGAAGCCGGCCGACACGAGGGCGCCGGTGGAGGACGGCTTCCTGGGCGCAGGGCCCTTGCGGTGTGACGGCGCTGGCGGCGGCGGCGGCGCGCTCACGGCACTGGTGCCGCTCTGCTTGCGGCTCTGCGGCGCGCCATGCTGGCCGAGGCCGAGACCGCCGTGGCCCTGCTGCGGCGCCGCCTGCGCACTGCCCTGCGAGTGCACCGCCGTCTGCGGCGCGGCCTGCGGCACGGCCTGCGCCATGTGCACCGGCGTGGGGCTGTCCAAATACGCCAGCAGCTTGTGCTGCGGGTCCGGCTCGCCCGTGAAGGTGGACATGGTGGCGCCGTGCGGCGACATGGGCGCGGCCGCGCGGTACTTGGCGCGGGGGATCATGACGGTGAGCGAGCGGTCGCGCTGCTCCATGGTGCCGACGGGCGAGCCCAGGCCGACGGAGCCGCGGTCCGTGCGCTCCACCACCATGGCGGCGTCGGCGTGCGAGCCGTGCGCGCCGTGCGGCACCGACACCTTCTTCATGCCGGTCTTCTTGGGCTTGGCGCTCATCGTGTGCATGGGCTGGAAAGGAACAATACACAATCGTCAGGAGCAGGCTACGGGACGTTGAAGCAAACTAAATTCCATCTGCATTATGACTGCAAGGTAGGGGTAAGTTGGGGAAGAAAAGTACACCCTTATGAAGCTGATGAGAGTGAAACCTTGACGACCTCCTCACCTGGTGCATGGCGGTGACGTACGGCGGCAGCGGCGAGTTGTCGACGGAGCCCTCGCTGCTGGTGTCGTGGATCATGGCGCGGGTGTCGTGGTCGCGGTGCGACGGGCCGCGGTAGCGCAGGAAGCCCTGCTGCGGCTGCGGCCGGCTGGGCCTGCGCTGCCGGCGGCGCGCGCACGTCATGACGCAGCACACGACCAGCAGCAGCAGCAGCCCGCCGCCCACCGTGCCCAGCGCGATGAGGAGCACCTTGAGGTTGACGTGGCAGTGCTGGCCCGTGTACCACTGGAAGCACTCGCAGACGGGCCGCTCGTTGGGGCCGCGAGAGTAGCAGGTGCCGTGGTAGTGGCACTGCTCGCAGCCCACCGGCGAGCACGTGCGCCCCGGGAACTGGGGGTTGTCGGACACGTCGGCGTAGCCCTCCTTGCAGGAGCAGGTGTAGGTGCCGCGCAGGTTGAAGCAGCGCGCGTGCTCGGAGCAGTCGTGGAAGCGCGGTGCGCCCACCGCCAGCCCGGCCTCGCACTCGTCGAAGTCGGCCGCGTCCAGCTCGGGCAGCATCTCGCGCGCCGCGAACACCTCCGTGCCGCCGAGGCTGAAGTTGGTGGCGCGCAGGCTCTTGCGGAACACGTCCTTGAGGCGCACCTCGTCCGTGTTGTCGGACAGCTGCACGTAGAAGTTGACGACGGCGTGCTCGTCGTCGTGCTGGCCGGCCGGCGCGAAGCCCTGCAGCACCACGCCGTGCGCCACGTCGCGCAGCTCGCTCTGCATCACCACGCGCTCCAGGCCCTCCTTGGTGGCCTCGGCCAGGCGCGCGAACCGCGGCGACGCGGGGTCCGACAGCCAGTCGGCGAAGCGGACGCGCTCGCCGCCGTGCCGGTCCAGCGCCAGGCGCATGCTGTACGTGTAGGTCGCTGTGGGGGCAAGGGCAAGGCAAACTCGGCGTCAAGTGGCTTCCAAGAGCGCTACACTGGAAACACGTCTGACGGAGGCGAACGCCTGGGAGGTAGGCAGCATCGGCACTTGCGTGCGCGCAACCGGTTGGGTTGCCTACCCGCCAGGCGCTCTGGCCCTGGAGACCGGCCCTAAGTACTCACGTTTGCACGGCTGGTCGGGGAACATCCTGGCGAAGCCGGGCCTGCAGACGCAACGCATGACGCCCATGATCCGCTGGCACAGCTCGTTCCTGGCGGGCGAGCACTCCGGCACGCACTGCACGGCCATCATCTCGGCCTCGGCCTCGGCGTCGCCGTCCACGGCCTCGGCCTCGTCCACGTCGTGTCCGGTGCCGCCGGCTGGCCGCACGGCGGGCGGCGACGCGACCAGCACGCCGCCGAGCAGCACGGCGTTGTTCTTCACCTCGTTGGTCTCGTCCGCGTTGGTGGGCTCGTCGTCCGCCGAGTGTGGTGGCACCTTGTGCACCTGGAGGCGGGCGTGGGTTTTAGGTTAATCAAAGGAACAAATATATTCCGCTTACGTTCTTACCCGTTCCAAACTACGAAACTTGGCGAATTTCATTTGCATCTAAGATAAGATTTTTTAATCGAAAACAATAAGATACGATCGTCTATCCGGGAACTGTAAGATTAGATCTTATGAAGAGAGCCCTTGTATGCAGTCGCGTTGGAATACAACTCACCTCCACCGTGCCCGGCTTCTGGTCCGTCATGACGAGGAAGATGGAGTCCTCGCCGTCCTCCTGGTGCGTGATGATGTCGTCGTCGTCGTCTTCGCTGCCTCCAGGGTGCCCCGAGGCCGAGGAGGACACGTGCACGTCGATGGTGTCGTGCTCCGGGTAGGGTGTGGGAGACACGGCCCACGGCGGGTAGACGGTGGGCAGCACTGGCGGCTCGGCCGTGTGGGTGTGCGTGTGCGTGGTGGTGTGCGACACTGTGGTGGTGACGGTCTCGAACACGGACGTGGGCTTAACCAGCGTCTCGGTCTCCGTGACCGTGTCGACGCGCGTCGAGGTGGTCGTGGAGGTGAGCACGACCGTCTGCGTGGACGGCACCTGCCCTTCGCTGCCCCGCACCACCGTGGTCTCCGTCGTCGTGAGCACGAGGGTCTCGGTGTGCGTGATGAAGCGCGTGGGCTGCGGCGCGGGGCTGGCGGCGCTGGAAGGCGCGGGGGCGGCCGCTGGCGGGGAGGCGTCCGAGAAGGCGGGGCGTCGCGGCGCGTCGTCGGCGGGCCGCTGCGGCGCCGGGATGTCGTCGCCGGGCTGAGGGCGGCGCGGCGGCGCGCGGTACGGCGGGCTGGCGTAGCGCGTGTGCGAGTTGGTGTCCCTCGTCGGCGACGGCGTGAACCTCTCCGTGGTGGTGGGCCGCGTGAAGCGATTGGTGGATCCGTGATGTCGCGTCAAGTATACCCTGGTGGGCGGGGTGCTCGGTGCCTGGCTCGACTTGCCCGAGAAGCTGGCCAGTGGCGTGGCGATGGAGCTGGGCACCACACCGGGCACCGCGGGCTCCGAGCTGGCCACGCTGTCCGCCGCGGGGCTGGCCGTCCACCGGTTGCTGGGCGTCGGCCGGCCGCGCGTCGTGGTGGGCGCGATGTCCTGAGGGCTCTGCAGCGGGCTGAGCGGCGTAGTGGCCGCGAGCTGCGGCGGCGTAGGCGCGATGCCGGGCGCGGCCGCGGGGCTCGCGCTGTCGCCTCTGGCGGGCTGCCTGGACGGCTTGCCGAACGGCCGCAGCGGTCGAATGAACGGCGACGGCGGCCTCCTAGTGGAGGGCGGCGGGGCGATCGGCGCCGAGGTAGTCGTGCTGGATGAGGTGGTGGTGGCAGGCGTGGTGGTGGTGGTCGTGGTGTAGCGTTTGGGGGCTTCCCACGTGACCGCGTGCTGCACCGTCTCGCCGGGCTGCGACCCTGGCTGGGACCCTGGCAGCGTGATGGTGGGCAGCGGCTTGGCCATCTCCAGCACGGGCGGCCTGTTGAAGGGCCGGCCTTCCGCGGGTGCGGCCGAGGGCGCGGCGGGCTGGGCAGGGGGCACGCTGGGCCGCGCGCTGGTCTGGGGAGGCTCTGTGGGCGGCTGCATCGTGTCTGCGGGCGGCGGCGGCATCTCGAACTTGTATGGCGGCGGCGGCCGCTTCCTGATGGGCGGTCGCCTGTGCGGCCGGCCGGTGGTGGTCGACGGCGTGCCTGCGGGCGGCGCAGACGGGGGCGGCGTGGGCGGCGCCATGCCGAGCACCTGGTCGTCGTGGGACGTGCGGTCGCGGTCCCCGGCAGTGGTGGGCCGGCGGTCCGGTCGGCCCTTCGCCGGCTTGTGCGGCACTTGGTACGTCGGCGTCGATGGCGGCGGCGGCGGTGGCGTGTCTCCGTAGTGCGGGACGTCGGGCTTGGGCGGCGTCGCGTCCACGGAGTGCTGCGGCAGTGGCGGCAGGTTGATGGGGATGGGAGAGGCATCGATGGGCTCCAGCTTGTTGTCTGGACGCTGCTCGAAGATAATGGTGGACTTGATGGGAGACTCGATGTCGAAGTTGACGGGTTTGGTTGAAGGTCGCTCCACAGGCACCTGAACGGGCACCTGAATGGGCACCTGGATTGGCGGCAACTGGATCGGCACTTGGACGGGCACTTGTCCGGGGCCGGGCCTCTCGAAGCGGAAGGGCTCCTGAGGCCTGGGGGCGTGGCTGTGGTGGCCCTGGCCGTGGCCCTGGCCGTGCCCGTGGTGGGGGTGGAGGTGCGGGATGACGGGCCGCTCCGTGGTCTTGGCCTGGTTGGCCACCTCCAGCTCGATGGGCACCTGTCCTGGGCGCAGCGGCCTGGCGTTGGACTCCTGGATCAGCTCGCCGCCCTCCGACTCGATGGGCTCGTCCTGGTCGTCGCCGTCGTTGTCCGGGGCTGGCGGGGCTGGCGGGGCGGGCTGGGCCTGGGGCTGCGGGCGGCCTTGAGGGCGGCCTTGGGGACGGCCGCTCGGCACCGGGGGCGGCACCATGTAGTCCACGGGCTCGTCCAGGCCGCCGGGACCGCGCGGCGGCGCCGGCACCAGGGAGGACGGCTGCTGCTGGATCTGGTGAAGAAGCTGCTGCTGCAGCTGCTGCTCGCGAAGGTGTTGTTCGTGGATCTGCTGCTCCCGCAACAGCTGCTGTTCGTGGAGCTGCTGTTCTTTCATTTTCTGTTCGTGAATCTGTTCCCGGACCTTCTGCTCGTGAATCTGCTCCCTGACCTTTTGCTCGTGAATTTGCTGGTCCCTTAACTTCTGCTCTTGGATTTGCTGCTCCCTCACCTTCTGCTCGTGGATTTGCTGCTCTCTTAAGTTTTGTTCGTGAATCTGCTCCCTTATCTTTTGCTCCTGTATCTGTTCTCTGACCTTCTGCTCGTGAATTTGTTCCCTTATTTTCTGCTCGTGAATGTGCTGCTCCCTGAGCTTCTGCTCTTGAATTTGTTGCTCCCGGAGCTTCTGCTCATGAATCTGTTGTTCTCGCAGCTTTTGTTCGTGAATCTGCTCCCTGACCTTCTGCTCGTGAATTTGCTCCCGCAGCTTCTGCTCGTGGATCTGCTGCTCGCGCAGCTTCTGCTCGTGCTGCAGTTGCTGTTCGTGCTGGATCTGCTGCTGGTGGAGGTGGTGCTGCACCTGGTGCTGCTGGGAGAGCGGGGGCTCCTCGAAGCCGCCTCGGTGTGGCACCTCGTTGACGAACGCGTTGGGTTGGTTGTGATGGTGGTGGTGCTGCTGTGATGGCGGCGGTGGTGGTGGTGGTACCAAGAGGTCACCCTCGTCACCGATGTGCTGCGGAGGGCGTGGCGCGGGATGTTCCTGGTGGTGGTGATGGTGGTGGCCGTGGTAGAGGGGCGCGCCGACCTGTACCTCGTTGTGCAGCGGGATGCTGGGGCCGTGCGCGGGCGCAGGGAAGGGCGCGCGTCCTGGTGGCGGCGGCCCCTGCACGGAGGGCCCCTGCACGGAGGGGCCCTGCACGGCGTTGCCGGCCGAGATCTGCACCTGGATGCCCTCCGGCGGGATGGGCACGTCCATACGGATGGCCGAGCTGGGCTTGGGCACGCCGGTGGGGTCGACGCCGGCGTGTGCCGAGTGCGAGGCGCTGGGGTCGGGGTCCGGGTACGGCAGCGGGTCGTCGAAGTACTCGCCCCTCTTGCCGTGCTCCAGTGTGTCGCCGCTGTAGATGAGCGCCGTGCTGCTGCCGTGTGGGATGAGCACGTTGGCCACCTGCGACGGCTGGATGTTGACGAGCAGGGGCTGCCCGGAGGCGCGCTCCACTACCTGCGGGTTGCCGGGCAGGATGATGGGGACGGTGATGGTGTCGGGCGTGAGGTGCTGCTGGTCCACGTTCATCTTCTGGCTGACGGGCCGGCCCAGGAACACGGTCTGACCCTGGGGCACCACGGACACCTGCGTGGGGCCGAAGTCGCCGAAGTCGCCGAGGCCCAGCGGCGCCAGCGAGTGCGAGCCGACCACCGTCAGCAGGGGGCCCACGGCGTCCTGCAGCGGCTGAGGTTCGGGCTGCAGCTGCTGGTGTTGCTGGTGTTGCTGATGCTGCGGGTGCTGCTGGATGTGGTGTTGCAGGTGTTGCTGGTGCTGCAGGTGCAGGTGGTGCTGCTGCAGCTGTGGCGGCGGTGGCGGCGGGCGCAGCGGCACGTCCTGGTTCGGGGAGTGCACCACGGCGGGCTGGTTGGCGGGTGGAGACATGTCCAGGATCTCGTGGTGCTTGTGGTGGTGCGGGATGCCGATGGGGATGGCCGGGCCTCCGCTGGGCCGTTCCTCGCGGAGGGGCGTCGCTGGCGGGGCGGGCGGCGGCAGCAGGTTGGCGATGTGGTCGTCGATCTGGCAACAAACGGGCAGGCAGTTAAACGATGCACACTCCTGTCTCCAAGGCGTTTGGAGACAAGCGCTGCCGAGACAGAGCGTGGCTAGCGACCACACAGTACCTGGTCGTGGGGCTCGCCCACACTGGAGGCGGCGGGCACCGGCTGGTCCAGGTCCTCGTGCTCCACCGTGTCCTCGGGGAGGCGGTCGTGCTCGGGCCAGGCGGCTTGCGGCGGCGGCGGTGGCGGCGGCGGCTTCATGCCGATGGGCGTGTGGTCGCCCACACTGGCGGGCCGCTTGGGGGGCCGGGGGCCGTGCACCGAGGGCTTGCCGATGATGACGTCCGAGTTGGCCGTGATGACCTGGCCGGGCTGGATGGGGATGCCGCCAGCCAAGAGCGGAGACTCCAGCGTCGGCCGGCCCAGCACCACGCCGCCGTTGCCCTCCTGGGCCAGCTTGAGGCGCTGCTCTGCGTCGGGCCACACCGCGTTCAGCTGCGAGACACAGACTCAGTATTGGTCCTCGATCAAGAGAGGCGCGGTGCAAAGCCTCTACTCCACTCTGACGCCGTGCGCGGGCGAACTCTGGCCGGACCTACCTTAACGTGTCCCTCGACGCGCTGGCTCTCCTCGGCCACCGAGTCCTTGCCGGCGCCGGCCCCCGCGCCCACGGGGATGTAGATGGGGTTCCTCTGCGGGTTGCTGGACGAGCCGGCTGCCACCAGCCTCTCCGGGGGCGGCGGCTGCGGCGGCTGCGGCCCGGCGTAGCTCAACAGGGGGTTCTGCTCCAGCACGGGGGCGGGGGACGTGGGCTGCAGCACGGGGGCGGACAGCGGCGCGGGCGGCGGCGGCTTCTGGAAGTGTGCCAGCTGCAGGCCGGGGGCGGGGCCCGGGGGCGGCCCGAGCAGGCCTGGGGGCGGGCCGTGGGGCAGGGCGGGGGGCATCTTGTGCACCACCAGCACCGGCTTGCTCGCCTGCGCCTCTTCCTTCTGGAGAAAAACGAGAAACGACTGTCACTTCGAGGATCGGCTATTCGACGAATGTGATGTCATTTTCAATGTGAAGTTTGTCACGTTCGTTTGAATACGATGTCTGTCTGTCAAGAGGACTAGCCAACCCTCAGGTTCAGTCAAGTGCTCACCGCGGGCGACAGCAGGCCGGCCATGGCGCTGAAGACGGGCCGCAGAGCGTTGATGCCGTTGATGCCGATGGAGCCGAGCTGCAGCAGCTCGGACATGCCCAGGTTGGAGCCCTGCTCCACCGCCTCGCCCACCTTCTCGCCGGAGGGCCGCTTGTTGGTGGCCTGGTGCTCGCTGGCGCTGCTGGGGTTGACGGGGATCACGGCCTCGCTGCCGTCGGGTCGGGACAGCACCACGACCTGGAGAAGACGATGATGGTTGGTTAGTAATCGTTCACAATCTTCGATGACCGATCTGCTAGTTGAAATAATCGTAAGATTACCAAAATAATCGCAATTATTTTCTATTAATCGATAGATTGCCCAGACCCGATTTGGTCTGCGACACCACGAGAAACCAACCTGCTCGCCGGGCAGGAGGGTGGCGCCGGCCGCGGAGACGGTCTTGGAGGACAGGATGGAGGTGCGGTACGTGTTGCCCAGGGCGGCCGTCGCCGAGGGCTTCTCCTTGACGGCCGTGGCGGGCTTCACCTTGTGCTTGTGCGTCTTGGAGGGCGGCCGCTGCGGCCGGCTCGGCTTGTCGGAGGGGGTCTTGTGCTTGACGGCGCTGCTGCTGGACGACGGCACGCTGCGGGGGAAAGCAAAGAGTGTCACACGCCGCATCATGTTCGGCCAGCCCTCGGTCAGCCCCACACGCTAGACGATCCCTCCCCAAGTAGCACACCGAGCCCACTATAAATTCCCGCTCCATCTAGATGCCGTACGACAAATCGTCCCCGCAGTAAACCCCGCCGGCCGCGCCAGGGCCGGCCAGGGCCGGCCGGGCCGAGGCGTATCGCGGGGATCAGCAGCTGGCCAAGGTGGCCGTCAGGCCGTCAGGCCGTCCCCGCGGCGCGACGCTCTCCGACGGGCTGCCCCGCACACATGGCGATGCGCCCCGCGATGCGCCCCGCGGCGTCGCGTCGCGTCCTCCGCCGATCGGACGCTCTCCGAAGACTGGTTCCGAGAGTCGTTTTCGTCACCCTGTCTTGCTCAGACCTAAACGGGACGCCCCATGAGTGCGAGAGAGACAGAGCGACGAACGCGACTCGGACTCGGTCTGCTGCCACTTGCAACTTTTTCAGCTTCAATCGTCCGGCCGGCGGCCCCGTTAAATGTTGCAATCAGATCATTTGGCGGCGCGCAATTGGTGCAGGAGTTATGCGGCGGAAGGGCCTCTACGTCTGTGCCAGTGTGGCGGTCTGGCGTTCCAGCGCAGCTCCATTCATAAAGCCGGAAGGGTGACGACGGCGACGATGAGCGCCGCGCATCCGGCGACTGCACACTGATGCCGAGAGCCGTTTTCGTCGCTCTGCCTCTATCACACCTTTACGCGACGCCACACGAGAGCGAGAGAGACAGAACGACCCTCGGAATCAGTCTGCTGGGTTCACACGACGCAGAGGAGCAGCGGTCTCACCTGGCCTTCTCCTCATCCTGGTCGTCGAAGAAGATGATGGTGGAGCCCGTGATGACCTTGTCGTTGATGGCCGAGGACGGCGCGGGCAGCACGGGGCTGGATCCGCCCCTGTTGACGGCGGCGGAGGCCATGGACTGGCCCATGATGGCGGAGGCCGCACTGCTCACGGCCGCGTTGAGCGCCGAGCTGACGTCCGGGCTGAGCGCGGGGGTGGCCACGGCCTCGGCCTTGTCGGCCTCGTCGACGGGCGCCGAGCCGGACACGGTGCCCGAGCTGGCGTACAGCGCGGCCAGGTTGGCCGGCGAGTCCACCATGGCCGTGATCTCCATCTGCTGGCCGCCCTGCAGCGTGGCCGTGGCGACGATGCGGCTCGTGTCCAGGGACGGGTCGGCCTGCAAGGAGGACGGGTCAGTCAATGGGCGAAGCGATTCCCGGCCCGATGCCTGTCTACAGGCAAAGTCCGCTCCAGCAGGAGAGAGTCCCCTTCCAAGCGATGCCCGGCGATGGCAGTTGGCAGTGCACTTACGCGGAACGAGCTGCGGAGCCGCTGCACGTAGTCGGGGTGCAGCAGCGACGTGGGCACGGTCTCGGTGACCACGTTCTGGACGACGCGCGTGCGCGACGACACCACGGTGGACACGGCGGGGGTGGCGCCCTGCAGCAGCGTCGTGAAGTACGTGAAGGTGGTGAGGTACGTCTTGGTGGCCACCACGTGCAGCGCCGGCAGGGACGGCCCGGCCGGCTCCTCGGGCCGCGGGGTGGGTGACGCCGCGGGCGTGGCCTCGGCTTCGGGCGGCACGGGCGTGGGCTCCACCAAGGGGGTCGTCGTCTCCAAGCCTTGGGGAAGAGAGGGCGGTCGTTCATTTGCTGATTAACAGTAACACTAGAGATGGAGTGAAAGCGTTGCAAGGAGAGCGCTAACTAGCGTGCTGCTTACGTAATGCCGAGGTCCGCTTGGGCTTCTTGAGGAAGGTCTCGGTGGTGATGTCGGTGGAGACGGCCACTTCGGACCGCACCACGGTGCGCTCGTCCTCCAGGAAGGTGGAGTAGTACGTGTAGGTCACCAGGTACGTCTTGACCACCTCGGTGGTGGTGGGTGCGATGTCGAGCTCAGTGGGCGTGGACGGGGGCGCCGTCACCAGCTGCGCCTGCTGCTGGGACTCGGTGATGACGACCTGGGCACAGCCAACAGACTCGTCAGAACGCGCAGACGAACGACCAAAAACCACAGGAAGAAACAATGTACACAGGGCATCATTTTTGTGACTTTGTTTTCCGAGTGCAAAATAGTTTGTAAGATAAGAGAACCATAAATTTAACAGAGAACTAGGAACCGAATCCTTGCCGCACAGTACTGACCTGCGTGAGGACGTCCTGCGTCGACACCACCTTGAGCTGGTCGCCGTCGCTGAGCGTGCGCGTGAGCTGCACGGTGGACAAGTACGTGTTGGTGCTGAAGGTGTCTTGCGTGCTGGCGTGCGAGGCGAGCACGTCGCCGGGCGCCGTCACCGTGTTGGCCACCGTCTTGCGCGACGTGAGCACGAGCGGCACCTCGCCGTCCAGCAGCGTGTTGAGGTACGTGTAGGTGGTGTGGTACACGGCCGTGCTCAGCACGGGGCTCGCCGTCACCGTCACGCCCACTGCAAAAACGGCCAGTTTTAGACGCGGTATAAGCGCTGCGACGCAGGTGGCAACAACAAGCTTGCTGCAGGGTCAAAACGCCTGTTGCACTGTTGCACTGCTTTTAAATCAACAATCAAGGGCTCAACGACAGACTGCTGCCGTCGGACGGCCGCGCCACGCTCGCTGCCACTGCACTGTACGACCACGTCCCCCTCGTTGCTCTTCGATTAGTCGATTAGTGCCCCGCGACCTCCGAGCCCCATCGGGTACCATCGGGCCGCGGCGCCGAGTCACCGCGAGACCGCAGGCCGCCCCTCACGGCTGGGGTCGGTGCGGCGACCGTTGTACCACGGGCTGTACCACTGGCGGCGGTGTGCGGCTGTGGCCCCACGGCTCCACGGGGGAGAGGCGGGTCATGAGCGCGGCGCGGAGGCGCAGGGCGAAGCGGCGCGGACACCGCAGCAGGATTGACTTGCGCGCTTGCGCGTCGACTGTCGCAACCGTTCGCCAATAATGCCGCGGCGACCCGTCCGTCCCGTCCCTCAGCTGCAGAGCCATCCCGCCGCAGAGGCCAACCCGACCGCGCCCCGCCCCGCCCCCCCCCGCCCCGCCCCGCCCCGCCTTGATTGTTTATTCGCAAAGTCACCGGGATTACACACATTACGGTCCCCGGGCCGCGACTGCCACTGACTCTCGGCGGGCGGCCGCCGGTTCCCACAGCGCCGCATGTGGGTCGGTGCCGCGGCACGCCGCCAGCCAGCTTTATTGTTGCAGTGCATTGAGAGCCACCGAGCGCGGCTCGTGTTGATGAGGTTGTGCCACGCGCCACACCTGTCGCACTGCTCGGCTTCATCGCACAGCAACGCGTGACAACCTCCAATAAGTGGGGATTATTTAATGAAAAGAAATGGTTCAGAAGCAACTTGTGTCCGGTGGAGGTGAATTCTAAATTCCGTCACCTTGGCCGGAGCTTTCTTTATTCACTAGATCGAACACGACGAACAGCGGTGCACCACTGACCTGAGCTGAGCGGGGTGCTGGTGGCGCCGGCGGGGGACAGCTGCTCGGTGGCGACGTTGCTGACGACCTGCTCCTTGGAGGTGGACGTCTCCACCAGCGTGTAAGTCGTCACGTAGGTGCGCGTCACGAACTGGGCCGAGTCCAGCTCCACCTGCAACAGCGGCCCGGTTTAGCAGTGAGAACACATTCGGGGTAGCAATGACAGGCATTCGCTGGAAACGAGAGGTACACAGTGGCGTGGCTTTTGCCCAAGGCGGGAAAGGCGCGCCCCCTTTTAAAAACCCATCGCGCCGATCGTGGCGGGGCGTGGCAGGGCGGGCGCATTGTTCTGCCGCGCTTTCGGACGAGGCCAGACGAGGCGCACGCAGCACTGCGCTGCAGACTGATTCCGAGAGTCCTTTTCGTCGCGCTGTCTCTCTCGCACCCATACGGGACGTCCCACGAGTGCGAGAGAGACAGCGCGACGAAAAGGAGTCTCGGAACGAGTCCGCAGCACCGGACACCTCCTCGGCTTTCGACGGCGACGGAGCGGACGGAGCGCGCGGGGCGTCGAGCGAAAGTGAAATGCTTTAATTTGGGCTGGGCGTGCCGGGCCATGCGGCCGGGCCGTGCGTCGCGCTGCCCATGGCTGCCGACCGCACCGTCGCCCATCACGATCAGCCCAAAACGCGCTCACGACAAGGGCGTCCGGAAACACGCGCTCGGCCCGCAGGGCGCAGCGTCTCGCGGGCTGGGCTGTTTCCGAAGCCCAACAGTGCTTTCGTCGAGAGCGCGTGGTGGGCGTTGTGCTGCCGTTTGCTCGTGGGGCTAATTTTTGGACTTCTTATCATCTACAGCATTCATCTGTTTAGCTTTGCTTAAAGGTCTTTGCCTGTCCTGAAGAAGTGATTAGAATTAACTCGTTCCGCTTCTCGGCCTCACCTGTGACGGCATGAGCAGCATCATGTGGTCCGTGAGCGTGGACGGCGCCAGGGTGATGGGCGACGACGGCAGCACCCGCAGCACCTCGGGCTCGCCGGGGAGGGTGCTCTTGTCCGTCGCCACGATCACCTCCACGCCGTTGCTCATCACCTTGGTGGCGAGGTTCCAGGCGCGCGCCTGCTCGCTGCCCACTGCAAAAGGCGGGGCACGGTCAGCACGGCGCAATCGGTCGGTGCACTCTAAATGTCTTACGGTCTCACCAAGGAAATAGCCAAGACATTTAGAGTATGCAATCGAAGAACGTCCCTCATACAGCGGAAGCGGAGCCTTTATCTCGTCAGCAGAGACAATTACAAGCGTTGCAAGGAGAAATATGGACTTCAATTTCCACTTGTTTCTTTTTTTTTCACGAGATAAAGGCTTATTCAATTTCAGTGCAGTTTCAGTTTTGAATACAGTGAACAGTTTATGAATGAGAGATGACCGGAACATGATGAGGGCATGCAGTGAATGAGATTGACACTTGATAACATCATAGAGGAGTGTTATGAGCCAGACTCGACTCAAAAAAAGAGTATGTACAAAACAACGTCGAGCAACGACGTGTGAAGCAAACAAATAGAACAAATGAAAAAGGAGGAACAAGTTCCGGAATTATTTTACAACAGAGTCAATAAAACAGAGACAGGGAAGAGGCAAGACTGAAAATGAGAATGCTTCATTAATATACTCGTTAAAATGTAAGAGAACACAATTGAGACCAAAAGGTTTTGTTTTTTGTTTTTTGCTACTCACCAAGGCGGGTCGGGGGCGGATCCGGCGTGACGGTGCGGGTCACGGTGAGGGTCTGCGTGTCGGGTAAGAGGGAGGTGCTGGTGACCACGAGGGGCGCGGCGTCGCCGGGGCCGCCCTGCCGCGTCACGACGAGCGTGAGCGTGCGCGTGCGCACCCGGGCCACCGTCTCGGTCACGACCACTGCCGTAGGCAGAGGCACGGCCGTGGTCACCGCACTGACTAGACTAGAACGAGGGGGGGTCTTTGGCATGTTGCGTCGCTGTCCGGGTCTTTTGTTAGGAGCACTGCCTGGGGTGGTGGATGCCGTGGTTGGGGCCGTGGTGGTGGCCGTGGTGGTGGCCGTGGTGGTGGCCATGGTGGAGGCCGTAGTGGAGGCCGTGGTGGAGGCGTCGGCAGCGGAAGTGGAGGCCTTGGTGGCCTTGACGACGCGGTGCGCGGGGCGGTACGTCGTGGCCGCCACCTGCTCGGTGACGGCGTGCTTGGGCGCCTCGGCCTCTAGACGGGGTGGCGGTGCGGGGGCGGTGCTGGTTCCGGGCTTGGCGATGATGATCCTCCTCGACTTGGGGTTGAACGTGGTCGGCCTGTCGAGGGGGGCCGACGTGGTGGTGGCGGGCTCTTCGGAGGGCGCGGTGGTCGCGGTGCCGTCGTCGTCGGCGTGCTGCCCTCCGTCGTGAAACAGTCGGTCCGGTCGGTTCGGGGTCGACGCGGGGCGCCGTCGCCGGCCGACGCGGACGAGGCGGGGCGCCTTGGAGCCGGCCTGCAGGGGCAGCTCCGAGGCGAGGTCGTCAGAGGAGTCGACGGCCAGCAGGCGCCGCCGTTGTGGTGCTGCGTCTCTCCTCTGACGGTGTGCTGGTGGTGCTGGTGGGGTGAGAGTGGTCCGGGGTGCTGTGCCGTGGGCGGGTGCGCTATTGCCTAGGTCAGTGCTCCTGGTTGTAGTGTTGGCCTGCCGCGGTAGCGGAGCTAAGTCTGCGGGGCCTTGGGGAAAAAATCACTCTTGTTGTACTTCTTGGCGGTCTTGGCCTTGGCCTGAGTGGCCTGCACCTCGACGCGCACCGGCGTGGCGCTTAGCATGTTGACGTACTGACTGACGTCGCCCACGATGCTCTCCAGGCTCTGCGTGCCCAGCTCGCTGCTCTCCACCGCGATGTCGTTCATGCCGGACATGAGGTACTTGTCCATGCTCAGGTCGAAGTCCTCCCCGAAGGAGCCGCCGAGCTGCGCGGGCAGCCTGGAGGGCTGCAGGGCGATCTCCACGGGCGTGCCGAGGCCGGCCTCGCGCTTCTTGACGGACACGGACGCCTCCTGGCCCAGCGTCACGGTGGACAGGATGGTGCTGAACTCGCCGGGGTGCCGGCCGGACACGTAGATCGTCACCACGCTGGTCTCGGGCACGGCGGGCGCGGGGTCCACCTCAGTCTTCTTGGCGGGCCGGAACTTGGAGCGCTTGGCCGCCGGCTTGGCTTCTTTGACGTCATCCTCCTCACTGCCCACCGTGTCCTCCTCCGAGCCGCGCGTGGGCCGCACGTCCGCCTCCGTGTCGTCCTTCTTGACCTTGGGCGCGTACTGGTTCTCCAGGACGTCGTCGTCCAGCATCAGCTTGGGCTGGTCGAGCGGCGCCAGCGGGCTGACGGTGGGCTGTGGCTGCAGCAGCGCGTTCTGCAGCAGCGCGGGCAGCAGCAGCGAGTTGAACTGGTTGTTGACGGCGGGCAGCGAGGCCGTGGGCGTCACCACCACGGTCTCCGTGATGAACTCGGTGGCCGTGATCACCATGACGTTCGAGTCGATGAGCGTGGTGTAGATCTTCTGGCCGCGGAGCGTGATGGGCAGGACGGTGGATGTCTGATCCGTGAGCGTGGTCACGTACGTGGTGGTCTTGGTCTTGAACTCGGTGGTGGGCGTGGCCGGCGTCTGGGGCTGGCCGCCGAGCAGCGGGTTGCCCTGCAGGCCGATGTTGGGCTGCAGGCCGATGTTGCCCAGCAGCAGCTGCGACAGCAGGATGTTGGCCAGCGGCGCGTTGGCGCCGCCGAACTGCGGCGTCACGGTGCTCACCACGGTCTCCACGTCGTACACGGTGCTGGGCACCACGTGCGCGAAGGACGTCTTCCTGCCGCGGATCGTGGTGGGCGTGAAGGAGACGCTGGTGGTGGGCGTCTCGTGGACGACGAACCTGGTGACCTCCTGCAGGCCGTTGGGCAGCGTGGCCGTCACCTCGCTCGTCAGCTGGATGTACGAGGAGCCGTCCTTGCCCACGGTGGTGGAGTACTGGTGCGGGCCCAGCACCTGCAGGCTGGGCTTGGCCGTCAGGACGTTCTTGTACTCCGTCACCTTGCCGTTCACCACGGGGATGGTCACCTCGGAGGGGATCTTGTGCGTGACGGTGATGGTGCCGTCGAAGCGCGACTCGGCCACGTAGGCGTCGTCCACGGTGTCGCCGCGGTAACGTCCGCGCGTCGAGGTGCGCGAGCGGCTGTTGGAGTAGCCGTTGCGGCGGCTGGAGGCGCTCAGGGAGCCCCGCGAGTACGCGGGCGTGGCCTCAGTCTGCTGGTAGGACTGGCGCAGCCGGGGCGGCCGCGGCCGGACGGGCGCGGGCGTCGTCTCGTAGCTGCTGGTGCGGCGCCGCGGCGACGTGGTGGGCCTGCGGAAGCTGGCACGCGGCGCCGGCGTGGTGGGGCTCTTCTCGCGGAGCGTGAACTGCGCGCGCGCCGCGCTGGACGACGCGCTGGTGGGTCGCACGCGGTGGTGCGTCGTCTGCTGCTGCACTTGCTGCTGCGGCTGCGGCTGCGACCGCGCCCTGGACGTGAAGCGCGTCGCGTGGCTGGCGGCCTTGGTGGTCACCTCCACGTACTCGTCGTAGTAGTCCACGTAGTCGGCGCGCTCCTGGATGGGGGCGGGCGTCTGCGTGCGCGAGGTGGGCCGCCTGTAGCGGGAGCTGTGTTGGCGCTCGCTGGAGTAAGTCCTGTCGCCCCTGCTGGGGTACGTGTACTCCACCTGTCGTCGCACCCTGCCCGGCGGGCGCCGCCCGTTGAAGGGCCTGATGGACACGGGGTTCACCGTTTTGCCGCGGCGGCCGGGCTTGGGCGTCTCTTCCGTGGGGGCGGCCGTGGACTTGGACTCGGCGTTGTCCACCTCAGAGCCCTCGTACTCGTTGTCCACGACGGAGCCCTCCTCTCCCTCCGCCGGCCTCTCCTCCTCTTCGGCCTTCTCCTCGTCCTTCTTCTCCTCCTCCTCGGCCTGCCCCGGCTTCCTGAAGAGACCGCGCTTGGGGAACAGGTTGTTGGCCGGCCGCCTACCGTTGGCGATGGCTGGCGGCGGTCGCGGCCTGGCCGGCTTGGGCGTGGTCGAGGTCGTCGTCGTGGTGGCGGCGCCCGAGCCCTGCCGGCGCCCGAGCACTCCGCGGCGCGGCGCTGGCGTCGTGTTGGGCTTGGCGGTGGTGGTGGACGCGGAGCTCCTGCCGGCGAGTGGCGGTCGGCGGAAGCGCAGCAGCGGGTTGTTGCTCCTCCTGGAAGACTCCGTCGTGGTGGCCGGCGCGGGAGTCTCCTGCTCCTCGGAGGCCGTCACGGCGGGCGTCTCCTCCGTCACGATGGTGGTGCTTCCCAGGTCGTTGTCCTCGGGGCCCAGCGAGTTGTCGTGGATGTGGGGGTGCGCGGTGGCGGCGCCGCCCCTGCCGGGGAAGGCGCTAGTGGGGCGGATGCGGTTGAAGCGGCCGGCCGAGCTGGCAGGCGCCGCTGCGCCGGATGACGCGCGGTAGGGGTGGTCGCTGGGGTTGACGCGGCTGCTGGACGGCCTGCTGAAGGCAAAGCCCCTGGTGCGCGAGGCGGTGGGACCCGTGATGGTGGGGCCCGCGAGGCTGGGGCCCGTGATGGTCGGCTGGCGGAACGCGCTGGACCGGCGGCCGGCGCCGAACGAGGCGGTGGACGACGGCGACGGCACGGCGGCGCCGAGCGACGAGCTGCGCGAGCGCCCCGTGAAGCGGCGCGCGCCTGACGCGGACGGCTTCACGTCGATGACGCCGCTGGAGGGCGAGCCGCCCAGGGACGCGCTCTGCCTCCTGGGGCCCGCGAACCGGCCGCGCGTCGACGACGGCGCGATGTTGCCGTCCGGCTTGAGCGCCGGGGTGGCGGTGATAGTGGGCGTCAGCAAGTTCCTGGTGATGGTGGTGGCGCTGGTGGCCTTCTCGGCCTTGCGCCGCGGCAGGAATGTCGGCCTGTTCCTGGACGAGAATGGCCGGATGGTCGGCGTGAAGGTGCGCTTGCGCTGCGAGAAGTTGAGTCGCCCTGCGGAGCCTCGGCGGCCGGAGCCGTCGTCCTCGCCACTGCCTTCCTCGTCCTCCTCGCCGCCCTCGCCAGAACCGGAGCCCTCGCCGCCCATGGAGCTCTCGATGACGTCGGGCGACGGGCTGGTGGACACGCCAGCCGTGGGCTGCACGTTGAGGCCCTTGTTGGTGGTGGCCGTGGCCAGGATCTCGGACACGGCGCCCGAGGGGTCGGCGGTGGCAGTCACATCGGCCTTGAAGCTGGACGTGCTCTCGATGATCTGCGCGTATCGGCCGTCGATGAGCGTGCCGATGACGCGTGACTCGTAGAACGTGGTGGTCTGGTCCTTGACGATGGAGCCCTCGATGAGGCGCACCAGGCCGGTGCGGAAAGACTTGCCGTTGACGGTGACTGTGGCGTCCAGGGAGGGGGTCTGCGTCGCCTTCTCCTCATCGACCTTGATGGACGAGGTGCTCTCCACGACCTGCGCGTACAGCTGCTCGACGTACGTGCCCACGGCCTTGGTGGTGAAGAAGGTGGTGGTCACGCCGTCCGCGTCCACGATGCTGCCCTCGTTGAGCGACACCACGCCGGTGGGCTGCTGCGCGGCCTTGGGGGCCTCCGTCTGGCTGGGCTGGATGTCCTCCTGCACCTTGGTGGTGCTCTCCAGCACCTGCGCGTACAGCCCGTCGATGAAGGTCCCGAACACGTCGGTGGAGTACACGGTGGTGGTGCCGTCCTGTACGCTGCTCGTTACGATGGTGGACAGCAGGCCGGTGGGCTGCGCGGTGGCGGCCTCGGCCGGCTTGTCCTCGTACACAGGGGTCACCTCCTGCTCCGGCACCGGCGTGGCGATGGCTCTGCCCAGGCCGTTGTCCACGTCCGTCACGCTGGCGGCCACGGTGGGCGCCGCGCTTGCGTTCACCACGTTGGTCACCGTCTCCAGGCGCGACTTCAGAATCGTGCTGTCGCCGATGTAGGACGTGGTGAAGTACGTGTACGTCGTGTAGTAGGTAGTGGGCTCCAGCAAGGCCTTGGTGGGCTCCTTGACTTCCTCGTCGGCCGGCTGCTCGGGCGCCGCGGTGGGCTCGATGCTGTCCAGCACGGCGGTGGGCGTGATCTCGATGGAGGCGGTCATGGGAACGGACACGGTGGGCGTCACCACGTTGGACACGGTTTCCTCCCGGCTGGTGATGTGCGTGCTGCCCTCCTTGTACAAGGTGGTCCAGTACGTGAAGGTGGTGAAGTACGTGACGGGCAGGGTGGCGTCCTCGTCGTTGTAGACGTTCGTCTCGGTCGGAGCGACGGTTTCTGTCACCACGTTGGTGACGGTCTCCAGCCGGCTGACGATGTCGCTGGACGTGGAGCCCTTGTACACGGTGGTGAAGTAGGTGAAGGTGGTGAAGCTGGTCTGCAGCAGCACGGACGGGCTGTAGGACGGCTCGATCTCCTCCGTGTTGCTCTCCGAGCTGATCTGGTCGTCCAGGCCCGAGTCCACGACGTCGAGCACCTTGCGCTGCATCTTCTTACCGCCAGAGGTGCTGCTCGTCACGTCCGTCACCCTCGTCTCCGTCACGTACACCTCGTCGTCGTCGCCGCGCACGGCGGACGGGCTGAGGGCGTTCTCCTCGTTCCTGGCCAGCGTCGTGTAGCGCGAGTCCTCGGTGGAGTCCTCGGGGCTGGCGGACTTGAGGTAGGCGCGCGGCAAGTCGTTGTCCTCCTCGTTGTCGTCCGCCGCGTTCAGCACCTTGTTCACGTCGATGTTGACGGCCTTGGTGGGCTGCACGTCGCTCGTCTGCGTGGGCGCCAGCACGTTGGAGAACACCTCAGTGCGGCTGGAGACGCTCGTCTCGCCGTCCACGAAGATGGTCGTGAAGTACGTGTAGGTGGTGTAGTACGTCTTGGGGTCCACGGCCGAGTCCACGATGCCGGCGCTGTTGAAGGCGGCCGTGGGCGTGCTCAGCTCCTTCTCCACGTCCACGGACTCGATGACTGACGAGAACAGGTCGCGCTCCTCGGGGGACAGGGCGGCATCAGCGTCCCTGGTGGCGGAGGGGCGCGCCGCCACCACGCTGCTGGGAGAGATCCTGGGCTCCTCGGTGGAGGCCATGAGGTAGGCCGAAGGGCTTTTCGTGGCGGCGTCCTCGAACAGCAAGCCCGCCTCGGAGGCGAAGAGCGCGGGGTCGATGGTGGAGGACACGACGTTGGTCACGATCACCTCCCTGCTGGCCACGCTCGTGGTGGCCTCCTCGAAGAAGGTGGTCAGGTACGTGTACGTGGTGTACAGCGTCTTGTAGATGACCTCCAGCTCCTCCTCCTCGTCCTCGTCCTTCGGGGTGGTAGAGGTGGTGGTGGTGGTGGGTCTCCAGGTGGTGGGCCTGTGCTTGGGCGTCGTCGTGATGACGGCGGGCTCGGGAGTCGTCGGGTCCTCGGGCTCCCTCGCTGTGGTCACCTCTTCCTCCTTGACCGGTGGTCACCTCCTCCTTCTCCGGAGTGGTAGTTGGCGGCTTTTCCGTTGTGGTGGTCGTGGTGGTGGTGGTCGTGGTGGTTGGCGCGTTGGTGGTGGCCTCCTCCTCTTCCGTGGTGGGCGGCACAGTGGGCTGAGGGGTGGTCGTGGTGGGCGGCAGCGTGGGGGACTGCGTGGCCTGCACGGCGTCGACGCCGGCCTTGATGACACGCGTCACCTGCAGCACGTCGGTGGAGGTCACCTCCCTGGACTTGACGGACGTGGTGGTGAGCGAACCCTCGGCGGGGATGAAGAAGGTGGTGAGGTAGGTGAAGGTCTTGTACACCGTGGACGGCACGACCCTGGTGATGAAGGCGGTGGCGGGGACGGCGGCCTCAGCGGCCTTCTTGCCCGAGTCCACCTCGTTGGAGATGTCATTCTCCGGCGTCGTCACTTCGGGCGGCACCGTGCTCACGTCATCGGCGTCCTCGGTTACCGGGTTGTTGGTGGTGGAGTCGACGTCGCCGACGAACTGCGAGAAGATGGTCTGCGGCTTGTTGTCGCGCTGCGGCACGGGGGTGGGCTCCACGATGTCGTCCAGGAAGAAGAAGACCCTGGACGAGGTCTGCACCACCTCGCGGTAGGTGCCGTCCACCCTGGTGCCGATGACGGACTTCTTGTACATGGTGGTGGTGCCGGCGTTGACCACGCTCTCGTCGATGGTGCGCAGCAGTCCCAGCGGCTGGGCCTTCTTCCTCGCCTCCAAGATGCGCGTGCTGTAGGTGGGCAGCGGCTCGGTGGGCCGGGACGAGTCGTAGTTGGCGGCGGGCTCGGCGTCGCCGGACGGCTGCGCTACGGCCAGGGTGCTGGTCTCCGAGGGCTGCACGGCGTGTGAGGGCCGCGGCCTGGCGGGCGCGGGCTCGTAAGCCTGCTCCCTGGCCAGCACGGACGACTTGAGCATGAAGTCCTCCTTCTCGTCGGCCGGGAACACGGACTGCTTAGGCTGGCGCGGCGCGGCGGGGCGGGGCGAGGGCTCGGCCACCATGGTGGGCAGCGAGGTCTGCATGGTGAGCGAGTGGCCGGTGACGGTGCGCGTCATCATGCCGGGCGAGTGCGACAAGAACGTCTTGACGTCCGTGACCACGGGCATGTCGTCCAGCGCGGGCCGCGACGGCTTGGGCGCGCCGCCCGTGTTGGGCATGAAGATGATGACGGTGTCGCCGACCGTGGTGGTGAAGTCCACGAAGCCGAGGTACGTGACCGTCTCCAGCTTCTTGTCCGACTTGACGGGCAGCCCGGCGCGGAACAGCGCCTTGCTGGCGCGCGGCCGGTTCTTGCTGGCGTCCTTCCTGCTCTTGGCCGACTCGGGCGTCTCGATGTGCACCTCCTCGGAGGAGAAGGCGCTGGGCGCGAAGTCGTGGCGCACGGTGAAGGTGGGCAGGTCGAGCTGCGGCGCCACCACGCGGGCGGGCTTCAGCTCGTTGTCGGCGGCGTGCTGCGCGGCGGCCACAGGCTTGTCCTCGGCCTGCCGCTTCTTGTACAGGTCGATGTTGCGGTCCGCGTTGTTGGCCGCGTACTCGCGCGGGTCGCGCTCCGCGTTCACGAGGATCACGTTGTTGAGCGCGTTGCGCGTCTCGGACAGGCTCAGGAAGTCGTCCAGGTCGTTGCTGATGCCCTTCTTGCTGTCCTGCGGCGGCTCGCTGAGCAGCGGGTCCGGTACGGCGGACGCCTGCACCACGGCCTGGGCCTGCACCACGCTGGCGGGCGCCGGCGTCACGCTCGTCACGGCCGTCTGGTACAGGCCGCCCGAGTTGGCCAGCCCGAAGGCCTTGATCGCCGCGGCCGAGTTGAGGCCGTGGCCGGCGAAGTGCTGCGTGGGGTACACGATGACGGGGGCCGGGGTGCCGCCGGGCGGCCGGCGGACCGTGGGCCGGTGGTGCGGGGACCGCAGGTCGCCGCCATCGTAGAACACCCTGGAGCTGGTGGTGAGCAGCTGGGCGTACGCGCCGTTGCCCAGCGTCGTGCCCACCACCTGCGTGGCGAACTCGGTGGTGGCGCCGTCCTGGACGAATGTGCGCGCCGTGGACGACAGCACGCCGACGGCCGGGGGCACGCCGCTGCGCCCGGGCAGAGGGTCCACGTACAGCGTGGTGACGTCTGTGGGGCAGAAGAGGCACAGCGCGCGCGCGCGTACAGCGTACAGGCACGGAAGGGGGCACCACACACCACACCGCCAAGCGGCAAAGCACAGACCAGGAAGACGAGGGGGGCACGTTGCACACACCGAAACGCCGACGCAGCAGGGTACAATGATAGCAAAAACGAAACTTGAAAGTTGTCAACAATCAGCTTATTTATTTTTCATTATTATTTTTTAATCATATATTAATCATTTTGTTATGAAACGAAAGGCCTTTAGGTGTGCACAAATAAAGTGCCCCCCTCGGGTATTTTACGTATACGTAACAACACATCGGAAAGGCGAGAGGAAGAAGAACATGAAAGAAGAGGAAAGAAGTCCAGGAGTACACAGACGTCGAGACAGGATTTACGAAGGCGTTTATACCCGCACCTAACTAGAATTAAAAAGTGAAACAATATTTACACGAGCGTCTCCCGTCCGGCGCTCTGGAATGGCCAGGGAGAAAACTGCAGTCAATCGACACAATGTCTCGGGAGAGCGGAGAGGGGAAAAAAGGGGGGGGGGTATCGCGCTGTTGCATTATCCTCTTTGCGTTTCGCCCGCTTATTACGCTAACGGTCATCCGACACACAATGAGTGTGCCTGGGCCGCCGAGGCCGCCGTGGCCGCGGTGGCCGCCGCAGTGAGAGTTCCGGGGCCTTCCGGGGACCGCGCGCCTCGGCTAAAGCCCGCCCGGCCGAATACGCTCTCGCTCTCTCTCTCTCTGTCGCACTCGAAGGGGCGCCCGGCCTAGCGGACGAGAGCGAGGGGGCCGGCGAACATTGCCGCCATGTTCTGACGTGGTCCAGGAAGGGTACTGGCTGTCTTGCCTACGTGTGTGTGTGTGCGTGCTTGCTTGTGTGTGTGTGCCTTGACGTGCACAATCATCTGCAAGCACTTTCTAACACACACACACAGCGACTCACACACATACACACGTAGAGTGACGGAAGGCTGAGGACGTCGGACCAACGTATCACTATCGAGACAACTTTGCCTTGGCCAATCACAGGGCATGACTTGGCACACACACGCACACACACGTCCCTCTGCACACTCTCGCACACACACACGCACAGCCGTCGCGGTTTTGACAAACCAATCAGCCTAACAGGCGGGGGATGTGGTGGCGAGTCGTGACCGCGCCGTTTGCCCACGCGTCGCCGCGTCGCCGCGTCGCCTGGAGCGCGGCGCTGCGCACCCTGCAAGCGACGGGCAGGGCGGGGACACGACGCCCCCGGGCATCGAGGGGCGGTGGTGATAAGGCGCCAGGGGAGAGGGGAGGAAGGTGAAAGGGAAACGAGGCGGTGCCGCTATTTGGGCGCGGCCAGACGGCCAGCCAGGGCTGGCAGGCAGCCTGGTCCGGACGGCGCGCGCATTTTGAAAAGCAAAATGAATCAACTGCCAGGGTTATGAATGGCCCCGCCGCCGCCACGCCGCGAGCCCGGAGGCGGGCAGCCAGTCAGTCAGTCGGCAGACTGATTCCGCGGTCTCTCCGTCTCTCTCGCACCCCCACGGAGGGCGAGAGGCGCGAGAGAGACGGAAGCATGTTCAGAGGCAGGTCTGGCAGCGAGCAGGCTCAGCGGGCAGGCACGTACGGAACAGGGAGTTCCGCCGCCAGCCTGCCGGCCCTGCCGGCCCTGCCGCGCCGCAATCCGCCGGACGCGACGACTCCCGAAACGCCACGCCACTGGAAGTCCAATTCGGTCGGGAGGAAGCGAGAAAACAACGATCACCGCGGTGCATGCGTCATGCGTGGCGGCAGCGGCGGCAGTGGCGGCAGAGGGACGTCCACGGACGTCCACGCCGACGAGGAGCACGCCGTCAGCACACTGCGCGCTCGACATCGTCCACGCCGGGCACGCTGCCGGCCAGCTTCCCGCGGCGCACTTGAAAACGCGGAAAAAGGCGGCCGTGCAGTGTCGTTTCCTCCCTTTTTTGCCAGGGCATGCGCGCGACGCGACCCACGACCTCCTGCACCATCCCGGCGACCTAACCCCATTCCCGCCACGGCCGCCACGTGTGCGAGAGAGAGGGCCGCAATTAGGCCAGCGTCGCGCCGCCGAGGTGGAGCCGCGGGGCCAGGCAGCCAGCCCGAAGCGCCGAGCAGGCGAAGGTGGCGTGGAATTATTAGCCCCCGCGGCCTGGCCCGGGCGACACCGCGGCGACGTCGTGTGGACAAGATCCCGGACTAGCTTTCGCGAGCCAACGCGGAACGCCGGGCTCGAATCTCGGTGGCGGCGCGCAAGGCGGCGTGGCTGGGACCGCGGGGACCCCGCGCGGCGTGGCGCGGCGAGGCGGGACCCAGAGACCCAGTGACTGAGGTGGGTTGGCCTCCCCCTCCACTGTCCACCTGTATGAGCGCGCCTGCGCCGGACCGTCTCTGATTTATATGCGTCGACTGCCTACCGTTACTATTATGATAATGCGGAGGCCCCCGGGTCAAAGCACACACACAGACAGACAGGACACACACAGAGACAAGGCACACACACATTCCCCTCTCACGCACACAGACACTGCACCGCGACGATTGGGAACACTGAAAATAGAACGGTCATACTTTTGACCGCTTAAACGGTCTTACTGAAATGTACGACCGAAAAAGGGTCATACTTCGATGTATGACCGAAAAACGGTCATACTTCGATGTATGACCGAAAAACGGTCATACTTCGATGTATGACCGAAAAACGGTCATACTTTATAGTGTATCACGGGTACAGGCTGATATATCCCCTCGCTGATGTCTGACCTTTTTTTGGTCATACATTTAAGTATGACCGTTTTTTCGGTCATACATTTGTGTATGACCGTTTTTCGGTCATACATTGGTGTATGACCGTTTTTTCGGTCATACTTTTTGTATCACCGAAAATCGGTCAGATGTCTCACCCTTTGAATTTCAGTGAATTTACTGGATATCAATGAGGGAATGGAAGGCGGGTAGAAACTGCCCGCAGACCCACTGTGGGACGTGGCACCGCGTGGCACGTCTGGTGGACAGGCAACCCATGTGGCACCTGTACGTGATGCCCCGTCTTTCTCCATGCCCGACATGACGTCGCATACCAGTGGGATTTACCGTCCCTCTAAAAATCGTTTAAGTGGCCGTACTTCATCCTTTAAACGACCAGGGCTCCCCGTGAAGATTACAGGATATGTCGGGCACAGCCTGCACTAATGCTGTCCAAACGTCTCACTAGGCTATCAGATTTCACGTGGTGTTCGAGTTACGGTGCGGCATTAAGACATCAGCTTTTTGGGACTCCCGATGACATCCTGGCGAGGACCTCTGCAGGCGCGGCTGTGCGATATCCACTTTGCGGTATCGCGATGCAATTATGTTGATCCCACGTGGAACCTGCTCTGACCTACACACGTGACTGCCCATGAGTGCGAGAGAGACAGGGCGACGGAAACGGCAAGCTGCCGCCAGTGCCACTTCCGGCCTGTCCGCGGGCTGGTCTTTGGCCCGGTCCCACGGCGTGGCCCTCGCGTGGCCCTCTGCGTGGCCCAGGTCCAGGCTCGTCCGGGCTTCCAAATTTATGGGGATTTGGAGCGCCAAGGCGGCGAGGCGAGGCGAGGCGAGGCGGCGCGGCGCGGCGCGGCCGATCCGGCCGTCTGGCTTTAGTGCCGCCAGCCCGTTACGCCCGGCCGGGGCCGCCTGGCCTGCCGACCGATTCAGAACATCGGTTGTCGCCCTGTCTCTCTCGCGCCCTTACGGAGAGCCCCGTGAGTGCGAGAGAGACAGGGCGACGGAACGACTCGGCAGGCCGGCTGGCTGTGTTTGGGTCTCTGGGCCTCTGGGGCGGCTGGCTCCGATATCACAAGCAATAGGGACAAATCCCATCCCATCCGATCCCGGCGATGATGCCGTTAGGGGAATCGGCGCGACCCGGAGCACACGAAGAAGGCCCTTCGGACGGCCAGACGGCCGGTGCGTGGCGCTGCGCTGCGCTTCGTTAGCGCGGGGATTGTCCAGCAGCCTTATCAAGCACCCCCGGCCCCTGCCTGGCCCTGCCTGGCCCTGCCTGGCCCTGCCTGCAGCCTCCAGCGCGGCGCCGCGGCCCACTTCACGGACTTCACAACTTCACGGTGCGCCGCCCGGTGGCCACGCGGGAATTCCACGTCCTTTCGATGAGAAAACGAAAGGTCTCACATTCTATCGATGGCACTGTCCCAAAATTTGCAAATTTGACATGTCACGAGGATTTTTTGCGCCTGGTCGCACCTTACCTCAGCCAGTAGAATTATGGGGGTTACAGAGTACAATTCTTCGTATGAGCTTTTGTAAAAAGCACGTTTTTTTGGGAATTTTTTTCTGCACATCGTAAGATAGGTCTGACTTTGTGCAACAGCCTTCCTTTAACAGTGCTCGTCGCGGACCTCGGGGCTAGAGGGTCGTTTGCCGGTCTTCCCTGGCTTGGCGGCGGCAGCGCCGGGCAGCGCGCACGTCGGCAAGCGGCGCCCGCTTTGAGTGGCGCTCTGTGAGTGGCTCGGATGGCCTGCACGGCCTGCACGGCCCGCACGGCCTGCACGGCCCGCACGGCCGCACCTCGCTGCTCGGTCCTTCCCAAAGTTGCCAAACGGGAGCAACAGGTCTCCTTATGGAGTCATCAATTCGGAGCCGCGCCGCGCCGTCCGCGCGCGTGTGTGGTTTGCGTGGTTTACACGGACTGCTGCCTTTGCCGGGCCGGCCGTTGCCGCGAGTTGCCGTTCCATGCCAGCGTGCCGTCAGTCTGCGCCAAAATCGCGCCACCAAAACAAGTCGGAAAAAAATAATGAAAATTGAGAAATCACCACAGGAGATGAAAGCAATTGTCCTTCGTGCCGTACCCAAAGCCATCGTCGGATCGGGTACAACTGCACCCCGCCTCCGCCTCGTCCGCTTGCTTTTCCAGGACCGCGCGCTCGATTTCACGCAGATGGGGATCTGCTTCGGGGAAGGCCCTGAGAGGCAAGGCACACCGGCCGGGCCGGGCCGCCGCGACGCCGAAATAAAAATGTAACACATTTGTGGGTTAATGGAGAGTGACGCAGCGACGCGGACCAATCTCGCGACCCGTCAGGCCGCCAGGCCATCAGGCACGCCGCGGCACGCCGGCCTGGCCTGCCAACTCACGCGCCCCCGCGCCGCCCCGCCCGGCCCCGCCCCGCCCGGCCCGGCCCGGTCGAGTGGCCGGGCGTCCGCACGCAGGCCAGGCCGGCCAGGCCACGCCACGCACCGCGGTGCGATTCGGTCCGCGGACCCGGAGCACGCCGGAGCACTGCAGCGGGGTGGACGCCGAGGCCGAGCGGCAGAGCAGCAAGCAGCATCCCTGGACGTCGTCGAATTCCGCCAGGCGGCTGCGTTCTATGGCGGCAACGACGGGGATCCTCTGGCCGACGCACGGTGTGGAGAGAGAGACGAGGACGGACGAGGATGTCAGCGCCGAGGTTCGACGGCGACCGCATGCGACGCTCTGCGACGCTCTGCGCCCTCGTCGATGCTGGCTGGCGCGAACTGCCCACCCCGACGCGGCCTCGCCGGCAGGAGGTCACTGGTCTCGTGACCGTGACCCGCCCCGACGAGTCTGTCCGCCGCGGCAGCCCCGCCCTTGGGGCACAGTACACCGAATTTAATTCGAGTGCCGTTATGAGAGGTTTGTTTGGGAGACTGTGATGTGGGTTTGCGCGCGGTGGCCCCCCCCCCTCCCCCTCCGGGCCGCGTTGCGATGGCCAGGCACGGCCAGGTAGGCGACGCCGTAAACGCCTCACGACGCGGCCCCCTCCGTGACCCTCCCTTCACACGTGAGGGGCCAGCGGCGGCCTTTGCGGGGCAAAGAAGCACCCCCCTTCTCTCTGTCAGGGGCTCGGCCCGAGCAAGGTCTCTCGACTGCAGGTTGGGAAAGTAAAACCGAGGAAAACGAAAAGCAAAGAACGAAAAGCCTCAAACTGAACTCATATTCATCACGTTGTCCGGGGCGCCGCCAACGGCCCGGCAACTCCATTTTTTTTTCAGAAAGGAAAGAGAAGTCTCGAAGGAGAAAGAGACAGGTCCGAGGAAGGCGCCATGTTCGGCGGCAGTGGCGGAGACGCGCCACGAGAGTGACAGAGACAGACAAGGAGGTGGTCGTCACGTTGGCTCCACTCACCACTCGCGTCCCGCTTGACCCTCTCTTGTCGTATGTGTTCCACATTTTCTGTATCTGCAACAAGAGAAAACAGACTTAGCCGAGTCGTTTCACAAGCGGCCATTTCGCACATCGGTCGCAACAGTAATAATGCCGTGCAAACAGCAAAGCTCTCTCTCCTTCTCTATCCCACTCGCGAGTGGGGCGGGCCGCCGCGCCGCCGCGCCAAAGCAAACTTGAGAAAAGACCCTTTCTCATGGCGCGGGCCCGTGGGACGCCAGTGCGGCGGCGGATCAAAAAATAATAAGAATTCTGTCGAAAGAGTGGCGTCACCGCGTGCACTGCGATCGGACGCCGCGGCCCGATGACACTGCGTGACACTGCGTGACACTGCGTGACACTGCGTGACACTGCGCGACGCCGCGACACTGCGAGCCGCTCCTCATCCAGGTCGTTGTGACAGGCTGGCGCGTTGCGACACTTTAGGCCGGTTCTGTCCGGCGGCTGTCGACCGATCCAGAACATCGGTTTGTCGCTCTGTCTCTCTCGCACCCTCACGGAGATCCCCACGAGTGCGACAGAGACGGGGCGACGAAACGACTCTCCTGAATGGCTCGGCCGGCCGCGGCACGCGTGGTAACGGGCTGGGCCTGGCTGGCCGGGCTGCCGCAGCTCACCAATCGAACACAACAACAATTCACTCGGAATGAATTCTTTAAAGAGTCGCAGCCGACCAAGCAAAATTATAACCTGACCCAAATTTGGGTGATAAAGTGCACCTCGCCCAAAAGTTTGGTTTTCATCAGTGTCAAAACAACAACAAACCAAAAGGGCAAACTGAAAAGAAACAAAAAGTACCAAAGAATCTGTGCTGGACGCTCCGTATGCTCGCGTGCTGGCGCCAAGTGGGTGCATTCTGCGCGGCGCGGCGCGGGTTTCTCACAGACACATTACGCCCAGTACGGCCGGTGCCGCGGCGTGCCGGCATGCTGCGGCAACCAGCGAGACCAGCTCCCCTCTCTCACACGTTGCCAAATCACACACACCACACACATATTCAGGCTCGCGAGAGGAGAGCTAACAGCAGGGCCAACTGGGCCGGGCCGTCGACCCCCCGCGCAGGCCGACAACAACAACAACAACAACAACCACGTGTGCCGAGTATTATACAGTGCGGTGGTGTTGTTTTTATTGAGTTGGCGCGTGAATCGCATTTCCCGGAGGGCGGGGAGCCAGCGGGGCCCAACGTCTTTACATGCTTGGCTCGGCGCGCCGCGCACCACCCACGATCGAGCGCGCGTAAACACCACACACACACACACACACACACACACACACACACACACACACACACACACACACACACAGAGCCACGCACACGAGCGCACGCCACAGGTGCACCGGGCAGTAAATCAAAACAGTGGACACCCAAACACGCGCGGCGCTTGAACATCTCTCCCGGCCGGTCCCAACCTTGCCCGATAAACACGGACGGCTTGGAAACAAAACCCTTTTCCCTTCCTCTCCCGTTTCGTGGCATAATTAAGTCCGAGGAACCTGCTGCTCCCCCCCCCCCCTTCCCCCCCTCCCTCTCCCCCAACGGCGTGCTCCAGTGCCTCTCCCTCTCTCTCTCTCTCTCTCTCTCTCTCTCTCTCTCTCTCTCTCTCTCTCTCTCTCTCTCTCTCTCTCTCTCCGTGGCCCACAGACAGCGGGGAAGTGTTGAGTCAGGTGGAGGTCCCAAGGACATGCCCTGCCCCGGTCATCGCTCCAGCGCTTCCAGGCAGGCTTCCAGCCAGGCTTCCAGGCCCCGGCACTGGAGTCACGCCGCGCCGCCGCGCCGCCCGATCCGATCTGTTCCATTACCGTCGTTAGCTTTCCGTCGGTCGTGTCACTCGGCCTCATTGGGGGCCATCGGGGGACCTGTCTCCATCCCAGTGTAGGGCCCAGCCCGGCCCAGCCGCACCACGGCCCTACGGCCGGGGCTCCGACACCCTAAGTGCCGTCGCGGCTGGCAGTGCTAACTGGACAACAACTTTAAGTGTCCTCGCCTCGTAAGCGACCGCCGTCGTTTATGAGCCCCGAGCGTGAAATGGCGGCTCCAAGTTTACAATGATATTTCCGAGATATTTAACCAATTTAACGCTCGGAGGACAAAAGCCGACAAAAGCGCGCGGGGAAACGATTGAGTGCTCACACCATTGCCACTCTGGTCCTTTCTAGATGATTTTCAACCTTAAAAATCACCCAGGAATGATAACTAGTTTAAAAAGTAAAATTTAAAACCCTGAAAATTTAAACTTTTTGTGGCTCTAAAAGAGTTTGTGAGGCAATGAATTCCTCCGTATTGACAGCTTCACGTCGTTGTGGAATTAATATTGGTGATTTAGAACAAAAGTTTTTTTTTTTTGCAGAGTGCGGGCAGCTTGCACGTCGTGCCGAAGTGTGCCTCGGCAAAGCCGATGGTTCTCCATATCGCCTCGAGTAAACTGATGTGGCGAAAAAAAGAATTAAACAACGGGCGAGTCAGTCGAGTCACGGTTCGAGCGGCAATGATTCACTTTGAGCAAACAGGGATCGTCATGCGAGGTGTGAAACGGAGACGGGTGGCCCCTCCCGCCGTCTCCCCGGCCTCGATGCGGTGGTCCTAACGGCCCGCCCGTCGGGGAGGGGAAAAGGGGCGCATCTCCCATAAATCATTTTTCGTCTCGTGGGAAATTGGGTGGCATTGCTATAACGCGCGTCGCGTCGCGTGGCCTTTGCTAGACAAAAGGCTATGACCGGAAGGGGCAGAGGTTCGAATCTTAGCGCCACCCGCACGGCGCGACTTGAAGGGATAACCTTGCCATCCCCAGCCCACCTTACGCACACACACACAAACCTACACACAGACACACACACACACACCGACGCACACACACACACGACACAGCGGCAATAACCGCCATAAAAAGCTCCTTTCTCCGGCGAGGGCGGTGCGCGGCTCCGCGGCAACGCGACGAGGCGTTCATTGTCCGGCCGGCTCGGCGATGACGGCAGTCAAGTGGAGGCGGTGATGGCAGTGATCTCGGCGCGGCAAGCGCGGTAAACGCTGCGCCATGTCGCTTGGTTGGCCGAGCTCGCCGCGCCGCATCGTCCACGTCGCCCCTCGCTGTGTGTGTGTGTGTGTGTGTGTGTGTGTGTGTGTGTGTGGTGTCAAAGGTCAGCGCACGAGGAGCTCCAGCTTACGGGGGGCGCGCTCGATTACCACGGCGAGGTGCCTCCCGACGCAGGGATTCCGGAGGAGCCGCTCCGTCTCTCTCGCACCCACCCCTGTGCGGGGCGTGCCGTGAGTGCGAGAGAGACGGAGTCTACTCTTCGGAGTCAGTCAGGTGCGGACGAGAGCAGCTGCGGCGGGCATTTCGCTACAACGTCGCGGCAGAGCGGCGGCAGGGCGGCAGGGGGGGTCGGCGGCGCAGCGTAGTCTGGCGCAGCCCGGCGCAGCCCGGGCGGCGTTTATGGCGCAGGCTTTTATACGCGCGTTCCCACGAACAAAACACGCACACACATGCACGGACTAGCAGTTAATTTCAACCAGCGACTAGCGGGGCCCCAAACTAAGATTAAGTACGAGTATGGGAGCAACAATTCTTTTTTCACAGTTACAACTGGTTCAACCGGGCTGCACGGTTACTTGCTACTTTGTTGATTATTGTTTTGTTCGATTCGAAAAACGCAAGGACCTCCACACCAATAATCATTGGTCAACAACGGACGGCTCAGTAGTATGATTAGTTGTTGACATAAATTCATGATTAATTTTATTGCGTCATCGGATTTTTCTTTGATAAAGCGGAACTTTTTTCCTGGGTGCTCACGCTTTTATCGGGACGACGCCTACGTCTTTACACACATCACACCCACTTCACACACACACACACACGCACACACACGCGAGCGGCGCCATAGAGCCATGGGTACCGGGCCACAGGTACCAGGAGAAAGGTTACCGTACACACCTGTCTGCTGCGATCGGCATACCTACGCCACATGGGCTGGTTCGGCCCCCGCAGAGGGAGGGGGGGGGGGGCTGCTGGAACGGAAGGGACTGGAAAGGGGGGGAGGGGGACCGGCCGGCACAGGTCCAGGCAGGTGTCCGGCGGCGGGGCGTGGCGCGGCGCGGCGCTGGCTGGCTCCGTGACCCACATCGCCGCATTCTTGTGCCCCCCCCCCCCCCGCGCCCCCCGCGACGCCCTCTTACTTTTCGCCACCTTCCTTCCCTCCTGCAGTCTCGCTCCGTCTCGCTCGCACTCATCGGCCGACGCCAGTGGGTGCGAGAGAGACAGAGCGACGGAAACGACTCTCGGAATCAGTCTGCTGGCGGTGTCCTGGCCGCGGGCAAGCTTGGCGTGCTTTTGGCGTGCTTTGGCGCCTGGAGGCAAGCCCGCAGAGCACCGCGCCGTGCCTGGCTGCCTACCCGCCGACTCGCAGGCGCTCAGAGTCATTTCCGATTCCGAGTCAATTCTGGTCACCCGGGTTCTTTCTGTAAACGGGACTCTCGGTCCGAGACTGTGCCGAGGGGGAGTGCGCTCTAAAAATCGTTACAAATCGATGACGCTGTACGACACCTCGAAGTCATCTGGATTTCGCTCTGTGTCTATCCCATAACGATCCACATACACATGCGTTCAATCGGACAGTGTCGGCTTGCACGAGCCACCTCCCCTAACCATTCTTGCACCAAGAAACTTTTACAAGAATTTTCATAAACGCAGAAACGAGGGATTTATTTTCCTGGAGTATACCACTGTCAAATCAAGTGTGGGGAGCTCCACACTTCCTGGTGCGACGCACTTCTCGACGCTTGGAGACGAGCGGTGCTTGCAGTCTCCACGGGGCCCCTGTTCTCTGGGCAAGGTGCGATGAGTCAAGACTTGAAGCAGCGTGCACTTCAAATCCTGCAAAGCGATAAGACTGAAAATTCGACACCTCCGCATCTCAGGTGTGCACGGTAAAAAACGGTTCCTGGGTTTCCCAGGAACTCCCTTGGAAATCGCCTACGTCTTTACCGTAGGCTTCCCGGGGAAATCGGGAACCGT